AGCAGCTTTGATGTAATCATGTGTGTCGGCGACCGGAGAGCCCCGCGGCTTTGCCTTAAAGCCCTTCCTCCACGCTCGGTGGGTTTTGCTGCCCGGCTGGGTGCTCACACCGGGGCAGATGGTGCAGCAGGAAGAGGCGGCGAGGTGGCTGCTGACTGCTAGCAGGGCAGGAGCCGCTGCCTCCCCCAGCAGAAGAGGAACTGGGCAGTCTGCTCAAGTAAAACCTCCCCAGCACGCAGAGCAGGAAGAGGAACCATGTCTGCCCCACCTTGGGAGCAGCAGCTCTGCTCTTCATTATTCATTTAGGCAAGGGAGGAGGCAAGAAAATGAGAGAGGCAGCCCTGCTGCTTCCTGGGGTGTGTGCACAACTTTAATCAGACCAAATCCTTGCTTCCCCTGAGACCTGGCTCCCAAGAGCTAAACACACACGTTGCATTTTGCAATAACCTGCTGGCTGCTCAAACCCGCTGCCTGGGATCGCCTCCAGCCTCTCGATCTAACAGGCTACAGCCTGAGACAGAAATAAATGCTTTCAGGGAAGCCACACAACTGTGGCAGGATGGTTCCAGCCTCTGGGGACCACGGTGTCCCAAGCACCCTGCTGTGGCCACGTGCCTGCACTGGGAAGAGGAAAAATCCTCAACGGGAAGAGGAAAAATACCTTGAGCAGCCGGTCTAGAAGCTCGGAGCCACTTTTAACGTTCGGGTCAGGATCGGCAGCCAGCTGCGAACAACAGAAATGAGAAAAAGAAATCAGTGCACCAGCAGGTCCCAGGTCTTTTCCTGCCTCTGCAGCGGAGCTCCCAGCGCGCTCACGGGACTGCTGCTCTCCTGTGGTGTTATCGGGATGGTCAGGGACAAATCCCTTTCTCTGACTCCTCATCAGGCTCCAACAAATTCTCCAGACACTTTCTAAGGGGGTTACGAGGCACCCATCACCTCCCCGTGTGCCAGCAGCCATGCTCTCAAGCGGCACCAAAAACCAAGTTTGCAGCGATAAGCTGCCAACACAGACGTGTAGGTGTGGTTTTGACCCTGCAAGCCCCCCAAAAAGACATCGTGCTGCAGAGCCACCTCGCCTGCAGCAGCTCTGGCAGCCTCGTTTCCTTACACCGCTGAACAAGGAGCAGAAAAACGCATCCTGGAGGTGAGCACTGAGAACGTGGTGAACCCTAATATCTACAACACCACGGGGCAGCGTGCCCGCATCTCCGGCGGAGGAAATAAAACCGCGTGGGGGCTCGAGGAAGCTCCTCACCTTGCTGAGGCCATCGAAGAGCACGTTGAAGTGCGGGAGGACGGAGCCTCGGGCCACCTTCACGATGTTGTAGAGGGCCTCACAGGCGTAGTACCGCAGCCGACTGTCGGCGTCGTTGAAGCACGTCAGCACCGGCTCGATCAGCTCCTTCAGGTAGAGCCCGGAGTCCTGCGGGCAGGAGGATGCTGCTCACTGAGGAGCACGCCGCAGGGACAGGGAAGAGCTGGCACCGCCACGGGTCCCAGAAACCAGCAGATTTGGGGTGTGTGGCTGCCTACAGACAGCTCTTGGAGCTGGCTGCTACCCGAAGCAGCTCTGGGGCTCTCGTTCCAAGGAGAGATCGGCGCAGCTTTGCTCTCCCAGTTTGTTAAAACAAACCCACGTGGGGGAACCCGCCTGGTGTTTCTGGAGCATCCAGCACAGGAGACAGTAAAGAAATCACCAGGGTGCAGACCAGCAGATTCAGGCACTTATCAGCATCCTTCAAGGCCACCAAGCCCGACTCCTCCGTGGCTGCCCCGGTGACCGCGGGGCACGCTCCCAGGCTGTGCCCCGGGGCCCTTTTGGGGCTGACAGATCCCAGAGAGGAGTGTTTTGGGAAGAGGCTCTGGGTTTTAACACCAGGATGAAGACAGGAGCGCTGCCCAGAGCCACGTGGCCGTCGGCTTAAAGGCAGCTAATGCCAAGGATGCCAGGCCTCAAGGCAGCCGATTCAGCTGATCAGAAGAAGGGGATTAAATGAACAAGGGAATAAAACTCTCATCGGAAGGGGATTAAGTGAATAAATAAATTACACCTCTCAGCTCTTCTAGCAGGGACAGCCAGCTCCTCCCAGGCTCCGTGCTGCCTTTGCCACGTGCCAAGCTGACTCCTTCCCTTGCGGGCCCTTTCCAAAATCAGCCCCGTGGTGTAAAAGCGAGGAGCCCGACGGAGCTCTGAGCCCATCACCACGGCTAATTAACGCGGCACGTGGAGCAGTTTCTGTCCCTCTGTGATGTGCAGGAGCCAAAAAACACTCGCCCTTACCTTGCCCAGGGCGATGGAGCAGGCGGCCAGGCCGATGAGCCCCCCTTTGCGGCTGTGGGGGTGCTGGGAGAGCGCAAACTCCTGCGACAGGATCTGGATGACGTGCTTGATCTGAGACGTGTTGTTCTGAGCCACGAACTCGCGCACCAGCCTGGGGGGGGGAGAGAGGAGGAGAACAAAAAGATTTTGATTTTGCCTGATGTGAACGCCTTTGGGCTCAGCTCCCCGTGGCCGGCACAAATGGGGATGTGGAGCTGTGGGCACAGCACACGAGGAAGAGGCAGCAAAAAGGGGAAGGTCTGGGGAGAGCACAAGTGAAACCCTTGTCTGGCAGAGCAGAACTTTTTCTTCTCATGTTCACCAGCAGCTTGCTGCCCTTCTGCTGCTCTCACCCCATTTCCATGCCTGCAGCCCTGTTTGCAGCTCACAACCCAGGAACCAGAGCCCAGAGCCAGCTCAGGATCAGCTCTCAAGGGCCCCTCAACCAGGGCTGCATGCTCGCAGCAGCACTTTCAAAGGGCTAGATGCCAGACCAGGCTGGGAGGAGGATTTCTTCCATCCCCAAGGGGCTGAGAGGCCAGAGAAGAAGCCACCAGGTCCTCTGCTCCGTACGGAGCCCAAGCACCTTGCTTGGGGCAGCAGGGGCCGGCAAGCTCCAGGTCAGTGCCACAAACCCAAGAGCCACTTGAGGAAGTGGCAAGGACACCGTTCAACCAGGACACACGCTGTCCCATGGGATACAAGGGTCATTTGTCCCCGACATGGCACAAGATGATGGCACAGCACGCTGACAGCTCAGCACAGAATTATTTCCCACCAGATGTGTGCCCAGCGCAGAGATTTGGGACCTCCCCAGCCACCCGTTGCTTCAGCTGACATTCCTCTTGGATTTTTTAAAAACTCCACTCCACATCTAAGGACAAGCAGACGGGGCTTGCCCGTGAAACACCCACCTCTCCCTGGAGCTGCTTCCTGCACCAGCTTTCGGTGGGGGGCTCGGTGACCCCCACCCCTGGGGGCTGCTCCCACCAAACCCTCAGGGCAGGGCGTGGGGCAGCTGCACACATCTGGCATTGGTGGTTCAGTGGTAGAATTCTCGCCTGCCACGCGGGAGGCCCGGGTTCGATTCCCGGCCAATGCAGCCAAAAAACTTTTTCCCTTTTAATTCCCTTGGATTTCTGCACACGGAGCAGCCCCACGGGCCTCAGAGTCTCAGCCTAAGTAAGGATCCTTTAATCTTTGATGGAGGCACAAAGATTTCCAGTGCCAAACTCCATATACCTTTTTCTTTTTTTTTTTCTTTTTCTTTTTTTAATTTTCCTGCTGCACTGGATTTGGGAAATTCTGACGCTCAGGATTTTGCTCCGACGCCCTTCGTGTTTTAATCCCGTGGAGCCAGACAGGGGCCAAGGGGCTGCGAAATCCCACATTGCCCCTTCCTAGACAAGCATCGCTGCCCAACCACCCGCTTTGTAACGCAGAAAATCATTCTAGAAGACATTTACAACCTCTTTTCCCCCAAAACGATTATTGCCAGCATTCTTCTCACCCTGCTGTGCACAAAGCAGCCATCCTCTTCCTCCTTGGGGTCATAATGAAGCCCCTTGCTCTGCTCCGCTCAGGAGCTGAGATTTTTAGCAGTGGCAGACAAAACCCCCCAAAAACCTGCTGATTGCAGGCGAACGGCTCCGACTCCGGTCCCAGCCCAGCCCCAGGCCCCATCCAGCAGGAGGAACGGGCACCGAGCTCCAGCAGCTCGGAGGCAGCCCCTTACCGCCGGGATTTAGGGCGCACAGTGGGGTTTTTGCTTGGGCAGTGCCAGCTTTATGCCCCTCGGGGTTTAAAGGGCTCGGGGTTGTGGGAAGCACCCAATGGGTGATGTATGGGGCCAGGGAGCAGGAGCTGCCCCCACGTTATGGGGCAGGGGGCCGGGAGGTGCCCCAGCAGGGTGCTGAGTCCCTCTTTCCATAGTGCTGGGGACGTGGGTGCTGCTCCACCGCAGGTCTGGGCTGACCTCAACCCAGGCACCCCCCCCAAGGGCTGCCCCTTGCCTTCCTCCCCCTTGCACCCTTCCCACGGTGGGCGCTCAAGCAGGTCCCAAATCGGATTTGGGGGTGGCACAAAGTGGGGAAAAACCGCGGTCCTGGAGCAGGACGCGCGGGGCTCCGGGTGCGCACGGGGAGATCCCGATACCCACTGGGGGGGGGGTCTCCCGGTGCCTCCCCCCGTCCCTTCCCGCCCCCCGCCGCTCACTTCTCGATCTCCAGCGCCGCCACCTTCCTCTTCTCGTACAGTTTGTCGTTCAGCGCCCGCACCACGCTGGGCGCCAGCGGCGCCAGGTCCCGCTCCGCGTTCATGGCACCGGCGGCCTCCCTACCCCCCTCCCCTCCCTCCCTACCTGACCCCCCCCCCAAAGCTCCGCACCCCCCTCACGTGACCCCCTACCAACCCTCACGTGACCCTCGGCACCCCTCACGTGACCCCCAGCCCTCTCAGGACCCCCCCCCTGGCGGCTGGAGGACCAACACCCCCCCAGCCTCTCCATCACCCCCCCAGCCTCCATCACCATCCTCGCTCCGTGCTTCACCCTCTTTATTCCAAACCATTACAGAGAACACCCCCTATAGCCCCCCCACACCCCCCTATAACCTCCCACACCCTCCCTATAACCCCCACACGCCCCCATTAAGCCCCCCAAAGCTCCCCCCAGTTTGCCATGCCCCCCCTTTAGCCGCGGTGCCCCCCACAATCAGCTCCATCCCTGTGGAGGTCCCCCCGGTCACTTGTCGGTGGGGAGGCCCCGCAGGTAGTACACCCACGAGACCCCCGACCCCACACCGGCCGCCCGGGGGCAGGAGACCACCAGGCGGCTGCTGACGGGGGTCCTGCCACCACCCGGGCTGCCCTCGAAGGAGACGGCCATGAAGATGGTTTTTTTGGGGCGCAAAGTCCCGGTGGCCCGGACGGCGAAGGCCGGGTTCTCCACGCTGTAGGTGAAGGCCGTGGGCTGGAGGAAGACGTTCTTGAAGGGGATGGAGGTGCTGCCGCCGGCCTTGACGAGGAAGGGGCCCTGGGGTTTGGGTGGCAGGGCCAGGCCGAAGAGCGGGATGCTGTAGTCGCCCCCCGGGGGGCCCGAGAGCCGTAGGGTGGCCCGGGACTCGCCCAGCTGGCAGGGCTCGTAGGTCACCTCCACGCACACCTCCGAGCCCCCCGCGCCGGCCGGGGGCATGCTGATGGCTTTCTCCGTCTGGAAATCGGGGCAGTCGGTCTGCAAGGGGGGCAGAAGAGACGGGGAGAGGGTCAGAAAAGCAGAGCTTGGGGGATGAGAACAGGAACAGCAGGGAAAAAACAAACCAAGGGTCCCCCCTGCATCACATTTTCCCTTTCCTGCCCCTGCTCCCCAATTCCAGAGCACGCCGGGCTCACCTGCAGGCTGTACTCTGTCCTTTGGCGGCTGTAGTTCATGAGCTTGGCGGTGAGGGTCTGGTTGGAGCCCAGCGTGGTGCAGAAGTAGAGGGGCTTCTCCGGCTTGCTGGCGGTGGCTTTCAGGCTCAGCTCGTAGTGGCACGAGCCCAAATCGCTGCTGTGGAGCGTCAGGCGCCCGGTGCTCTCACCCACCTTCAGGGGCCGGTACTCGATGACAAGGTCAGCCTGGGAGGGACGAAGGGAAAAGCCACGGGGTCAGGCAGAGGATGGGGGAAAGCAGCCCTGGGTGTGCTCAGGCTGTGCTGGGCGGCTCCCGAGGGGCACAACTAACTGCCAGCCCTCATCGTGGCTCCTGCTCTAGCAGCCATGCCCTTGCTGTGCTCACACACCACGTCCCCAGTGCAGCACGCTGCCAAATTTCAGTTAGGGAGGACAGGCTGGCATGCACAGCGACCTGCAGGGCTGCCCCAGCAGCTTTCTTGGGAAAGCATCCTGAAACCCTCACCTCCATTCATACACACTCGTGTTTCAGTGCTATTAGAGCGATATTTTTGTCTTTTCAGTGTTTCCAGCAGTTCTCAGGACATCTGGGCGGCCTGAGCCATCCCACACATCCAGCACAGTGCTTGTGAGGACACGGGAGACCCCAGTGACCCTGCACGGGGCCTGGCCCCAAGAAGAGCGATCGGGGGGGGCACAGGGCAGGCACGCTCACAGAAGGACCTGAGGGACACCAGCTCCTGGTTTTGCACATCACGAGGGGTGCAAAGAGCATCAGTGCAGGGCAGTTCCCACCGGAGACACTCTCACATGCTTCTGTCCCTTCAGTGGGAGCTGCCACCCTCGGAGAACAGCCCCGTTTCTCTCCCAGAAGGGCTGTGGTGGAGCTGGGTGGGCTGGGCACCTACCTCTGCCCGGGCAGGCACAGAGAAATGTGGGGGCACGCTGAGCTCAGGCACTTTGCAATCGACGTCAAACACCACGGGGATGGCCAGCGGGTTGTCCACCCTGATGGCAGAAGACACGCTCTGCCGCACAGCAGCGCTCACTTCAACGGTGCCGACGGGTCCCGGAGCCGTGGCCTTGAAAGTGATCATGTAAAACAAGTACTCCTCGGTCACCTCGTTGAGGAATGTCACCTGGGTTGGAGAAAAAAAGGGAAATGCTGGTCATTTTGCAGATAAACCCCTCCCCAGCTGTGCTAGGTCAGCCTGCAGAGCCCTGCAGCTCAGCACCCTGCCTCCAAAACAGCCACAGCAGCCACCTAGGAGGAGCACGAGGCATTTCCACGTTGTGTTCTCCAACTGCTCCCCCCTCACAAACATCCTGACCCACCAGTGCTACGCAGCCCTCGAGGCTGAGAGCGACAGTGCAAGGTGGAGGTGCCTGCTGTTTGGTGGGACCCAGGACCTACAGCCCCGTGTTTGGCACTTGGAGGTGTGAAAACAGGCACGGGGCTTCTCAGGGAGCAAAGAGCCCCTCGAAAGACCCCAAAGAGCCCCTCGAAGGATCCTGCAGCCTGGTGTCTGCGTTTACCATCGCGCTAAAGACGCCCTCCTTGTAGGAGAGGAAGGTGAGCTTGTAGTCCTTCTTGTCGGAGCCAGGCACGTCGATGTACTCCAGCCCACGCAGCACGGAGCCGCTCTCCAGGTTCTCTGGTTTGAGGATGTCCATCACCACGAGGAACCTGGGGATGAGGAGGAGGTGAGGAAGGTCAGTGGGAAGGACTCTTATAGGATATGGGGGAATGCCACAGCCCCTCTCCTCCTCCCTGCACCAAGCAGAGGGAGCCAGCACCCCAAAAGAGCCCCACAGGATGGGTCTGAACATGGACACTGTGACCCCAGGCACCCACGGCCACGAGTGGCCAAGGAAAAGCTTGCTGGAAGGAGCTCCCAGGCGCTGCAGGGACTGCTGATGGGATGAGGCTTCGGGGCACGACTCACCTCTGGGGTCTGCTCAGCCAGTTGTGGACGGGGATGAGCTCGGTGTAGGAGGTCCTGCACGGTACCTCCCGAACGATGGTCCCTGAACACTTGGGGCCCTCAGCGGTCCCCTGCAGGAGGTAGTGCAAACCTGTCCCGTCTGGCAAGGGGAAGAAGATGGAGCCCTAGAAATAAAGAACGGGATGGGGTGAGCTCTTTTGCTTTCTGGTCAGAACAGCTACTGGCTCTCAAGCACCCTCAGACTGTTTGCAGGTCCCTGTGACTCGAGCAGCGCTGAGTGATGCAGGCAGTGGAGCTGTGACCACAGGTGGAGGTGGTGTCACTGTCCCCACTCAGGCTGGCACAAGCACAGGGCATTGCTAAGCTTGACTACCCTTGATCTAAGGGCTTGTCTCTCAAACAGCGCCCATGGAAATGGAGGGAAAAATCACCCCTCTCTGTTCAGCCTGGGCCCCTTAGGAAAGGCTCCTTCCAAAGCTCCCACATCGCTGAAGGTGATGCCAAGAGATGCCCCGGGCACGATCCCACCCGACAGCCTGCTCTCAGACCAGCAGCACAGCTTTGCCCCGTTGTTGCAAACATCTTTGAGAACATCTCATCCAACCTCCTGCCCAAAGCAGGGGGAGCTCTGGGGGTCATGCTACAAGGGTCAGCATGCTGGCCCGTCACATACCTGGTGCTTCTTTTTGTCGGAGCTCATGGTTAGGGGGTTGTAGGTGATCTTGTAGGGCTTGTTTTGCTCGTTGGCCTCCAGGTGGAAGAATTCAGGCCCTTTCCAGTGTTCGCCCTCAATGATGGGCTTCACGGTGCAGGCCTCGTTGCTCGGGTTGGACAGGAGGACGGTCTGGCTGTGTGTCTCACGCACGTCACATGCAAACATCAGCGTCTGCAACGGAGGAGCACAGAGGGGGCCTGGCTGTCCAGCGAGATCCTTTCACTGCCATGGGGCTGGCATCTGCTCACCAGCTGGCATAGAGGGCAGAGGAAGAGGCAGAAGCCTGGAGTTGGGGTGGGAGCTGTGGGGCAGGCAGTGTGGGCTGTCAGCCCCAGCTGGAAGCGGGTCCTGCACTGTCTGGGGGGCTGGGAGAGCTGTAAAGGACTCAGAACGGATCTATACCAGGCTCTGGAGCACAGCAAGAAGCATTTTAGGAAAAGTTACGTACAAAACATCCATTCAGACCACAGGCTTTGGGGTCAACCAAGCTGCTTGTTCTCAGAAGAAGGGAGAGGAACGAGGCTTTTACATGCTGGTGATGAGGCTGCAGCTTCCCAAGGAGGGGAGGAAGAAACGGGGAGCAGGTGAAGGGCCTACAGTCCCTATCCTGGCCCTGCTGCTGTTACCTCTTTGCTCACGGGGGCCTCCAGGCAGCACCCCGCCAGCGTAAGCCGCAGCGGCTCGCTGCCCTGGATGAAGCACTGCAGCCCCTCGTACTGGATAGCCAGGCTCGGCTTCGAGGGGTGGAAGCTGACGACGAAGGGGACGTCCATTCCTGGGGAGATGTACCCCTTCGTGGGGCTGATGGAGAAATCGGGCTTGAAGCTCTTGACGTCCCACCTAAACCTTGCCAAGGAAAGCACAAAGACAGAAGGAAGGATTAGCGATGGGGAGGCTGCGGATGCAACGTGCTGCTCCAAACCTCCTGCGGGCTTCTCCGCAGGATCTCAGGCATGGCAAGGTTTCAAGCTGAGCAGGACTCAGCTTGCACCCGTCTATAAAAGATGTGGGTGTATCCCTGCTGCACAATCTCGGCTCCAGTGGGACAAAAAGCAGAGGAGAGCTGTCTGGGCATGCTACAGCACCACCAAACCCTCGCCCAAGCTCCCAGCACTCAGAGGGAGCAGGGGGTTGCCTTACTTGACTCCTATGTCGCCCGTGTTCTGCATGACGATGCGCTGCGACGCCTGGCTCTGCTGCAGCACCGCTCCGAAGTTGAGGTGCTCCTGGTCCAGGCTGACGTGGATGCCCTGGCAGGAGCCCCGCACCATGAAGAGGGAGCGCGCCAGCCCCTTGCTCTCCAGCATCACTTCCCCAGCGAACGGCTGGATGCGGCGCTTTGGGGAGAAAACCACCTCCACTTTACAGGTGTCTCCTTTGGGCTTCAGATTCAGTTCGCCGGTGGGGTGCAAGCAGAGAACCTGCACAAAGAAATGGGTGGAAACTGCTTCATCTGGCAACCGAGCTGCGAGTCTCGCCCTCTTAAGGTGTTTTCCTGTGACACATCCTTCTGGCCATGGCAAGCGGGACTGCACCTTTCCAGAGCCATCCTGTGCAAACCTCAAGAGAGCTGTAACTCTCGGTCATCAAAGACTGGTTTGCCTTCCTTATCTTCCCATATCTGAAATACACGGCCACATCCAAACATGGGTGTTTCAACCAAGCTAGAGGAATCATGCCTGCTTCTCACTGCTGGCTGCTAAGGGAGCTGTGACACCTCACATCACAGGTATCTGCTGATCGAGCACCCTCAGGAGGCAGGGCAGGGCAGCACACAGGCAGCCAACACAACTGCAATTAATGCTAGCTCCCACCTGGAGCAGCCTTACCCCGTGTTCTTGCAGCTCTGGCTCAGAGGACTTGAAGCTGAGCTTGAAAGTGAGCGGGGCGAGACTGTTGTTTGCTATGGTGACAGACTTCTTCACCGTCTGCCCGATGGAGAGGGCTCCCAGCTTCACCACCTTGCCTTGTGGTTCCACAACATCAACCTGGGGCAGGAGGGATTAGTATGAAGCAAAAGGCAAGGAGGAGGAAAGGTTTTCTACCCCCTCATGGCAGAAAAGCAGAAGAGGGCAAGGGAAGAGGGGTGGGGAAGTGAGAGAGCCATGCTGGCGGGCTGTAACCCGAGTTTTAGGATTTGGATGTCATCCCACCTTCATTTCCGTGCCCCTTCCTTGGATCTCCACAGTCTGGTGGTAAAGGCCATTGATTTCAAAACGGATGAGCTCCTGGTAAGATGCAACCTCTCTGGGGTAGAAAGTGACGGGCACCTCCACAGCCCCTCCCGGGCGAAGGATGCACGCTGGGCAGCCCACCTCCAGGTGCGCGGTGCCTTCGAACAGGCAGCTCAGGCTGGCAGAAAGCACAGGGAGAAGCAGAGGTGTCACGAGGCTGCGTGTGCTCCACGGGAGACATCGGGGCTGCTCGGGGCTCTCCCGTCTCCTCTCACTGCATCCTAAGGCCAGGAGGGCCCGGATGGTCCTTCCCGAGGGTGCGTTATCCTGGCACGGGGTCCCTGCTGTTGTGGCTTCCCTGGGACACCTCAGCCAGGCTTTTTGTCAGACCCCAGGAGCTCAGAGCAGAGCGGTGCAGCCTGCTCAGCCTGCCTGTGACACCAGACCCTGTCTCCTCATGCAGCCCAACCCCTGTTTGGCCAACAGCCCTGCTTGCAGCAAGGACGTGGAGCCAGGACACACCAAGCAAGGGCTGAAGGAGCGTGTGAAGCCCTACCTGACATCCCTGTCTGCTTTGTTCGTGATGACGAGGGTCTGCTGGGCAGGTGGCATCCCAGCCTGGTAGACAAAGCAGGCTCCAAAGTTGAGTCTGGTGGCAGAGAAGTGGACGGCGGGCACTACCACGGTGGCCAGGAACATGCAGGTAAACGTGGGACCCTGGCTGATCTGGGGGGCAGAGAGACAGCGTGAGCCAGCTGAAGGGATGGGAACTGAAACCACAAACAGCAGAGGTGGCTGAGGAATGGCATGGGGGACAATAAGGAAAACCAGGTGCTGAAGGACAGCAGGAAGGTGGCCTGGGAGGGGAAGGTTTTGGGGAGTTATGGCTCCTGCTGGTGCATGGGGAAGGCGAAGGTCCCGTACCAAACGTGGGTGCCTCACCTGCAGCGTCAGCTCCACGTCCTTTAAAGAGCACATTTTCAGCGGGTGGAAAACCAGCTGGGTCTCCACTTTGCTCTCAGCCTGCACGTTGCCCGTCTGAGGGGCAAGGGTGAGGTGCTGCAGTCGGGCTGCAGGGCCGCTCAGCTCCCACGAGAAGCTGAAGCCGAATTTTCCGCTATTGTGGATGCTGAAGACGCACTTGGTGCTCTCGTTCAGCTGCACCTGCAGGGAGACAGAGGCGAGGACACGTGGAGCACCAGCTGACAGCACGGGCTCCTTCCTCGTGTGCTCCTGGGGCCTTCCTGGGGCTGAGGACTGCTGTCAAGGCTCAGCCTTGCTCTCTTGAGACCAGCTTAAAAACTTAAATGAAGATAACCAAGTCCTGCTCACCTCCTCAAAATCAATGATGTTGATGTCCTGCGTGCTGAGCTCGGTGCTGCGGCCGTCGCCATGCTCATACCTGACGGACACGCTCGTGCTGTAGCCACTGGCCTTGATATTCAAGCAGAGGGGCTCCGTCTTCCTCTTGACATCACACTTGAGGTTGAAGACCACCTCTCCTTCCAGTGTGGGTGTGAAGGAGACTGTAATGGGAAGCCTGGGGAGAGGAGACCCTTTTTTCTGCTCCGTTCACCACCTCTGACATCTTTTTTGGCCCTGTGCTGCCTGGCTCATGGGAGAGCAGTAACTGATGCAGGGTGCTCTCTTATCACACAGCCGGTACCAGGTCACAGCTCAGCATCTTCTAAGCCACAGCAAAGCCACCCAGAGCTCACATTCTCTCCAGGCACTGGGGCAGGCTGTGAGTGGGCACAGGGACATCCTCGGTGGGTCAGCAGTGTGCTGGTGGCCTGTGGCACTGCTTGCACAGCCCCTGGCTCAGGGTGAAGCCCCAGAACGTGCTTTTGCCATCAAAAATAAAAGATCCAAGCTCACACTTCTCTAGGAAAGGAGCCTGGAAGTCCAGTGAAACCCAGACACAGCCACCAGACAGAGAAACGTGCTGACCCGTGGTGTCCCCAGGGGGAAAGATTGAAACAAGCTGGATGTTGCTGCGAGTCATCTCATGACTACAGAGGGGAGAAAGCCTCAAAAGCAAGGTGAGCGTGCAACATTTGGCAGGTGGGAGAGGGCACATGGCCAGGGATGCTGCCGCATTACCTTGAAAGGGGAGCGATGGAGCCTTCCAGGGGCTCTATTTTCACGGAGGTGTTGCATCCCTCTGAGAAGAGAGAGCTTTCTCTGAAGGCAAAGCTGAAGGCTTCCTTCTCACTGTTGATCATATAGATGGTCTGGTGAACCTTGTGTCCTGGGGAAGGGATGGAGCAGCTGCTGCAAACCCTTTGGCAGCTGCACACTGTGCTCCTGGCCAGGGTGGTTGCAGGTTTCTGACCCCCTGGGCTCCAAGGCATCACCCCCAAATCCTCTCTTAGAAGCCCCAGACATGCACTATGCCCCAAACACCCACGTCTTCCTCCCTTCCCCTTCCTCTCCCTCATACACTCGGGTCCAGGAGCTGGCTGATCTGCTCACACCAGTGCCTGATCCCATTTCCAGCTTCCTTTTTGGAGCTGCTGGAGCAGGAGGACTGGAGCAGCGCACATCTGAGTGCATTAAGGTACAACCATGGTGCTCACCGACTAACAGCAAGTGGAAGTTCAGGTGGGACCTGTCCAGAGTCACCAGCGGGTCGGTGGTGTTGCCCACCAGCAGGAACGGGACCGAAACGCTCTGCTCGGGGATCGTAAAGACCCAGAATGACTCTGTGATGTCCAGATGCTGAGGGATGAATTCAAACTTCATCTGGGGAGAAAGAGGCAAATGAAGGGAAGTTGGCAGGGGTAAGAGAAGAGGGATGCATGCTGCACCATAGAGAAACCCCAGAAAGCTCCACCTCATGCACTGCCAACTCAGAAAGAGGCCACTTACAGCCTAAAGGCATGGCAGGTAGGGTACAGAGTGACAACAGGCTCATCTGACAGCTTATTTGTGCTGTATTCAAAGGTTGCCTCATGGTCGTGGCTAAAGCAAGCTCACAGTGAGGTGGGACATCCCGAGAGTGCAGACACAGCTGGTGCCAAACTGGTGCACATGTGTGCCGGACCCACCTTCTTCTCTTTCTGCACCCACCTCTGTTTTCTTCCCCGGCTGGATCTGCCCTCTCTCTGTGAGGCAGAAGAAAGCTGTCTGTTCTGGTGGAGCTACAGGGTCTTGGCAAGTCCATTGGAAGGAGTAGGCGGAACTGGTTGGGTTCATAACCATGAAGGTCCTGGGCACACAAAGTGAAAAAGACTATGAAGGTGGCTTTGGGAGGTCAATAATTCCATCCTGCTGCAAATGTCAGGCACTGCCAGTCCTGGATGCCATCCAGTTGTTGGGTACAGGTGGATGACGCTGGCACCATGAATGTTGTGCCTGCTTTTTGGGAGCCCTGTTTGTCTCCCAGGCTGACATAACAACAGCCATTGAGAAAGAAATTAGCAAGGGCATAGCCAAACTTCTGCACATTAAAAAGGTAAAATCAAGTTCAGCAAGACTCCTTTGGAAGGTGATAGTGTCTGTACTAGTTGCAGCCTTTGCTGACCCTGTTGACTGGTGCCTCAAAAGAGCAAAAATGTCCCGAGGATGCTTTTCAAAGGGACAAAGGTTGTATGGCCACGTAACACAAGCTATGTGTGGTCCTCCCAGACCAACCCACACCAACTGAGGAGGCATTACCAGCTGTGATATTGAAGAAAAGGGCAAAGAGAACAAAAAATTGGCCACGTGGTCTTGGCCCCTGACCATCTTGTTCCAGCCAATGTCAGCAGGTCACAGATGTGGTGCAGATGTGCCATGGGGTTTGGAAGAGGAGCTGGAGAGGTCTCTGGTTGACCAAGAGACCATCAACAGGGGAGCCGTGCCCACACCTACCTGCTGTTCCTGCTACACACACCAATTGCTGCAAACTCCACCACCCTCGTGTTGAGACCCAGCGTTGTCCCCTTCGGGTTCTGCAGCTCGGGGCTGCGCCTTTCTGCAGTGATGTAGTCGGAGTCTTCCAGCTCGAAGTGGCAAAATGGCATCTGGCTTCTCCCCTTCACGATCACTTCTGGGCCCTTCTGATTCGGCTTCAGGTTGGGAATACTAGGAAGAAAGGGGCTGGTGTTATTATTTCCATACTGCTGGCTGCTTGTGCTGCATCCTCTCTCAGTGCAAGCATTGTCAAACAGAACTGCAAAGCTGACACGGCAGAAACACGAACAGAGGTGTGCCTAGAGCAGCACACAAGTTTCTGCACGGAGAAGGAGGTCCTGTTTGTCTGATAAAGAAGCACAGCTAGGGGTTAGCTGGCCCTTGGACAGCCTTTCTGGATCTCTCATTCCAGATTTCACAATCCTTCAGGAGCTTAAAAATAAACTGTCATTTCCCAGTGTCTCCATATCTGCTTTTACAAGGCCAGTCCACCTTTATTTGTTCCTGAGTGCTCGTTGTTTCTGCAGACTCTGGGGCTTGCTGTCCCCAGCTCTGCATTCCCACCCCCCAGGCAGAGGCAATACCATGACTCAGGGTAGCCTGAGTTAACAAGTTAGCGATCCTGGATGCTTCCTACCTGCAGAGCATGCGGCTCTCGAAGTCCCCCACGTACACCGGGGAGAACTTCATCTGGAAGGGCTGCTCCTGGCCGGCAGGGATGGTGCCACTGCGGGGCTCGACAGAGAAGAACGAGGTGGCGCAGACGGTGCTCGGGGGCGAGCTCAGGGAGGACGAGTCGTGCCCCAGAGAGCAGCCCCGCTGGCTGGGCTGAAGCTTCTCGGAGACACCAGAAGCACAGGAGACGAAATGCCCTGCGGGGAGGAAGAGGTTAGCAGGACATCTTCTTCCAAGAAGGAATCTGGTGCTCCTCCTGCTGCAAGTGGATGGGAGGAGAGACGGGATGCTCTTGGCATGTCCCTAAGGCCATGCTTTCAGCAGGTCTCCCATCGAGGAACAGAGTGGTCAAGGTTATCTTGCTTCTGTGTTACTGCTGGCCAAGTTGTAATCCTGGAAAGTCTCAGGGATAGGTGTGAAAGTCAGGACAGACAACAGGGAGACTTGGGGACAGGAGAGGACAAATAGAGTGAAAAGGCCCAGCAGAACCAGAGAACTGCTTAGATCAAAACACAACACTGAACATCACTCCACAGAAGTGATTCCAGCCTCGGATGAAGGCTATGTCTCTGGTAGCAAATTAAATGAGCCCAGGACTGAAGCCAGCTGCTTCACTCCGTGTTGTTAAACTCTCTCCATCTCCAGAAAGGAGTTACTAGATGCAGACTTCTCCTGCAGAATGGTTTCTGGCCAGCGCTTGCTCTCAAAATATTTCCAGGAACTACTGTGAGAATTGGCCTGGGTCAAACCTGTGTCAACTAGCTGTAGAGATCAGTGTGTTATAGCACCTGGGTGCTATTTCATGTCAGACAGCCTCATCTCTTAGGGACAGCATTAAGTCCAGTTTAAATTAGTGACTAAAACACACTGGGCAGACCCAGCTGCCACGCAGAGCCAGTGCCTTACCTTTCAGGGTGGTGAGGAGCAGCTCCCCAGCTGGGCTCGCTGCCCTTTCATCCCCCACGTCCTCCATCCAGGTGTATTCCAGGGCCACATTCCCTGTGTTGGACAGCTGGAAACTGGAAAGCAAGAGGGAAAACAAAACAAAACAAAGCAAAAAACATAAATATGAACCAAGTAGAGAAGTAACACTGCCAGGTGGGCTCCTGGCGCCCTTCTTTGTGCTGAGCAGTGTGTTCTTCCCCAGCCTTGCCTCCATTGCTGTCCTGGGCTGCCAGGGACAAAGTAATTGCAAGTTTAGAATTTAGAGGAAGGTGCAGACACGGTGCCTGGGAGACTTAACCCAAGGGGTTTATTCCAGCCTCATATCTCAAGTTGGCATCATTTTGACAGCAAACTTGTCCTTGAGCAAGTGAGGACTGGCAACACGCAAGGAGAGCAAAACCATGGTTGCTCCCAGCAGAAAAACCCAGCAGAATTGCACCTCCCCAGCACCGCAACCAGGAGCATCCCTCTCCAGGTCTCAGCAGCCTGATGGAAATTGGAAGAGGTTTATGAAATGGCTGTGCAATGAGCGTGTCGGGGGGCTGGTGGTATGGGAGCATGAGTAGAAGGAAAAGCAGCAGCCACTGGAGCCCACCACGGCTCTGGGGAAGCAGGCACTGGCTGTGTGGTGCTGTGGCAGCCCTGGGCAAAGGCTGCTCCCTGCCTGACCTCCACCACTCACGTGAATGTCCTCGTCTGGAAGAGCAAGGTCTCCTTGAAATGAATTGCGTCCGTATCCAGCTTGAAGTCGGCGTAATCGACGACAGCGCTGAGGCGAAGCTCCACCTCGCGGCTGCTCCTCTCCAGGAGGCTGTGTGCTGGTTCTGGGTCTGTCTCAATCACCTCCAAAGAGCACAGGGAGGAATCACTGAGCAGGGCCCAGAAAGCCAGGCTGAGCTTGGGGCCTTTGGGCCTCCAAAATCAACCACGTATAGGGGTTAGGAAGGACCGTTCCCATTTATTTCCCTGGAAGGAGGGCAAAATCTGACCCTGCTGCTAATCACTAAGGTGTTTGTTCCTCCATGCTGCTTGAAGCAGTCACCACCATGACTGTGAGCACACTGGTGGGGATGATGACCAGCTATCAGTCCCCACATTCTGATTCTGTAGAACGACCTTTTTCCTGGCACCCTACAAATCTGTCAGGTCTCTAAATTGGGATTAAGCTCCCCGGTGGAGCTCCGTGGATGGAGAAACCCAAGAATGAACAAATCTAGAAAGTGCTTTCCAAATGTCACGTGTGGGACAACAGCTGCCAGGCATCCTGGGATGGGAATGAATTTACTAGGGAAATCTCTGGCTACTGATGGTAGAAGGTTGGAGAAAAAAAATGGTTTAGGGGTCTTACAATGGCTCAGAAACCAAAGAAGAGACACTCAAGATAAGAGTGCTTCATCACTAATTATAGGAAAGCAAGAGCTTCCAGAGACTATACTCTGGACTCCCATATGGCTGCCCCATGCTGCTGGGGCTGTTCCATTATGAGATAGCCCACATGATATAGAGACCACAACAGAAATCTCAGCAGCATGGACAGAGCTCACCCAAAACGTGCCCGTGGGCTAGCCAGAGTGCACAGATGAGAGTTTCACTCTCCACTGCAAAACAAGAGCTAGAGCACAGTGGGGTTAACTCTCCATTGGCACAAAAGGCACTGAATCAGATGAAGAGTTATTAACACCCTAAAATGTGTTCTAAAAATAAAACGTTCTAAAAATGTTCTAAATAAAATGTTCTAAAAATAAAATAACATGAGCTGCGACACTTCTGAGACCGACATTTGCAAGTGACTAAAACATCTCTCACCAACAGACTTCCCCATCTCGTGTGAGCATAACAGGTCGCAGCGAATCCATCTCTCCCCAAAAACACACCGCTGGTTAAAACTCACAGATGGCTCCCATTTCAGGAGGAAGCAGGGACTGCTAAGCCAGCAGATGGTGGCCTGCTGCCGTGGGCACCTAGTTTTGTGGAAGCTGGGTGAGCTTTTGCTGTCGTGCTCCTTACCTTCTTCTTGACAGGCCATGTGGCTGCCTGGCCCCTCGTGGTATCCACCCACTTGACGGTGCGCAGGCGGTCGTCCCAGTCGGTGACCTGCTCCGGTGGCAGCTGGAAGGCGATCCTGGCCACCTTGCACCTCACAGGCTGCCTTCTGAAGGTGACTGCCACGTCTGATTTCAAGGTCACTGTGATGTCCTTAGTGCAGCCAGCATGGAGGTGTCCCACCTACAGCAGAGAGCCAACCAAACTGGAATCAGCCAGGGCAGGACTGGCAGAGAGGACACCACCTCCCATAGCAGGGAGACTTTTTGGTGGGGTGGAGAGCCCTGCCCCAACAAAGCTCCCTGTCTGGCAGAGTCAGCATCTGCTCGGGGCACTGAAACGTGGCACCAGTACATGGAAAGTCACCGGTGGATCCCAGGAGATGTCTGGCAGTGTTTGGGTAGTGGGAAAGGCAGAAGTGCCTGAGCTCACCTGGGGGGAGAAGTGAAACGGGGGGCCTGCCGGCCACTCGAACCGCATCGCCTCCGCCCGGCTGCGGTTGGTGATGGTGAAGGTGGCCTGGTAGGGCTTCCCAATGTGACAGTCCCCGAACTGGATGTGATCTGCTCTGACAGCTGTTAAGAAGCACAAGGGATGTCAGCGGGCAGCCAGGTCCATCCACCCCCAGAACACGCACGTCTAACTCTTTTCCTCGCTCCAAGCCCTCTTGCCTCTGGGAGATGCACTTCCCTGCTCTACCCCTGTCCCTCAGAGATGCACCCTGACACGTCCCTGAACGTGGTGCAGAGGGATGTGCATTGCAGCATGCCCATGGCAGGCACGCTCACAGACCACCAGGCCTGGTGGGTGACACGGGATGTCCTGGTGGAGAGGATATGGGATCATACATGGCCTTCATCCCCACAGGACACCACGTGCCAATAGACCTCTTGTGGCCCTCGTGTTCCCACGTGTGGCTGCTGTGCAGGCTACAGAAGACAACAGGATCTGTCCACTAAGGCTATGCCACACCACACTGGCCCAGGGTGAACAGAAACGTGTACTTTCCTATTCTTTATTCCCTCTTGGCAGCCTCTCTTCTCTTACCTTCAATTGTGTCCTCCTCCAGATCGCCCTCAGAGCTCTCCTCAGGGCTCTCCTCAGCGCTGTCTGCCACGAGTCCGTGGATGTTGTCTATCGTGAAGTCATCCTCGTAGCCTTCACCCACCAGCTGAATGTTGGTCTCTTCGTAGGGGTTGTCCACCACGGACAGGTGGATCTTCCCTTCCACGCGCTGGGGCAGGCTGGGTTTGAAAAGCACGTCAAACTCTGCTGATTCCCCACGGTGCAGGACCAGGGAAGCGGTGTGGGGCTTCGTCCCTGCAGAGTGAAGTGAGAGACAGGGACACAGCTGCACAGAGGAAACACCTCCAGAGGGTATAAGAGGAATAAGTGGCTGCAACCCAGCTGTCTCTAAGCACAGGTTCTCCCCCCAGAGGCTCACAAGACTGTGATGACACCATGCATATCCTGAAGTGTCTTAACTTCTTAACACCTGGCTCTCAAACTGCCTCCAGCCAGCTCCTGCCATACCTAAGCTGAGTCAAACAGTGTTTTCGGCTTCTGGTGGCTGGCTGTGGGATCAAGGGCTGCCTTCGTTCAGGCTGGTAGCTCCCCACACACAGCAAAGACCTCAGATGGTCCATTGAAGTGCTGATAGTTCCCCAGGGCTTTCCCACAGCTTGACCCACCATGCCCAGAAGAGCAGAAAAAATTCCTACAGCTTGGTGGGAAGAAATTCTGGAGCAGCACAATCTGTGGTACAAAGTCCACATTAAAAGCTAGGGGTAGAGAGAGCCCCAGGGAAGAAACTGTCTCTAATACCTGCTGCTTGGCCAAACCATAAGCGGGGCACAGCCTTCCCTGTGTGGATGACCACACTCCATGGTTAATGCATCTACCTTCTCCAGCAGAGTCCTCCTTCATACCTGCAGCCTGGTAGATGCACTGCGTGGTTGGCCTGGCTCTCAGGAAGAAAACTCCCCCTTCGTCCAACAGATCTATCATCACCTGAGAAAAGGGAACACAGCATAACCGCATCTGTGAGGGTACAGGAGTGCCCGTGGACCACCACCGAGCTGCTGCTGGTCCACCACTGGGAACCCAGCATGCTGCTCTGCTTCACACACAACTCTTAGAGTGAAGTGGAAGTAAAATCAGACAGAAAAAGTGGTCAGAGGTGATGGAACGTAGTTAAAATATAAGTAAACAGGACAGAGTATTAAAAAGTAATGAGCAGAATGGAATTAAACGACAACTGAGTTTAATGAAAATGTAGTAAAACGTGGTCAGATAGAATATAACGTAACTAGGACACCACACATTGCCACTGAGAACCAAAACACGAGCAGGGAGGGGTGGGAAGGGGTCACGCAGGGTAGCAGCACATCCCAGCCGTGTTTTCTGGGGCCTCTCTCTCCTCCACGGGAGGAGGGCTTGTTCCCAGAGCAGAGGGTGCATTCCCCAGGCAGGTCCTCACCTGGACGGGTACACCGCCGGCGTTATGAAGGACCAGAGGGAGCTTTTCGGAGTCACCCAGCAGCAGCTTCTTGAAGAGGAGCAGAGGGTTCCCTCCCTTACTGTGAAGGACCGGGCGCAGGACCGTGACCCGAGGCAGATTTCCCTCTCCACTGATATCAAACGTCAGGCTTTGGGCTTTAATTGCTGCAGGGCTGCAGGAGGGGCAGAGGAGAATTTGTTGTTGGTGGCAATAACCCATTTTCCATTTGCCAGGCAATGAATGTGTGCCACCCACAGCACCCCTTGTCCCTATCCTCCCATGTCCTGAACGTGGTTCCAGGACAGAGTAACCAGCTGCTTTTACAAGGGCTGCAGTTGTTTTTTAATATGGAATACCATGACGTACCCTAGATTAATCACATACAGCCATCTCCTTGGAACATAAACGAGGAGGAGATAACATATGGTGGCTTCCTGCCACAGAAACCACTTCATCCAGCCCTTTGGCCTTGGAAAGCCCCACCTCAGCAGCTGCACCTCCACTTTTTTCTGATTCACTAACTTCCAGTTGGCTACCTAACGTTGAGCAGACTTCATAGCCAATAATACACGCTAAACTATGACTCTTACTCTTCTGCCCTGCTCTACCTAGTAGTCACTACATGTTCCAGTGCTAACTCTTCTTCCTAGGGCTACTACAAGAGCCAGGACTGATGACAGGTCCGCATCCTGCCAGAGGAGAAGCAGCTATCAGAGAGGTCCCCCCGTGAGCTCACAGGGTGCATTACCTTGTCTGGGCATCAAGTGAAGCTTCAAAAGTGCACTGGTAGCTCTGCATGGTTTGGGGAGTGAAGGTCACCGTGGCGAAGGCGTGGGAGCGGCTGGGCACGCACATCTGGACGGGGTCCACCTCGAAAACATCGCTGATGCGGCTGTTGGGCTGGGGGAAGCGCACAGAGCAGAGTTAGGAGGAAACATCCCTTCTGTGTGATGTAGTCTGATGCACGTCGTGGTGGCTGGGGACAGGACAAGATCCTTCTGTCTCAGGGGGTGACTCCAAAGTGGTGCTGGCCTTGGAGACGGAGCTGCCATAAAGCCCAGGAGGGCCAAAGCTTGCTCTGAGTGCTTCCACAAACAGAGGAATGAGCCAAAACCTTGCTTGAGACATGCTGAGTTCAAACCAGCTGCCACCTGGGGCTGCTGCTCTCCCCCATAGCTTCATCTGCACAGAGCTGGACTAGAATGAGTGAGGTGAACCTGGAGAACGAGGCAGGCTCCTACCTTAGAAGAACAACAATCACCTTGGCTTCTATTTCTTACCTTACCAGAGATGGGTCTGATGGAGAGGACCACGTTGCAGGGGACTTTGCCCACGTTGCGGATCTTGAAGCGAGCAGTGGCCCGGTGCCCAACCAGGACGTTGGTGAAGATGAACTTGTTCTCGTCTGTGATGAACACGCCCTTGTCCTGCACGGTCTGCAGGATCTGGCAGAGGTTGGTGTTGCTGCAGATGCGGTGTTCCTCAAAGATGGACCCTACGTCGTCAGCCACAAACGCTGCGAGAAGAAAGGAGGGAGGGCTGAGATGGAGAAGGCTTCCTGCTGGGTTTAGCTGGACCTCGTTGGCCTCACAGAAGGCCCAGGCCACTACAAAATTCTGCCTGGAAGCCCAGGAACCCTCAGTCTTAAAGGGCATTGCTTCCTCTTTGCCCTTCCATGTACCCCTCCCAGCCTCTCCCCCTGGTGCACTTGAAAACCTTTGGGGGTTGCAGCCCTTTCAAGAGGTCTGGGTGCTCAGCAGCAGCAGGTCTGGCCACGGGAACCTGGGGATGGGCGTACCTGGGAGGCAGGACTCAGCCAGCAGGGTATAGGGGATGCCCAGGGGGTTGTCCCGGGGGTCCCTGTCGCTGATATCGATGGAGAGGTGCTCCTCGCATGGCCCAAGTGGCTCCGCGTGGCAATCCACCGTGATTGTCTGCTCGTCCCCTGGATGGATGGAGCCGAAGCCGGGGTACACCGTGAACATGCCCACAGTGAAGCGAGCCTGCAGAAAGAGTCCCAGGAGAGGCTGAGGGCTGGCAGCCCGGCCTTGGGTATCCCCAGCAAGGACTGTACCTCCTGGCCTCCAGATGGGCCACGGGCAAGAAGGGATGGTCCAAGGCCCAGGGGCAGCCCCAGGATGAGAGGGCAGGGAAGGGAGAGCCCCAAAGGGCTCCAGGTCTGAGCCTCTGCTGGTGGCTGGGAGGCGATGGAGATCCAAGCACCTGCACACACAGACCATGTCCCATCCCGCAGCTGTGAGCCCCGTCCCAGGCGCAGTCAAGCCCCCTGACCCCGCCACGTGCTGGGGGAGCAGGAGCCACCCACCTGCATGGAGGTGTTCGTCTCCTTCTGCAGGGACTGCTTGCTTTGCTTCGCAGAGGTTATCACCTTGCCCACGTTTTCATTCTCCTGGGAGTGGTTGGATTTCTTGTAATGGGCGCTGGGGGGAGAAAGCACAAAAACACCCACGGTGCTGAGCTCCCCTGGCCATCCTCCGAGGCCAGGGGCTGACCTTCCTCCCTATGAAGGAAATCCTTCCAGGTTCACGTTCCTGACGGCTCCTCCTGCTGCCACAGGGCAGGGACAGACCAGCCGTACCACCAGCTTTGTCCTATGCGTGGGGACACTGAGGCATTTTGGGTCCTCTGCTCACAAAGGGACCAAAACCCAGTGCCCTGGTCACACCCCTTCCCTCAGCCCTGGCTGGGAAGGGTGCTGCAGCTCTTCCCTCACCTTTTCCTTGCCAGCCCAGACACATCCTGGTCCGCTCTGCAGACGAGGAACTTAAAGTCGAGGCTGCCTCTGTTCTCCAGCGTGATGGCGCAGGTTTTCTTGGTGCCGTTGACCAGGGCGCCGAAGTTGATGAGCGAGGCCGGGGTGATGCTGTACTTGCTGAACACAGCTTTGGCAGACACCCGCACGGGGATGATGGCGATGGCCTCCCCTCCATCGCGGAGGCTGGGCTCAATCACCTGCAGCCAGGGGAGGGGTTGGTAAGGCAGCAAGGCGACCAGCCCCGCTGTCCCCTAATGCCACCCCATGTCCCCTTCAACCTCCCCTATTTAAATCCAGCTGTTTCAATGCCTCCTCCAGAGCCAGATTTTCAGCTCTACTTAAGAAGCATCCCCAACAGCTTCTGGAAAACTGCTGTGTACATCTAAGAGAGGGTTCCCCAGCTAAACCTTTCCTTCCAGAGGACACATGTCCTGCTAACACCTGGACAAGTGCCCCCCTGGCTCGGGCAGCTCACCTGGCACTTCAGGATGGGTTTGTCCTCGATGCTTATTTCTGCCTTGGGGTGGAAGAGCAGCTGGACCTGCACGGGGCGCTCAGAGACGGTCAGCACTGCCTTTTGGTGGCTGGATAGAGAAGTGGGATGCCAAGTCTGGGATGCTGGTATCTGCATTTTCTATCTTGAAGCTGGGGACAAAGGGAAGGAACAAAGACCTCTGTGGTTAGAGGTCCTGGGTGGCAGCAGCACAGCCAGCACCTCGCATAGGACCTTAAGGAAAAAAAATAATAAATGAAAGGGTCCAACTCTGCTTGGGAAATCCCAGATTTTAACACAGACTACAGACAAGAGTGCTGTAAGCTCACTTCAACACTGATTTTGGCATTCCCTTCTTTAAAGACCTTCACAGAGAGAAATGAGTACACCCTCAAATGAAGGGAAACAATCTCATCAGTACGGGGAGCTTAAATTTCAGCCTCTTCTTTTGGTTCCTGCTGAGCCGTAAAGAACTGCTTGTGGCTGCATTCTCTGTTAAAATATTTGAGGTACGAGAGCCTGGATTTTGTGTCTACCCAAACTATGAGGAAGCCAGCATGGGAAAAGGTTCCAGCCATGGACAGGCTGGGACACAGAGCTGGGCAGAGGGTGGCACTGTGCACGGACAGAGCAGGCAGCCAGAGCTGCGACCCACCTGTACGCGATCTCATACTTCCCTTTGTTCTTCAGGGTCAGTGCTTGCTTTGTATCATCCAGCACCTTAAGGACTCCAAAATCCACGTTGCCGTCTGTACCTGCAGTGTTCCCACAGAGAGAGGTAGGAGATGGTGAATATCTGAGAGCTGCTGGGGGCTGCACCAAGCGACAAGGTACATAAACAAAGTTCTCAGACATCACAAAATCCTCAGCAGGTTTCCCCATCCTGGGAGCTTTCCCCAGCTGCTCTGCTGCCCTTTCTCTTGCTTGGAGAGAATCTGCAGGGGTCAACAGCTAATGAGCCTGGTTTCCATCTCTCTGCTTCCAAGCACAGATCCACCAACTCTATGTGCTATGCTGCACCTTCAGGAGGTGCCAGGCACTATATATAACTGGACTATGTTGGTTTGGGTGCATCCACTGACCTTTAGAGATGGTGATGCTCAGGGCAACATCATAGGCCTCCGCGTGGATCTGGATATTTTCAATCTGAACAATCCCCAGGATGTTCTCTGCATCTGAAACCTGAGGCAGCAAGAAACAAACACTGCTCGGACAATTCTCCTCTATTCTTTCAGTAGGTGATATAACGGTCCTTGTCTCTACTGGCTGGCTCCACCATGGCCTCCCCTGCTTCGTGGGCTATCAGTCTCTTAAATCACCCAACATCCTCACCAAAAGGCAGCCATAGGGGACAAAATCCCAGGGTGAGAGTTTGCTGCCCTATCTTAAAAGCCACAGACGGACTTCAGGATGGGTGCTGAGAATGCACCAACATCTGGACAACCAAACGACAGCATTCAGCCCTGCAGAGCAGCAAGGTGCTTGTGGCATGGGCTCAGGATGCTGCCCCGTGATCCAGGCTGACATCCCTCAGGACCTCAGGTGAGCCTTGCCGGGGAGAGCAGGGTGCCCTCACCTCCAGCCGGATGGTCTTCTTCACGCTCAGCGCCTTGGTGGCCATGAAATGCAGGTACACCTCCAGCTCCGTGCAGGGCCCCACCACACCTTCATCCTGCGACACCGAGAAGTCCTCGCCGAGGTTTTCCAGCCCGCTGAGCCTCCAGGCTGCGGGCAGCGGGTTGGAGTTTCGCAGCACCAGCTTCTTGCTGTCCCTCCTGCAGGGACACGAGGATGCTCAGCACCGGCGGCTGGGCGAGCATCGCGACTGGAGGCGGCTTGGGGCAGCCCCAGGGGTGGGACCAGTTGGGTGTCTGCCCTATGTGACAAGCCTGAGAGGTGAGATCTGGGGACTGTGGAGCTCACAGCCACCACGGGATGTCCCAGCCAGCGAGGAATGGTGAGCTGGAGACTGGGAATTGCTGAGGGGAGGAGAGATGTCGGTCCAGCCCCATCCTAAGCAGGCACAAGGCCAGCCAGAGAGCCCAAACTGCTCTTGTCCCTGCCCTAGCAGATGGTCCCCAAGTGGCTGACCTGTGCAGCAGCAGCTTGTCGAAGTGCACCTGCTTGGGGCTGACCCCCAGCTCCACCCGCACCCCCTGGCAGCACAAGGGGAAGACCACCGGCTCCGGGTTCTCCTTAACGCAGCACACGAGTTTGTCTTCAATGAGGCCAGCTGACGTGGGGTACGCCCAAAGGCTCAGCTCCTAGCTCCCCAAAAAAGCAGAGAAGAGGGTTTGGTGAGCAGGAGGAGCAGCCCCCGGGTGCTGCCACCGCTGCCTGCCCGTCCCCTACCTGCTTCTCGTTGGGTTTCAGCGTCATGCTGGGGGGGTCCAAAAGGAACGTGTCTGCTTTGAGGTCGTGCTCAAAGAAGAAATGCACCTCTGCTTCCAAGGAGGTGGTGTTGAGGATGGTTATCTTCTCGCAGTTGCTGGGGTAGTTCTGTGCCTTGTACCTGCCCATGGAAGGGGAGAAGGCTGCAGCAGAGCTGCTGGGATCACTGCCTTTACCACCCACCGAGGCCAGTGCTGTGTCCTGGCAGGAGGATGCTCTCTGCAGCCTCCCAGGATGACCCAACAAGCAGGCTAAGAAAAAGGAACACATTCAGGGGCACGTTGCATGGTGGGCTCAGCCTTCTGGCACCTCCACGTCTGCGCCTTCACCTGGTGCCCCTGTCCTAGAAGCGTGACGATGCACAAGCCACTTAAAGAAAGCATTTTGCAAAATGTAAATTCAAGTGTTCCTGCAAAAATAAAAGCCAGTCAGGCACATGGCCCCTTCCCCACTGCTTTGGTAAGTTTCTTTCCCTGCAGGGTTTAAAAAATGCTTTTGCAAAGGGATTTTAAAAATAGTTTAGCTTTTCTCATTCAGGAAAGCCATGAGACTGCCTTGTGTTTCATGGGTTTGCTCAAAGTCTCAGGAAGGAAAAAAAAGAAAAGGATGCATTCCCAAGAGGAGTGCTAAATTTAACAAGTGTCCCGTCCCTAAGGTGTGAAATAGCACTCGGAGTTAAATGGTTAAACAGCAAACAGAAACCTGAGACCATTCATCAGGCTGGCTAAAGATCCCCTTTTTTTTTTTTTTAAAATCAAAAAATAAAGTTTTTATTTCATTCCCCTGAGTTGTAAAATACAGCTAGATCTCCAGGGCTCCCATAAAGATAAGGGATTCATTTCTAATATTAAAAAAAAAAAGAAAAAAAGAAAAAAAAAAAAAAGATCAGAGTTAAAAATAGACACACACCAGCAGCTCCAATGACTTTTTATAAGCAGACCTTATCCAGCAGTAAGTTTCAGGAAAACATAAATCCGATTTTTCTTCCTCTGCAGGTCACACACATTACACATTGACAGGCCACATCATAAAGCCTGACTACATTACAAATCAATCAGTGGTTTCCAACACCATCCACAGAGTAATTGCTCGTTCAGTCTGCCATTAAGCTCATTTTCCTAAGTGATGAGTCTGAGATGGGGAGGGAGGGCACAGGGTGCCTCCAAAACTGCCACACAGCCCTGGTGGGGGGCACCAGGCAGCCCACCCCCTTGCTGGAGAGCACCTACCAGTCTCTGGACTTCCCGCAGAGCAGCGGCCCGAAGTGGAATACGCCCGTGCTCATGATGTACTGCTTGAAAACAATGTCACCATCTGCCTTGCTCTTCCTCCGGTGAGGAAACACCAGCCTGGGCAGGGAAAAAAAGCAAAAGGATGAGAAGCTCTAAGTGGAAAAGCTGGCCAGAAAGCCACAGCTCTCAGCAGCAGCTGGGGTTCCCCTGCTCCCAGCACGGGATGAGATGCTTGGGTGCTCAGGCAGCACACGATGGGCTCATCGTGGGGCTCAAAGGAGCCACGAGGCAAGTGGGGAGGTGGTCACTGGGGCAAAATGGGCAGCCCCAGCTCCAGAGGCAGGGGCAGGCAGAGCAGGAGGCTCGCACGGAGCAGCCTTACCGTGGGTCCTGGCTGATGGTGGGGTACAGGCAGGTGCCCCTGCAGTGCAGCTGGTGCAGTCGGTTTGTCCCCAGGATCTCAAAATTCAGCGTCTGGTCAAACTGGCCCAGCACCGTGGAGCTGAAGTGTACCTTCAGTTCAGCCTGGCCACGGGCAGGCACGATCCACCGGAAGCTATTCAGCCTGGTGGTTAAAAAAGATGCTTCAAGATGTTGTTAAAGAGAAAACCAGAGCAGGAGGAGGGCTGGGAACTCACTGTCCCAGGGCTACCCGTCTGGTGGGACAGCCAGCGCGCCCACCGCCTCCCTCTGCCCTCGGGGCTCACCTGAGGGGCTTCCCCAGAGGTGGGCCCAAGTCCACGCTGCTTTGGTCCACCTCAGGGGGACGTGGTGGTGGTGCCCCCGTGCCCAGTCCCTGGGGATGTTTCTTGCTCCGGACAGAGCTCCGCCTCTCTTTTAGAGCCTCCCGGATGCCCTCAGCCTTCTCTTTCCTCGATCGGCCTCTGGTGGGGGTGACCTGCTCCTCCGACGCCTTGGCACCAAGGAAGAAAAGGGAGAGAGAAGTGAGACTGGCCCCGAGACATCCCCGTCCTGCAGCCCTCCTTCTCCATCTCACCCACCCTCCACACCCCGTCCAGCCCAGCTCTCTGCCCTGGCACCTTCACAGTGAGCACGATGGGAATATCCATGAGGCTCTCCGTTTCCTTCTTCTCTTCTTCCACCACCGCACCTTCTGGTGCCACGAAGATGAAGTGCTTGAGGGCTTCTCCTGCAGGGGCCACCCGCTTCTCCGGGTAGCGGATCACCGAGTAAAATGTGGTAGGAGGAATGGGAGGCCCCGAGGGACCCAGTCCCAGGCTATCCAGGATCTAAAAGAGAAGAGAAAACCCTGTTTGTCCTTCACCATCTTCATCCTCACACACTTTCCCTACAGGCACTGAACTTTTGGCAATGTTTTTATATGGAGTACTGTGCTTTTTTATGCCCAGTGGGGTAGGGAGTCTCCAGAGCATTGCCAGGACCTACAAGTGGGACCTAGAGGAAGCAATGACCACGAGTCACCCTGCCCTGGGACCATTTTTAATGATTTGCAGACCGGGAAAGTCTTGGAACAGACAAGATGCTTGAACAGGGAGCGCTCCCTCTTTCCACCCACACGAGGGACACTGAGAACCTCCCCAGCCACGTAGCTGCTGAGGACCCACGGTGGAACAAGCCTGGGACAAGGCTCTGTGCTGCTGTCACCTGGTGGGACACGAAGCACCAGGACCCAGACCCCAGCCTCAGCACCCGGGCCCCGAGGGGCTTTACCTCCTCTGCCGTGGGCAGCTTGCCACTCTCCAGGATCTTCCCCGTAGCATCTTCTGCGCTCAGCACCTGGATGTCCAAGCAAGGCACCCCGACATCCTGGCCCTTGGCTGATGAGTCTGCACCTTCCCGTTCCGGCCCAGAAAACCTGCTCTCGATTGCCTTCAGTTTTTCCAGCCGCTCCCTCTCTGCCCGCTCCTTCTCCAGCCTCTCCTGGCGCTCCTTCTCTCTGTCTTTACGGCTCTTACGGCTGGAGAGAGGCGGGTGCTGGTCTTCTGCTGGGTGCCTTGCCTCCTCGTGGCTCAGAAGGGACAGCAGAATGCCCTGAGCCCTGTCCCAGGATGACAAAATATACGCGACGTCTTTCTGTGATGCCTCATAGATCTTAAACCTCCTGGCCAAGACCTTCTCGCTATCGCTCATGGTCTTCTGCTTGGCTTCCTCTTGTTCAGCTTTTGGGGGTTGCACAGCTGCCCCCGTGCTGCCATCCGTCAGGGGAACCTTGCTCCGCTTTTTCTTATCTTCCTTGTCACCTGCAACAGCGTCCAGGTGCCCCTTCTTGTCTGCCCCTTCGTTGATGTCCGAGCGGTTGCTGGTGGACACGTTGGTGTTGCTGGTGGAGGTGGTCAAATTCTGGGCAGGAGGAGAGGGGAAAAGAAGTGAGCACTTCAAAGCACCGACCCCAGTGCTGTGGGATGGTGATGATCGAGGTGGAGATCAGAACACCCTGGTGGAGAAGCACTGTGATCAACCAGTGTGGTTTCCCAGCCCAGCCCCATGTTTCCCCGGCCAGGTACCCGTCCCCTGGGCACAGAAGTGTGTGGCTTCTTGTGGGATGGTACAACTCAACAAGAGGGTCCTTCTGTTTTGGGCTTTTCTCCTCTCTGTAAACACAGCCACCCACCTGTCTGCCTCCGTGCTGGCTTTTCTTCCCCAAGGCACTGTCTTTTTCTTTCCCAAGCTCTCTCTTCCCCCGCCTGGACTTCTTCTTCATCTCTTCTTCCTCCCTCAAGCGTTCCAGTTCTTGCTTGAGCTTTTCCTCAAGCTCTCGAGCCAGCCGCTCCATCTTCCTTCAGCAGACCGAACAGAAAACATCCCTGACAGTCACCACCAGCAAGCTGGGCTGGCTGCAACCCCAGCTGGTCCCCTGCTTCATTCACTGACCCCGAGGCCAGGCAGAGCCATTAGACCACCTCTGTGGGCTTCCCTCAACCTGGGGAGATTGGGAACACCCGAACTGAGGAAAGGTAGGAAGGGCCAGCCAAGTCTGGGTCAAAATTGTGCAGCTCCTCTGATAAGATCCACCAGGCTCCCTGCAGCCAGGGCCAAAGCTGGAGGGCTCACTGCTAAAATAATGGAGAGGTCGTCCTCATCTCCCTGGAGAAAAGCTCCTTCCCCCCTTGGGAACTGGTGAGGTGGAACTGGCACTGCAGTGACGCTTCTGGCTTGTGTTTTAAAACCCTCTGAGCTGGACCAAGGTCTCCAGCAGCCTGCTGACACCCAGTGTGGGGAGGGAAAGGGCATCAGGTGGGTGCTCAGGGGTCCTGCGTGGGACAGGAGCAGGGAAACCCCTCAGGGACACTACTGGGGAGCTTACAGACCTCTTCTTCCTCTCACGCTGGACTTGTAGTATACTGTCATCAAACTGAGCTTTCTGCTCCTCCGTGAGGGCATCGTACTCCTCCTCATCCATCTCCTGGAGGCGCGCTTTCTCCCTCCTGGCAGCTTCCTCCTGCTCCCGTTCTTCCGCACAAGCCAGGGGAGGAATGGTTAGCGGCTGCAGGCAGAGCTGGCTGCTCTGGGTGAGCTGAGAGGGCTCAGAGCCCTGCCCAGCCCCAGCTGGACGTCCTGCCAGGAGGCAGTGGGCAGCCCAGACCCCTGCTTAGACGCTCAGCCACAAGAGGGATTAAGGATTAAAACATCTCTTACAGGTTCCATCGACAACACCCAGATGGACACATGGATAATGCCAAGGTCTTGAGAGAGAACATTTGAGGGGTACAGAGATGGTTCTCACCTTCCTGCTCTTTTGCAGCCGCCTCTCTGGCTTTCAAAGAGGCATAATCCTGGAAGAGGTTCACGAAGTAGATGTGAGGCCGGTTTCTGGCAGCTTTGAGCAGGCAGATGAGAGCAGATGCTATGCTGCCTGCAAAGAGGGTCTCCAGGCCATCAAACACCACTCCCTGGTAGCAGTCACTCAGCTGTGAATAACGCCAAAAAGGAAGAGAGAGTCAGTAGCAGCATGCATCAGGCTCTCAGCTTGGCAATCAAACCAAATGCTGACCATCAGCTTGGAGCTGATGCACCTGATGGCATCTGCAACTTCACCCAAGGATGCTGCTGGCTGCCCAGCACTCCCTCCAACAAGTCCCTGAAGGCATCCCCGTGCCTCTTTGCACCAGGGATGTTATCATTTGCCCCCCACCCTCCCGACCCCAAAGGCAGAGGAGAAATGCCATGCCTGCAGCCTTTCCGAGAGGATGGCCCCCAGCAAGTCCTCGGGAAGCACGCAGCTCATCAAACCCATCTCTCCTGCACCGCTGCCGCCGACGCTCAGCCACTGCTGTGAAGGAAAGCAGGGAAGCAGCGAGACGAGGTGAGAACTGGAGGAGCCCTGCAGTGTCAGACATCACAAGGAAAATAAAACACTTTGGAAAAGAGGCAGGCAGCTCCATCTGCTTGGAGCCGGGGTGTCAGCCAGCACAAAGCTTGAAAGGTCCCATGCATTACTGGTGTCATCACCCGTGAGCCTGCCAGGTCCGCGTGCTGCTGTTTCTGGGACTGGGACCCGTGTCCATCCATCTTCCTCTTGCCTGTTGCTGCACTCGCCCGGCTGCGGGAGCCGATGGAGTGCTGGCTGGCTTTGTCCCCAGAGCTGGACTGGCTCGTGGCCTGGGCTGTGCCTGGCCTCAGTGCTGGGCTGCAAGCTGAGGGATGCCTCCGTGCTTTGACCTGCAGAGGAGACAGAAGCTTGGCAGGTAAAGCTGCTGGTAAAATGCAGCATTAGGTAGTGGGCTTTCAAGGCAGAGATTTTTAATGCACAGCCCTGTGTCCTTCCTACCAAACAGGGCAGTCTGCATGCAGTAGACACTTTGCATGGTAGCTCCCCTATGGATTGAGCCAAGGGCTGGCCACCCAGGAGCACCGTTTCCCTACCTTGCAGCCATCCTGCATTCTCCCCTGGGCACTGTAACACACAGCTGTGCCCCAGCTGCCATCAGCCATCTCCACTGGAGCTACATCTTCCTCGCTGGATATCCCAACCCATCCTGCCTTCTCCCTCACTTGGCAGCGCAAATCCTCCCCTCCAGAGGCAGGGTCTGGCCTCCCCCTGCACAGCTGCCCGATAAAATACCCTAAAAGTTGCCAGTCTCATGTGGAGAACAGCACACCATCCATGAGCCGCGTGACCCGGTAGCGTATATAGGAAAAATCTCTGGAGAAAAGAGTTGATCTGCAGCATGCCTCTGATCTGAAGCTCCTCGGGGAGGCTATTCTTCCCTTTCTCTCATGTTTGTGAAACCACGCTCCAAGTCAGGCATCTAGTGCTTAATGAGCCACTTCAGAGGGCTTTTTCCTCGTTAAAACGGGCAGCGGTTCTGCCTGATGGCCGTGAGGAGCAGGCTGAATTCAGCTTTGAGGAAATATTAAAAAAAAATATGAGAAAAATGCAGGTGTGCTTCACCACTCCTGGGAAAAAGGACATGTGCTAAGCAGCCCATGGGCAGGAAAAAGCGCCCCTGCGTGAGCCTTAACATAAAGAGATTCCACCTAACCAGCGATGATTTATGAGTTGGCTTTACACCTCTACACACAGCACCCTAACAGAGCCGTGGGCTGGCAAACTTCTACTTCAGGAGAGGAAGAAGAAGCGGGTGGCTGGGGCAGCTTTCTGAGGCCTTACCGGCGTCCTCCGTCTCCTTGTGGCTCTGCTCTAAGGCTGCCCTGAGGCACAGCTCCCGCGCACGGAGCCCGGCCGAGCTGCTCCTGTCAGAGATGGCTTCGGTCACCACCGAGTCGATGGTCAGGCAGGCCGCGCCGTAGCGTCTGGAGAGGGCCACTGCTGCCGACGTCTTTCCTGGAGGGAGAGGAGGAATAGCGTGGTGACACTCACACTGAGTCACTCTTTTGTCCTCTGTGGTTGCCTCAGTGCTCCACTCCTGTCCTAGATGTTTGGCAGCCTGTCCCAGAGGGCTCGTGCAACACCCAGGCATGGTTTGGGGTTAAGACATGGTTAAGGAGAAGGCTGGGGCTGCTTCACACACAGCAGATCCATGGTCTGCCTACTTCAGCCCACCAGCCAAGCACCACAGCCCCCCGGGACACCCCTGGCCCGGTTCCCCCACGTCACACGTACCCGTCAGGGGTGCCCCGTGGATGATGATGACGATCCCTCTGCGGTTTTGGGCTGCACGGCCTTCTGCAGAGATGTCGAGGCCGAGGTGGCGGGCGATGGCCCTGCAGACGGGGCTGTCGTCCAGCTCTCCTGCAGCATCCTTGCTGCTGGTGCTCTGCCAGTGCTCTGCTGGGCAGGATCGGGTACAGGAGTCAGTCTGCTGCATGCCACTGGTCCTGGGCTTCTTCCCCGTCCCCACAGGTCCCAGGAGAGGAGGATGCGTGAAACAACGCCATGCCTGGGGACTCCTCGTGCTCTTCCCTAAGGCTTGCTCAGGTTGGGGTCTGTCCTGAGTGCTGCTGATGGTGCCTGGTCACACTATGGTAAGTGGGGTGGCAGAAAGGGGCCTCAGAGGACCAGGCCAAGTCTCCTCCCATGAACAGCTCCAAAGCCCCAGGGCAATTTCCCTTGCCTCTCCCTTGTCCCTGCACCAGACCCTTGTCAAGATCCTACAGACTTTGTGTGCAAAAGAGGATTCAGGGCCTGCAGGAGTGAAGATGTCATGAGGCTGCAGTGGAGTGATGGGAGATGATGCCAAAGACCTCCATGGAGGCCATTCTGCTTCCATGGACACAGAAGAGGCAAAGATCTTAGGGTCATTACCTGTCCAGCGCCTTTTCTCAAGACCTTCCGCCTCCTCTTCTCCCAATTCAGATTTAGAGTCTACCTTGGTGGACTGGTTTTCATCAAACATGGAGAAGGGAATGATGGAGCTGTGGGATGAGATGGTGTGCACGATCCCAGCAGAGTACTTCCCTCCTTGGTCTGAGAGAGATTGGATGTCTTCAGCATTTGCTGAGGAAGAAGGACACAGAGAGGGCAGATGGTGAGGAACATGGCCAGGCAAGGTGCTCTTTGCCATTCGTCCCTTTGCATGGCCACATGCAAAAAGGTGAAAAATTCAGCCAGCGCCAGAGCCTCACCATTGTCCTGGCCTGCTGGTTCCCCAGGCTTGGGCTTCCCCTGCTCATCCTGCAGCCTCTTCTGGTCCTGGTAGTACTCCAGCACCTCTGGGGGCAGCTTCTCGCCAGGGGCACGCGGAGGCAGCAGCAGGGTGTTGTGGCAATCGTACTCCTTCAGCACCCGCAGAATCTGTGCATGCGGGGAAGAGAAACCACCCCTTACATGAAGACCTCCGTTACATGAACCACTTTTCCAGCCAACCTAGATCTTCTCCCTTGATCCTTCCACCCATCATAGACTAATCAAGATCCTCCAAAGCCTGCCAGCAGAGCTGGCTGACCCTGAAAGGCCACCAGTGGGGACTGCCTCCACGAACTGAAGTGCCATGAGGCCATGGCAGCACACATGCGGGGTGCAGACCTCCTCACCTGCTCCTCGGCGAGGTACTGCTGGTCGAACTCCAGGGAGTAAAACTCGATGGGGAACTCACACGGGTTCTTCACCACCACTGTCCCCTCCGCCCCGCTGCTGTACGGCAGCACTGGTCCCAGCTCAAGCACCGGGGGGTTGAACTCCAGCTGTGGCTCCAGCCCGTGCCCCGAGACCGGCAGCTGGAAGTGCTGGCTGCTCTGGCAGATGTTAACCTTCAGCTCGCTTCTGTAGGATCTCTGGAAGGAGAGAAGGGCAGAAGGCTCCTACAGGTAGTCCCAAGTGATAGAGACTCCAATTCAACCCTTGCTCCAAGGTTGGGGTGTTACTGGTACTTCTGAGAGGAATGGAAAACATATTTACTCATAGTGTGGGGGTTCTACAGCACACAGCATCTGCATGCTGCTCTGGGTGCCTGGGGTGAAGCAGGAGTGCAGTACAACTGGGTGCCCTGGTGTCAGGTGGATCTAAAATAGTCGGTCAAATGCTTTCAGCTAGTCACACAGGAGTGCAATACCCAGGAGCAAGGTCCTCAGGAGCAGGCTCCTGCAGGCCCTGGAGCTGCTTCACCTCCTTGCTGAGGTGATGATGCCCAGACACGGAGTTCTCAGGCACACATCTGCCCATCCTGTGGCAGACACCTGCCCCTCTCACCTCTTCTGTGGGTGAAAACCTGACCCGCACGTTGCATCGCTGCCCCGGCGCGAGGTCTCCAGCCAAGGGCAGTGCCTCAAAGACGCAGGGCTTGGCCTTCGCCTCCTGCTGCAGCTTCCGACGTACGCTTGCTGGCAAATGCTTGTCCACCTGGGCACAGAAACCAACCCCATGGCAGGATCTGCAAGGACAGACCCACCATTCCTGCACTGCCCCAGTGCTGAGGACAGGGAGGCTCTGTCCTCAGAGGAGGAGGAAGGGGTGGAGGTGGCAAACAAGTGCAGCACCAGCCAGGGAACGGGTCCAGGTGAACCAGTCTCACTCTGTCCCCTCCATGAACTGTAGCCCAAGTGCTCAGGCAGTTACAGGGGAAGAAAAGGCAAGAGAGGCCAAGGAGACACAGCTGAGAAGCTGCATGTTGTGTTGTCATTGCTTTACCTTCTTAATAGGCTCCGTTATGGTGATGTGCCATTTACAGGGGACCTGGAACTGATTGTGGAGCTGGATGGTTTCTTCCCGACACTGCCCACACTGCACACTGCAGAACTCCAGCCTGTCCCTGGAGAGGCTGAGGGACGGCAAAGTCACCGTGGCACGAAGGCAGATGTGAAACGTGGGGCCTCCCGCTACCTAGCGAGGAGCAGAGCATCCCGCTGAGAGCACAGACAAGACCCACTTCTGTGCCCCCTCCGAGGTGGGCCCCCAAAAAAGGTGGCACGGGCACGGGAGTATGCAGTACCTTGATGGGCAGGAGCACGTCCACTGCTCCCAGTGGCACGCTGGCGCTCTGCGGGTCGAAGCGCACCTCGAACGTCTCGGTCTCGCAGTACGGCAGGTTCCTCACACGGTCCAGCTCCACAGTGAAACCTTCAAGAGGTGAAAATAAAGCAGCTGAGACACACAAGAGACAGGAAATGTGGCCCCAGCATGCTACGGCCATATAGGTGTGGATGCTCTGTGAAGTTCTTTTTGTTTCTTGGATGACAACTTGGAGGAGGCACCTGACCATCTCAGGCACTCATAGTTTGATGGAACTACAGCTTTACCTCAAACCCTGATTTGGAAGCCTCCTTTGATACAACAGAAGACCTCACAAGCTGTTTCCTCAATTAAGGACCAAGAGAAGTGTTATGGCACTATGAACTGTACACCAAACCACTTCTGAACCACAAAGTGTCCCTCTGTTTGCAACACAAGCCCACAGAGTGCCCAAAGCCTCAGGTGGTGCTCATGGCACCCAAGAGCAGGAGATGCTGAGAGGTGACCGAGGTGATGGGGCCACCTCTCCCCTGCAGCAAAGCATTAGGGCAGTCAGGGACAGGCCAGGTCTCTGGCCAGAAGAACTCAGGCTCGAAAGCACGGGACATGGTGTCCTGAGGAGGAACAAGCTGTACAAACAAGCACTCAAATCCCTCCACATATCGAGTGGCTTACACCTTGGGAGATGGCTCCTTTGAGCCCACGTGAAGCGTCTCCAGCCCTGGGTACCTGTGTCACGCAGGACCCGTCCATCTGCGTGGAAGGACACTGGGAACTGCCCGGTGTTGGTGACCTTCACGATGTGCGTGGGGATGTTACCGAGAACGACGTAGCCAAAGTCCAGGATGTACTCGGGCAGCTGGGCTCTGAAAGCAGGAATAAGCAGGAACCCTCAAACCAGAGCTAGCAATGAGGCCTTAAAACAAAAGGAAATATGTTCAAAAGGGTGTAAGTGTGTGTGGATACTGGTCACAGCCCCTCTGCTACAAAAAGCTGTTGCAGAGAAGTGCACTGGACCTCCAATGGTCTTGGTGGAGTTGGTGGTACAGACCAGGCATGAAATTGCTCCAGGACCTTGTAATAAGACTTGGCCCCACAGGAAACCTTCACCAACCACCTGTATCCCCAAAGCAGCACCAGTAAACACAGTAACCAACAACAGTGGTCACTTCCAACAAGGTCACTTCCCACAGTGACCTTGTGGGAAGGTCTTTTTCTAGAGCAATCTCACTCAGGGAAACACAAAAACGAGCTGTTTTGCAGAGTGTCTCCTTCCTCAGCCATTTGTTGGATGAACGACACCAACTGTGAGTTGCTTCTTTTCCAGAGGTTCCATGGTGCCCACCGTGCCTGGGTGGGGTTAATGGTCTGCACTGGAGACCCCTTAGGGCTAAGAATGGAGCCTGTGTGGAGCCGAGCACCTCCAAATCTCATGGGTGGCAGTGCAGAGGGGATGACACTCAGGCATCCACACATCAAACCCCTCAGGATCAGGACCCTCCTGGAGTCCCCAGCTCATCCCAGCTCTGCAGGAGCTCTCAGGAGCAGAGGAGCACCGCTGGGTGTTACCCTCAGGGCACCCCGAGATGGGGACCAGGATCCCCCACTGACCTGAGGAGCCTCCGACGAGCACGCTGGTCAAAGACCGCATCCTCGGGGGGACAGGAGGCGATGAGCTCCTGCTGCTCCAAGGCGTGTTCCTCTATGAGCATCTCCTCCAACCGCATCTGCAGCCGCGTGTCGAGCTGAGGGGAGTAAAGACAGAGGTTGGCAAAAGTCCTTCCCCAGCCCAGCCTGCTCTTGTTGAGAGGGGAGATGAGGTCCTCCTGTCTCAGGGTCTGCAGTGCCTCCTGCTCCCTTCGCCAGGACCTTATGTCAAAGGAAATGAACTCAGCATCTTCGCCTGCCCAGTCTCTATTACAAAAGCTGATCTGGCCAGACAAATGTGCAGACAAGCCAGGAACCTCGTGGCGCTCAGTCAGTGCCACAGCAGCTCGGACAAAAGCTCTCTGGAGACAGGAGCCACCACAAAGCTGGTGCTTTTAGAGATGAAGCTCCCAGCACAAGCCCAGGGCACCGTCAGGCTGCTGGCCCCAGGTTCCTTCGCACGCAGTGGCACCATGCTTTCAACGCTTTCTCATCCAAATAACAAATGCAGCAGGAGAAGGCTCTGTGAACTGGCCTGGAAGCCTCTGGCAGCTCAGGAGTGGGGTGAAGTAGGGATGCAGAGCTGCTGCTGCGGATGTGCTCGCTAGGAACCCAAACCCCAGCCTCTAGTAGGACACTTGCAAGGTGGGCAACGTGAGCAACCCCCTGGGATGATGCTGGGATGACGCATGGCCAGGAAGGTCCCAAGTGCCGGTGGGACATGCACGGCCCTGCTGCGGGTGTGGGGTACAGCAGGAGGGTGGGATGTGCCACGCAGGGCAGCAGCCGTTCTCACCACCGTGCTTGAGTCATCCACGGGCAGCTCAGTGGCTGTGGTCTCCCCCAGGACAAGGGCTTCATCTCTCTGTTCATCCTTCTCCATCTTTTCTTTCGCCTCCTTGAGGACCTTCTCATATTTCTCGTGCCCTGAAGAAAACATCCAACAAATAGAGGTGTGGGCACAGCGCCAATCCCATTTAAGCTGGGAAGCCCCTCTCCTCTCCCCTGACGTTGTCCTCTCTGCCAGCAGGCTGGGGCAGGTGGATGCTGCTCTTCCTCTCTGATTTGGGATGCTCACTTCTACCCACCATCCTCCCCACATAGGAACACGTCATCCCCCACAGTGTGATGCAAATCTGCCCCTGCCAAAAGCCCTGCTGCTCTGTATTACAGCTTTCCCGAGCATTTCTGTCCAGCTATCATCTTTCCAGCCAACAGATATGCTGGCAAGCTCTGCAGGATGCTTCTTGGGGCAAAGCCACATGGCCTCCTCTGCTAGAGACTCAAGAAGAAGGCAGAGGGCTGAGCATTGGGGTCCGACAACCCTGAAACCTCCAGACTTGGTGTGAGCTGGGTGTACAACATGGGAGGAAAACAGGAGACGTTCCTGGGGCCAGGGACAGCGCATACCTTTGATATTCCTGGGCAGATCCAAGTAGATCCTGGGAAAGCTCCCCTCTCCTTTCAGGGTGAATTTCTCTGGCTCCAGGTGACCCACTTGGATCTGGAAAGTCTTGCAGAAGACTCCAGGCACTCCCGGCAGGTAGGAGATTTTCAATACTTGCTCTTTGCCAGGTCCGATGTAACCCTGCAGGGTGTGGGACAAGAGGGGGGCTTGGTGATGGGCAGCTGCTGGGGCTGATGCTGTTGAAGACTCAGCTGTGCCTTCAGAAGCTCGCAGCAAGAGGGCATCAGCGTGTCATCCTTGTAGGAGACGGGCAGGAGGAAATGGGAGAAACTAGAGCCTTTGGGCCACTTCTTCCTAAAGGGGCATGGATGGGGAACGCTGCTCCAGCTCGGAGATAACCACACAGCACGCAGGAGCTGGGAGGAGAGATGCTCCTAGAGCAGCCTGCTCCTGCACAGAGCCCCGTGCTGCATCCCACTGCCCTGCACTCCTCTCCTCCTTTGCTGCCTCACAAAGCTGCGGAGCAGCACAGCTGGAGCCTGAGGGATCTGCATCAGGGCTTCCAATTTCTGGCAAAGGAGCTGCACGCCCGAGCAAGAGCAGCCAAAATGCACAGAATGCACGAGCTCAGACATCACTGCTGGGGCATGGGATGGGTCTGGTCCCAAAAAACTGACAAGAAAGAGGAGGAGGAGGTGCTGGAGCTGCACAGAGGTGAACACAGGTCTCCCATTTCTGTTGTGTGGGGGCAGGACAGCTCGTGAGGGGCAGATTGGTGCCTTCAGGCAGCTCCCCTCCCCTGGGGTCCCACAGCAGCTGGGACGGGTGTGGGACACGATGCAAAACACCAGCTTGGGAGGAAAATGAGCTGAGCTGGCAGCGAGGGCTCCTGCTCAGCACATGGGAAGGAGCCTTCAGCCTCACCTGGCTGGGGCAGGCAGCTCTCCAGGGGACAGGGGCAAGGGGGGGGACCTGCAAGGAGCCCACACCATGTGGCTCCAGCACCAGCACAGGCAGAGAGCTCAGCAGCCAGGGCTGAGAGCTGCCAAGTCCCTCGTGCAGAGCCTCCTGCCCCCATAAGGGGCTCAAACAGGACTTGACCTTCCGTCCCTAAGCAGCTTACAGCCCTCGCTGCTGGCTGGTTTGGTGTTTAGGTTTTCTTTTTCTCCTTTTTTTCCCCTATAACCCCTCTCCCAGGCAGCAGGACATGGGGCCGGGGTGCTACCCCTGCACTCACCGTGCTGGGCAGGACCAGGGGCACGCCGGGCAGAGGGCTGTCTGCGGGGGCCGTGCTGGGGCTCAGCACCTGGTACTTGAATCCCACCTTCCCGCTGTTCTGCAGGGTGAGCTCGGCTTCCGTGACTTCGTTAAAGAGCTGGAGGGAGGACAGAAGATGAGTGCTGACCCACAATGGTAGGATGATGTTAACCTGGGGAACCCACAGACGCAGGACCCAGGAACAGATATCCGTGAGGGCTCACAGGGGTGCAATAGCAACCCCGTAAAGCTCAGCAACAAAGCAAGCAAGGAGGACGCAAAGTCCTCTGCACTTTAAGGCATCATCTGTCAGATGGCTGAGGCACCAAAGAGGAGGACTCCTTCCCCTAGAAGCTGTTCTTGCCCCCTTGCTTTAGGGCAGGGCATGGCCAATCATCTGCTGCTCCTATCTAGTGAGCAGCCCTCAGCTAGCACAGGGAACCTGCTTTGCAAAGACCCCTTCAGCCCCCAATACCCATCTCCAGTGAAATTTGCTCCTCAGGGCTCCTTCTGCTTCTCAGGTTGCTCTGCAGGAAGCAGAGCTGCTTTGGGACCAGCCAGGGCCAAAAACTCCACCAAAATCTGACAGATCCGGGCAGCTGCCCTGGTCAGCAGTGCCAAAACCCAGCAGGCTGCTCTCTTGGTCATTGCCCCACCACTTAGCTGCAATATTTCATGTATTCTTGGCAAAATTCTTTCCCTCTACACTGACTGGGAAGTTCAAGTTAACTTCCTGCCTGGTTTCTTTTGTTGCTTGATCAAGAGCATTAGAAAAGAGCATCTCCTTGGGCCTCAGCTGTTAGGAGCTTCCAGACCAGGAGCGGCTGTGGTACCTGCAGCCCGCAGTCGATCTCTCTGATGTCGAAGAGGTAGCTGAGGAGCGAGGCCTCCCCGCTGAGCGCCACCTCGTAGGTCGGGCCTCCCTCCACCTCGCACAGCGCCGTGACGTGGGCCACCAGGTTGGCGTGGCCGAAGAAGGTGACGGTGACCCGCTGGCTCTCGCCGGGCTGCAGCACGCCGTACAGAGGCAGGATGTCAAAGACCTAAAGGAAGGGGAAATCAAGATCTGGAAAGCCAGGATGGATGCAGAAGAGCCTCTGCAGAAAACTCCTAATCAATGCCCGCTTGATTAACTCCAACAGGATGAATAACCCTGCCCCAGCTGCTGTGCAGGGGAGAACCTCGGCCAGCCCTAGGATGTGTCCTGCACAGCATTTCTGGGCTGTGATGCTGTGCTCGGGGCACGAGGCCACTCTGAGAAGCACCGGGGCCATCGGTGTGCCATTCTGGAAAGGTGGAAGGCAGGCAGGCAGGGCAGATCCCCTCTTACCTCCTCCACACCCAAGGCGAGGGGCTCGCTCTCCGCAAACTCCATCAGGTCCCTGATCTCCACCTGGCTCTGAGACTCCGCAGCACTTGCCAGCTCCTCGGCAGCAGATGGCAGCAGCTGGAAAATGCCCCCCGGGAGCTGCAGCAGGCTGTACCCAACGCTCAGTCATGGCAAAGACCTCGAGGGCCTTTTGCACCCACTGCAGGCAGACCAGACACAGGCTGTGCAACACAGCACCCCCAGGTTTATTCCTGCAATTGTCATTTAGTGTTGCCCCTGCCTAGGACAGCTCCCCTTCTCCTCCTCACTCAACGCTTCAGCACCAGGCTTGTGCCCTACAAGGGAAGATCAGGGTTGGGCATCGCCTTCAGGGTGAGCCAGTGTTAGCCATCCTGTCCCCTCTGCCACCGTCCCAGCAGCAGACCATGGACTGCTCCTGTTCAAATGCTGCCCAAGTTCACCCTTGAGCCCCCAAACCCACACAGGTTAGGGTTTCCCTGCCAAAAGTAGGGACACGGCTGCAAGCAGCATGTATCAAAAACTGAAAGATAAGGACTTGGGAAGTGCTTGGGCAGAACTATCCCACTTCAGGAGGTGCTTGGGTTTCATCTCGCGTGCTCTTCAGAGCTGAAAATCTCCACTGCGGAGTTCTTCTTGAACATCCCCACCCCGAACAAAGCAGCCGAGATGGTTTTCCATCTCACAGATGGTTCTCTGTGGTATTTAACCTCAAGAGCACCATCTTTCAGAGGGAACCTCGTCCCTGGGCTTTTGACCCCTGTTTATAAATGAGGGCTTTGTAATTGCTCTTGAAGTTGAAGAACATGTGCTTCTTCCCTGATGTGAACAAGTGCTTCGTGCTGTGGTCTCCACTTCAGCAGTAGCTGCAGGAGTATTTCTGGGACATCCCCAGACCCAATTAGAGGCTCAGCCTCCCCAGCAGATAAAGCACAGGGGTGGGCTGAGTTTTCTCAGTCTTCTTCTCAGGAAGAAATTGCAAGATTTGCACTACCTCAATACACTTTACAAAGCATACTTTTTTTTTTTTTTTTCTTTTTTGCCTTGTATAGTTTAGTTTTTGGTCAATTACAGAGCTTTCAGAGAACACGCAACCACTGCTGCTTGCTTTAGCAGTGCAGGGCTCCGAGCACAGCTCTCTGCCCTTCCCCTTAGCCCTGAAGGAGGCAACAGTGGGATTATTTCATTTCCAGCCCTGCCTACACCTCTCTACACTTTGATACAGACATGCCTCCTGGTTTCAACACCCTTTCTGTCATCCTCATGTTTTTAAAGCTAGCAAAGCTTTGCCAAGTGTGCATTCCCAAAGGTGCTAACCACTCCACTTCTAAACTTATATCTCCCTTCTCCCCAGGAAGGCCGTGCAGGTACTGCCTTGATACATTGACATGGGCAGAAGATAAAACTGCAGTACAGATCTGAAGCAACTTTGGATATTACTTGGCCACGTCCACTTGGATTTCCTCGCTTTGCCTGTGCGTACATGGCATTATTTCCTGAACCTCTCATGCTTACTCACATCCTTTTTTTTTTTTTTATCGCCCAGGCTGCAGACCAAGGTGCCAGCTCCCACCACCACCGAGGTCAGCCTCTAAAGCAGCAAGGCTCACCAGCAAGGGCAGCAAACCAAAACCAATTCCCAAAGTCAGGAGACGCCAGCCTTTGCCCACAACCCCTTGTTGTAGAAAAGCACCCATCTGCTCTGTGGCTGTCACTGCAATACCCACGGGGGGAAGCAACACAGGTGGTGGGTCTACAGGGAAATCTACCTCTGCCTCCAGCGAGTCATCTGCATCTGCTGGCTCTTGGGCAGGGTCTTCTGCTGCTCCCATGGCCTGGGCTGGCTCCTCCACACCCACGGTCCCGCAGATGCTCTCTGTGGATGCTGAGGGCTCCACCGTGGCTCCCTCCTCCTGCGGTGGTTCAGGTTGGATGAAATATTTAGGTACTGGAGGGCTGAACCTGGAAAATAAAATGGTTGAACATGGACCTGCAGCAGGAAGGAGGAAAGCCTGTGTAAGATGGATGAGCCCACGTGGCCCCTTGGCAGGATGCTGGGGATGAGCCTGGTGGCCATGAGCTGGTCAATGCTGACGAGCACCAAAGCATCAGCAGCAATTAGCCCTGTGGGGAAGAAAGCTTTGGTCATCTTTAACCAACACACTGCAAATCTTGTGTGGTGATTCAGCTCCTGACATGCCATGGGCACTCCCCATCTGGCAGCGTGATCACCCAGCAGTTTCTAAACACAAACTGAGGGATTACTAGATGGGATCTTAGTGCCCACCTTTAATAAATCTCTGCCTGGTGAGTATTTGGCTACTATCTACACCTGGTGTTTGCTCCTGGATTGGAAGCTTTCCACCATCCCTGAGAGGTCCCACCTGCCTCAGCCTTTGGGTGGACTTGGGGCCTCACCAAGACCCTGGCAATGTCCGAAGGGCAGCACAAACCAGGGTCAGAGGGCAGGGAAGCATTTGCTTGCCCCTCACAGCAATGCCCATCCACAGCCCCACCTGCACAGAGCTCTGTCCCCGAGCTGTGGCACCCCAGTACATGTTGGGGTGTGCTGGTGGGAGCCCCTGGAAGCCCCCCAGTGCCGCACCAGTTCAGCACATTGCCTCCAAAGTGCCAGCCACGATCCATCCTGGCCAGGAAATGAAACCACGTCTCGGAGCTGCTTGAGATAAATACTGCGAGTTAATAACAACTCCTGAGGAGAGGTAAAGCCCTGAGATAGAAAATCCATAATCATTTATTAAATTACCTTTAGTTCTATAGAATGGTTTGAGGCAACTTCACAGGACCGCGGTGCCTAGACAACAACAACATTTTTCACGCTAAAGCAGGAGCCCTCTGGGAGCCCGGGAGATGATGTGATTAGCGAGCCCTGCTGTGGAGAGGCACAAAGCGCAGCCAGGGACTCTTTCCAGTGGGGGAAAGCCAAAATGAATGAGAAGTGTAAGACAAGGAAGGCAGGGAGCTACACGCACCCCAGGAAGGCAAGGTGTTCACAGCAAGCTGCTGTATTTCTGCTTATTGGGATAAGGAGCCTTCCCGAAGGAGAGGCAGCTGTCTCAGGAAAGCAGAAAGAAGGGGCAGAGGGGTCGGTAACCTTCTGGCTCTGTATCTCCCACCCCGTAAGCACATCCTCCACCCAGCACTTCCAGGCTGCCCCACTGCACCAGGGGGAGAGCAGCTCAAGCCACCTATGGAACAAAGTGTGGGGATGCGATGGGAGCAGGGCTGGACGGGCACCAGAGAGAGAGAAGAGCCAGGACAGCCCAGTGCCCTGCTGCAAAAGGTTAGAAATAAACCTCAGCCTGCCAGGGCACAGCTTCACACTGCTTCCCACACCCTCCTCCCGAAATAGAGGAGCTAGAAGTCACACCGCTGCCGCTAACTCGACGCGAAGATGCAGGCGGGGTGGCGTGAGCCCGCCGGCTCAGGCTGTGCAAGAGCTGTGAGCATCGGGACAGGCACCCCAAAACCGCACTTCCCCAGAGCCACGGGTGGACGCGAGCGAGCCCCCTCCTTCAGGAGGGCTCGTTGCAGAGTTCTGCTCCTCCTCACTGCACTGGAACAGCAAGAGAAGAAACTAAAACCGTGAAGAGTATTTCTTTGCTGGGATAAATTCATTTTCTCAGCTGTTTACAGAGCCTATTGAAATTCAGACCAGGTGAGACAGAAGAGAGCAGCAGCACTGCCACGAGATGCGATGTCTCCAGCTCCTGTTCTGTGTGTGCAGGGCTCGGCGTGCATCAGGATGCAGCGAGCAGTCCGGGGATGTCCCACTGTGACCGAGTTTTAATTAACTTACAGTTAATATGTGGTATTAGCAGACACTTTACTTCTTTGAGTCAAGAAGGTCACTTTTGAGAGGTGAGGGAGAATTTTGATGTGTATTTATATATATATATATTTTTTTTTATTATTTTTTTTTGGAGGGATTCTGTTCCCACAGAGCAGCATGCCACATTCCTGGGGCCACAACCAAAGCTCCCCAGCACCTTTCAGAGGGAACCACGGGATTTGATTTCTGGGCACACTGAGAGTCCTCATCTCCTGCTGAGAAAGATTTGGTGCATATGAAAACACCCAGAACCTCAACTGACCCATCACTTCCCACGAGAAAAATGGGAGAGGGTCTTGAAAGCTCCTTCTGCCCTAGCTTCTGCCTCTCTCCATGCATTTGTGCAGGACCTTGCCAGGCTTGCAGGCTGCAGGCACGATTGCTCCTCAGCCCCCTCAGTCCAACCCACACCGTGTTGAGCCTGGGCAGTGCCAGGCATCAGTGCCAGCAGCAGGTCTCGCCCTGCTTGGGCACGGGGAGAAAGGGAAGAGGTCTTCTGGGGAGGTCACCCTATGCAGCAGCACTTTCCGCTCTCTCTGCACACTCCCGACAAGTTATAACCCTGGAAGAAGTCTCCCACTGACCTTACCGGAGTTATTGGGACCTGCTCTGATTTTATAAAACATTTGCAAAACATCTCCCATCGAGTCCTCTCCTTCCTCCTGCTTTGCTGTGTGATTGATAAACATCAGGTGAGGCGGGAGGAAGCTCCCAAGTCTCCATCAGACAGAAACGCTTCTCAATCAGACCCTGGCCAAAGGTCTCTCTGAACAAATCAGGAGCTCTAATGATAAACACGATTTGTACTCTTGGTTTGAAATTAAACAAGCCACGCTAGCCATAATTTGGAGGTGCTGTTTAAAGCAATCAGCAACGACTACAATCTTCCCAGCTACTTCAAAACGTAGCTCTGCAGGCAGAGGGGTGGCTGCAGTGTCTCCTGCAGCTGATCGCCTGGGGGATGTGGAGCTTCACCCTTTTGAGATGCCTTCATGAGGTGTGAGCCTAGCAAACAACGAAGGATGGGGCTGCAATTGCTAAAAGTATTAGGAAATGGGGAGCCAAGGAAGGTTGAGCACAACCTGTTGAGAACAGCAAGCTGGGCCCAAGAGAGCTTACAGAAGGCTCCCAGCCATGAATAAAGAGATTTCTCCATTTATCCTCTCTGTAGGGTGAGGGCTGCAGAAGACCAAAGCTGGATCTCCACCACTTTGTGAAAGGGATGAACAAAACAGGGCCTGAAACACGTCCTGAAGTACTCAGCTGGGAGAAAACATCGCTGCTCGTCTTAGTCTCTTTGGCTGAGCATCACCATCCCACGCTGACGCAGGCTGCCCCATGCAGCACATCCCAACCCCGCCTGCCTTCCCGATGGGGTTCTGCAGCTGGTCGCAGAGGGAGAGGAGCAAAAAATGCAGATGAAAAAACAAACCTAAGAAAGCTCCCATTTGTTTAATATCCTTCCTGGGGCAGCATCCCAAAATAAGCCACTCGCCGGAGCTCCACCCTGCTGAGGACGCTGGCAGTGCCATCCATCCCCTGTCCAGAAGGAGCTGGGCTCGTCACGCCAGCACACATTACAGACGGATTTATGGCCGTGCAGGGTTTTTACCATCATTTACGTGGGCTGTGCAAATGGCTAGTTAGCATCATCGCCGCGTTATTGTTAAAGGTCACGGCACAACATAATTACCCGTTTTACCAAGGGCAGATGCACTCGCAGGAAATGCGCTCACGGCTGAGCAGCCTGGCCTCGTTTGGGATGGGACCAGGGACAGCCATATGGGGTGGCCTCATCCAGGAGGCATCAGGGACACCTCAGGACAGGTGAGGAGTGATGGAGGCAGGCAAGGGAGAGGTGCCAGGTGCCATCGAAGAGGAAGGAGGACTCTAGGGTGAAGCCAAGAGGTGCCCATGAGTGGGAAAAGCTGATTAGGGTGAAGGGATGGATGGATGAGGTAAGGATAAAGACATTGTTATAGGGACTGAAATGAGGAGCTGCTGCTCTGCCACCCCAACCAGTCCTTTAATGGGTCCTGCTGGGCTGGTGAGCGCACCCAGGAGCTGCTCAACACCTTGCCAAACCAGGCAATGGGATGAGTTGGGTTAAATGGGAGAAGCCGGGGAAATCAGTGGGTGAGAAGGAGAGGGATGACCCAGCACCCACAAGCTTTGTACCTGGGGTGAGCCAACGCTTCCCCTGACCAAGGAAGAGCCCCTGCAAACCACGCTCCCGGATGGAAAGGTTTCACGCCGAGAAGAAGGAACGGTCTCCCCGGGAGGGACTGAGTTTGGTGGGTTCAAAAAGCACATGGCATACCGGGTGGCCCAGAAGGACCCTCGGGGTGTCTGGCACCCCAGGAGCTCCTGCCTCCCTCTGTGCAAAGGATCTGGCCAAGAATAAACACATCCTTCCTGAGCACCACGCAGCCTCTTCGCTCTGCAGGACCATCTCCATCACCTCTGCGCTAGGAAGGAATCACAAAAAACACCCCCAGGCAGATTCACACCCCCAGACATGCAAAGATTTGATGCCAAGATTGAAATTTGGCTTGAGCACCTTCTCCTAAAAGCTTAAGGATTCCTCAGCCACCCTGTGAAGACAGGACTGAGACAGGGACACACCACAATGAGCACGATACTGGAAACAGCGCTCTCAGAGCAATGAGCCAGTGGGTTCGAAAGAGTTTTCCCTTGAAAGCTGCTAGGATGCAGAGAATGTGGAAAGTAGAAAGAGAGAGAAAGGGGAGAAACAACTGTAGAAATTAAGAGAAATGAGGTCTGGACAATCATGTCAGCTTACTTGCTGTTGGCACACGGAGTGGCAGCAGGGTGGCAGGGGCTCCCCAGGCTGCTCGCAGCACATTGCCAGCAGAACAAGAGGGCTATGGGACAAGCAGTGTCCTTGGTGCTACCAAAACCCCAAACGTGCTGCTCCAATGGGCTTGAAAATTTAGCAAGACACAGCACTGGGACACAGTGGACGCGTGCGGTTCAGATGTATATTCTTGCTGCTCCTGTTGCTACCTCTCTCCTCCGGTGGCTGACAGAGCACCGCTGTCAGATTTTTGCCTGGCACTGTTTTTCATTGTCTGTGTTTTCTATTTCTTCCTTATTATGAAAACAACAAAACAAAAACCCCATCAAGTATAACAAAGAATTGTTTTTGTCAGGACCGAGGCAGGAATCTGGCTGGCAGGGCCCCTGCGGTGCAGCCTGCCAGGGGACACGGAGGGAGGGCAGAGGAACAAGGAATTATTAATGCCACAGAAGAACTGCTTGGGAGGAGAAAGACTCCTTGTTTGTTCAAAAACAAATTGGCAGAGAAAACCCTGGATGGAAAGGAAAGGCAGGCATTTTCTATGTGTTTAGCTCACCAAACCCTATCCATGAAAGATCTACCGGCCACTCACTGTGCTGGATGCACAGCCAAGAAGTTGCTGCTCTGCAGAGACATCGGGTCGATGCACTGAGCGGGTCTGACACGTGCCACGAGGTGCAGAGCTTCGGGCTGGTCCTCCCCGGCACACGGAGCTGACGGGGTGCTGGCTGCGTCCTGTGCGTCCCATGAAGGAAATGGGGAGTGGGACAAAGGGGTCCTGCAGGAACAGCAGCGCTCAGGAGGTGCCTTGGTGTTTAGTAATGAAATTCTAGCATAGCTTGGGGCTAAGCCTTTGGCAGCAGCTAAAAGGGGGCTCTGGTTATTCGGGAAGAAAAGCCTTGTACAACTTTAGGATGTAATGTCTTTCTTTTGATGGGAATCCCAAACACAGCTGAAGGGCTGGATATTTCCCTTGGAGAGGGGGACAAGGTGGTCTTCAGGCAAGAAACCCTAAAAGTAAGAACGATGATGCTTGAACGTGGCTCCAGAGCTACATATCCCGGCTGGCTCACTGGAGATTCCTTCCGAGGCAGCAGAAAACTCCTTGGTGCAAAGCCTTAACTCAGCTTTGAGTTATCAGAGGCCCAAGGGGAAGGGAGAGACTGTTCCCAGCCTGCCTCTGCCCACGTAGGTCTAGGAGAGGAGGAACCACAAGGTGCTGATGGCTCAGCACTGCTGGGGAAGGGGCACGGCTGGCGTGGTCTGGGCACGTCCGAGCACACAGCCAGGCTTGGGCTGTCGTGTGGTGGCTCTGCTCAACATTTTTCTCTCCTGGCCAAAATAAATGTGTGTGTCTGATTGATGCCGGGAGCCTCTGATGACAGCCTCCAGCCAGGTTAGATGTGTGGATGGCTAGATTCAATCGATCTCACTTTTGTGGGACCTGATGCTTGATTCTCTCCGTGTCAGGCTGAGTTAGTTTGATCTGATAATTTAGAATACCAACAGTGCTTAATGGGGACCAGAAATAATATCTGACATGCTGCCCTTCTGCTGGGCTCTTAATGAGCAATTTGAGGTGTTAATAGCTTGGAGACTCTCTTCATTTCCAGCCCTGCCATGGAGCATCACATGGTGTCTGCCGAGGGACCCGGGGAGAGTACATTACTGCTTAATTAGCATGCAGAGCAGAAAAGGGAGCTGTCCTAATGTCCACGTCGCTAACGAGCCAGCAAAGGGGCTATGCCAAAGACCACCGGGCAAAGTCTGCTGTCCTGCCAGATGCTGAGGACCCCCGGCTGCTACCCAGCCAGCAGGGCTGGGTGCCTTAGCAGCCTCTGGAAGAATGAGCACCTGCAGGTTTGGGTCCAGCAAAGCCAATTTAGGCGGAGGCGCAGTGATTAAAAACCGAAAACTGATTCAGCATTCACATTTCCAAAAACTCAAAAGAGGTTCCAAAAAATAACAGTAAAGATAAACAGGCAACCGGCCAACAAGTGGCCCCAGAGGAAATTAATTCCACACAGGCTTTGCAGTAATGTGCTTATTTCTCTGTTATTATAAAATATAAGCATTGTTCTGTCATCAAAATTAGATTCTCCCTTTAGCTGGTAATTAAACACTAATCTAATTTACCAGGAGATGACAGAGGCCTCCAAGCAGAGACTGCAGCCCCGCTCCCCTCCTGCGTGCCCACCTCTCTTTGCAGACTTTTCCCTGCACGACTGGAAACCTGCAGGGTCTGCTCCTGGGGTGCATCAAGAAGGGCCCCCCATAGGTACTCTGTGGTCTGCTAAGACCCAGCTGTGATGGGGTACCCCAGTGCCAGGTCTTCTTCCCCGAGCCCTCCGCATAGCCCTTGATGATTTCCAGCCCCCAGCAGGTCTTCTCCTCTGAGCCAGACCCCAGTTCCCCAAACACGGCTGCTCACTGATGGTGTGTATTATTTGGAATAGCAGCACTTCAACACACAGTGGTTAACCCTGCTAGGTTTCCTAGGGCATTATGAAAAAACCATTTGCTATTGTAATTAAAAACGTCCACTTTTGTACTATGTAGAGAGGCCACAGTGGGAAGAACGGCTAAAAACGTGCTCCAGTGTGACTGCAAGATCGCTGCTGGGCTTGGCAGCCGCAGCCCAGCACTGGATAGCCCTGCTCCCCGGGGATGATCAGGAGAGAGCTCCCACCAACTGCACCTAAAGTCCCAGCAGAACCTGTTGTTTTGCTGTAAAACAGCCCCAAAGAGCTCTTTTGTGAATGGAATTTAATAGATCAAAACACATTTCACTGAGATGGTGCTTGCCTTGGAGGAGGGCTGGAGGAACCTTTCTTTCCCCAGCAGAACCAGTATGGGGGCTGTAGCAAAGCAGCAGCAAGAGGCTGGGGCAGCAGCACACTGCTCTGGTGGCTGTGCCTACGTGGGCTTGTAGGGCAAGACAACAACAAATAGGGTCGGCAGGGAGGGAAGAGAGGTCATGGTATACATCCACTGTGTATGTCCAAGTGCCTGAGCCAATGTGTGACTTTGTAGCTTCAGAGATAAGAAAGTGAGATTCTATGGGCTATGCTCGAGGTGTTTTATGGCTGGAGAACTTTCTGTCCTTCCCAGCTTCAAACTGGCAGAGGTCACCTCTTCCCCGAGCGTCCACCCTGACCACAGCTGGCAGGTGTTATTTCCAGATGGGAGAATTGAAAGCAATTTGTCAGCTCCCACGCAAACAGCCTCGGGCTTTGCAGAGCACAGACAGGCCCCCAGGAAGGAGAAGAGCTTTGAGGAGAGGGCAAAGCGGCACGTACCTCATCTGGCTGGTGTGGCTGCCCGTCAGGAAGGCCCAGCGGTACCGCACCAGAAGCGGGCTGCAGTTGGTCATCTCGACATAACGCACGTCTTCGGTGTCGTTCAAGATGCAGCCAAAGTCCAGGGCCATGGTCTGGATGTGGAGGTTTGGGAAGTAGACCTCTCCCCGAACAGTAACCTGATCCTCCTGGGGGTGCTCGAGAAACTGTATTTTCAGGGCCTTCTCTGCTATGCGGATATTCAGGTCCTGTCTTGTACGCAGGGTCAAATCTGACTGGAGAGGTGAAGTTCCTCCCCTACCCCCAGCTTCATCGGCTGCCAGGAGATGAAGAGATATTAATCAGCAGTGTGATGAAGCTCATAAAGTTCCAAGGTCTGATGGCATGAAGCCCTACGTGTGATGCCAGCGTGAGCTCCCTCTTTATCTTCACAGCATGTCTGACCACACACACTCATCTGAGACCATCTCAGGCTTACGTTTCTGCTCTCTGTGTCACTATGAGGGTAATAAGCATCAGTCTACTGAATTCTGGGCCTGCCAAGGCTGTATGCTAGGAGCACAACCACACCAGCACTCTGCCAGCCCTCCGGCCCTGACTCTTGAAGAACTTCCCCCTCACACTCAGCCCACGCACACCAGCACTGCAGCCTCAGGCTCGCAGCACAGAGGGAAAACACACATTTACTTACGAGAACAAATGTTTCATGCTCTGAAAACTCATTTCCTTCAGCAGCTCATTTCACAGCTACTCTAGTTCAGGCCTGACCACTGCTGGCTCTAAGGAATGAGCCTCTCTACCAGAGACCGCTGCCGTCAGGCCCTCGCTCCTCACCTCAACACCCGCCGAGAGGGGCTGCTGCTCTGCATCGCAGATCAGGAAGGGATGGTCCAAGAGCAAGATGAAGCTGAGCGGCAGGGAGGAGATGTTTTTTAAATGAAGAGGCTTGTACTGCAGAGTTAGGACATCACTGGGTTGCTACAGGAGGCAACAAATGGGAGAAAACTGAAGGCCACGGACCTCCTTCCCTTTCTGTTGTGTTTCACATTTTTCAACCCCCAAAATGCATACAGCTCTACTTGCTGTTCATAAGAAAAGTTTGCCACTTTTCACTTTGAGAAAACCCTTCTAGAAGGCTTTTCTCAAAGAACCTCGAATACTTTTCATGTTTAGAAGCCACGGGATCCCCTGGGGGACTGGGAGACATCATTGCCTCACGTACAGAGGAGGGAACAGGACCCTGGGGAGGCAGATGCATCAACAAGGTCAAAACAAAAACCCAATTCAGGTTGTTCCTCTCCAGTTTTGCATCCTCCCTTGGGCCGAAAGGCACAAGATGCATTTCCACTCACATACAGTAATTTCTTACAACCTTCTTGGCTCAAGTGGAGCCAAGCAGAAAAGAGTGAGCCTCATAGAAAAGAGTGAGGTCCATCAGAGGAGAACAGCAAGCGGGATTTAACCTGGACGGGAGAGACTGCGGCACCCTAAAGTTAAGTTTAAACATCTGCTTGCATACATGGGTGGTGAGAACCCTCATCAGTTGGGTTGCAGCGTGCCTTCTGCTGCCCCTGTTAGTGACAAGCTGCCTGTAGCTTTAAAGCAGAGCTCCAGCCTAAGCCATTTCTTCCTGTTAATGCATTTCCCTGGGCTTCCTGTATGGTTTAGACAAACTAGGCAGTGTTTGGGAAACAAGTTGTACATGCATTGATATCAAACATCTGCAGTGTCATAGCACGCGATAAATGGGAGCGCACGGCAACAGGCACAGCGCAGGCAGGCAGTAGGGAGGACCAGAAAGCTTCCCGTTAAATCTGAGCTCCTCTACTCTGGGAGCCAGGGAGAACTGAAAACACAGAAGCTAAATAATGAAGTGTTTTCTTTTTCAGACACCTTGGGGGAGAGGGAAAGATGATGCAGAAGGCAGGATCCAGAGACCAAAGGGCAGCTGCTCTGCGTTCTCATCACTGCAGCTGAAGGACGTCTGCAGGTCCTTTGAACAAGGTGAGGATGGGGAAATGCAAAGAGCTAGCATCCCTACCAACAGCTGAGAAGGCAGAAGGGAGATGAGACCGTGAGTTTTTCCTCATCAGCCTGAGCTGTTGACAGGAGTCTCAGTTTTCTCAGCTTCCCCGCAGGATCAATGCTCAGGGTGCCTTGGAGCACCTTCAAAACCCTCCCTTGACACTGAATACAGACACTGGTATCCTTCTAGAAGAGGCCATGAGAGAGCCTCTGTGGAGAAGCCACAATCCCAGTTGTACACGGGTGAGGAAATGAAGATCCTGTTTCTAAAACCACCCTCCACAACTCTACAAAGAGCCCCACGAGGGGCGAGGAGGGGCAGAGCATCACACTGCTGCAGGGCTCTGCCCTCGACAACCCACACACTGCCTGCACTGCTGTCATAGTCCCAACGACTCACTTTGTGCCCTAGAGAACCTGTCCTGACCCTAGGGGAACTGAAGTAACGATCTTGGTGTTAACAGCAAAAGCTTGGTCCTATTCTAATCAATAGTAAGAGCCCTGTGGGCTTGGAGGTGTTTACCTTCTTCTGGGTGTGTGCGTGCTTGGACTTAACAAGTGACTTTCAGCCATCAGCTGCACCGCTAAACACCAGGACGCAACCCAGAGCCTTACCTTCTCCACCCGGAAAGTGATTTCCCTGGAGGAGAACTGCAGGACGGGAGCCACGAACTCGCATGTGACGTCCACCTGCATTATCTGTGCCTTCCCTGCCTTGCTGCCTATGATGGCGTGGCACAGCAGCCGCTCCGTCACCACCTGCACACGAGAGTCACGCATCACCGGTGGGCACGAGCAGGGCACTGCGTTTGTCAGCCACCCGGCCATGGGCATGAAGGATTTGATAGCCTGGGGACACACCTTGCCATGGGACCTTGGCCGTGTTACTGCCATACGGATGCAGTTGGTCTCCTCAATGGCTCCCCTTGCTCTTTATGCTGCATCCTCTTTACTCAGCACTCAAGCATCCATAATACCACACCCCAACATCCACAAAATGCACTTGCAGGCCATGTGCTGTCTCTAGTCATGGTAATTAACACCCCAAAAATTGTCATTTGTCATTACAAAAACAACTGTATTAAGGGAAACAGGGGATAAGAGGACCCAATGCCACCAAACATTCCCTCCGAAGCTTAGTGGAAAGGATGCACAGGAAAAACCCCAATGGCTGTCCTGCCTTCAGGTGAAGAGGGGATCACGTTCCTAGGAATGCACTCTGTCTCCCAAGTCTGATTTTAAAAGAAATGACCCCAGGAATGAGATGTCTCATGGCTAGGGTGGAAGCCCTCTGCCCAAACGAAATGCTCTTACATTCTGGTTTCTCATGGTATCAACTTTCTCAAATCTCCCCTCTGCCCAACTTTTCAACCTCCTGGCCCAACTCCTGTTGGAGCCTGCAGCCTCCAGAGGAGCTGCCAGGTAGTCCCAGCTGAGCTCACAGATCCCCTTCCAGCTTTCCAAGCAGGACATCCCCTCCACTGCCCCGGTCTTTTTATTTCCTTTCTGTTACCTTTTCCATATCCCCAGCAAAACCCTTGGAGCTCCAAGTTGCACAGGGACATACCAGGAGAGTCCCATCAGTCAGCTGAATGAATTACCCAGTCTTCCTCCCCCTGCCACAGAGGCAACTCTCTGAAACACTTTTCAGAGCTGGTATCGGGCGGGACATGCAGTGATCCCACTGAAACATCCCCCTCCAAGCTGTGACCCAAGGGTGCACAGCCTCACTGCAAGACCTGGCTGCCCTGGGGGCACTGGGACCAGCTGGTATGGAAATATTGACGCAAGCCCAAGCTGTCAATTCTAATGATCTCTGGGAACAGTTTCCCATGTGGAGAACGTCCCTGTGTGATCATTACAGCTGATGCACTGTGTTCATATTTCTCCTCCAGGACTCGGTGCTAGATAAGCCCTCTACCTGTATATATGTAGAAAGGAAATATGATGCTGCTCCCAGACACTCCCTCCCTCCACAGGTGTTTTGGATGCTTTTCCCAGACATATTACTTTTTTTTTTTTCTTCTTTAATTTACTTTCAGCCTGCATTCCTAGTTTCTGAGAGCCTAACTCCTTTCTCCACCCTTCCTTTCTGTCCCAGTACGTGACACCTTATAACCTGTCATCTGCCCACCGAAGCAGCACTTTCTTCAGCCCATATTTTGGTATCAGCAAGATGGGTTTATGGTAGCTATAGAAACAAGAAAAGCCTTAGCAACTGATGGTGGCCAGCAAGGAAATCAACTGGTGCTGCCATGGTAACTTGTGATGTTAAAACAGTTCTTAAAAGCAATTGCTCATTTTCTCAGGCAAGTATCTGAAGACGACCCTGTGGGTGCGACCTGGTGGAAAGGGCTCAACCTCACCTTTGGAGTGCTGGAGGAGCCTTCCAGCATCATCTCCATGCTCCTGCCTGGCATCAGCTCCATCCTCAGTGGCCGAAGCTTGAACACGGGAGATGCGGGCTGGGGTCTCTGGGAGGAGTTTTTGCCCTTGGCGTTACCGATAGCAGGGAGACGATCATGCTGGCGAAACGGGGCAAAGCCTTCTGTTGTCCAGTAGAGCTGATGGGTTCGCCTTCCCTTGTTCGTTATCTTGAAGTGGTAACAGCAAGGACTCAAGCTGGAAGAGAAGAAAGGGTGGGAAGTGTAAATAAATAAATAAATAAATAAATAAATAAATTTCCCAGTGGTCACCCAGCACCGGCACCCCAGTGCCATTTCATTAACTGCACCTTCAGCAGTAAAACCACCTCTGAGAAGGCCGACCTTGCTCAGAGCTACAGCAGAAGCCAAATCTTGCTTGCCCCCAGGTTTATCAGCATCCAGCAGCTGGTCTGTTTGCAAGGAACAGCTTCGCAAAGAACATCTTGGCCACTGGGGAGATGCTGGGGGCAAGCTGGCTGGCTGCCCTGTGGTCAGAGCATCACCAGCCTTTTGTGCTTGACGCTTGGAATAATTTCCCCAGGTGCTTCCACGCTTAGGGAGCAGCCAACCCTCGCTGCCCACAGCGCATCACCATCCTGTGCCTGAACAGCACGGCTGGTGCTGTGCTTCAGGAAGATAAACGCACAGTGGGGACACCGGATCGATGGAAGTTTCCCCAGTATGAACACAGCAGCAAGACCAGCTCTAGCTGCTCAGGTAGCTGAGCGACACCAGGGGATGACTAAGTGGAGCTAGATATAAGACAAAATGAATGTTCAATGGAAATTGATTCCTTCACGTGAGAAAACACTAACTGCAGGCTAGGTTGGAGTAATTATTCTACCCTCCATAAATCTCAGCCTGGCCAGGAAATGAGTGGTTCCTGGAACGCTAACCAGAGGTACAGAACGTGCAGCTTACAAAACACTCCCCGCACTAAGCAGCTAAACACAAACGCAGAAGTGACCAAGATGTCTTTAACCACGACATTTTACCTGGTGGACAGCAAGAGAGGAGAACTTGCAGCTGTCCGAGGTGGCTCTGGGGAATCCCAGCTCAGCCAGATGCTGGGCCCCACACCCAAGAGGTGCCCACCACGAGGTAGGTGAGGAGCACCTGGGGAAGACCTGCCTTCCTCCCCTGCTGGCAGACGCTGATTCCTTCCTTCGAGCTAAGCCCTCCCCATTAGCTCTTGATTTATCCTGCCCAGCCAGAGCAGACATTTGCTCCTTTCTCTTCCAAAGCCAGTCAGGAAAGGGTCCGCCATGCCCAGGGGACGTGCCTCTCCCCAGCCTCCAGCCTGTGCCTCGGGCTGCTGCCACTTTGATGGAGGAGAGAGCAAAAAACAAAAAACAAAACAAAACCAACAACAAAAAAAAACACAAACAACAAACACAACAAAAAAAAACAACAACAACAACAAAAACAAACAAAAACACGAGGCAGGAGAAACGAGGAAAGAGTACATCTAATAACAAGAAGCCCGGAGGGGAAGCAGGAGAAGACAAGGGAGTTGGGGGATGATTGAGGGCAACGACAAATTCTGTTGCTCCTCCAGCGCTCCTGGGCAGAGGGGAAATAAAACAGCGTCATTAATTTCGTCAAGGAGCTGCTAACAAGCTACCGCCAGGTTTTCCGCTGCTGTGAAACGATGCTCCACAGCGAGCGGAAAAGCAAGCAACGCTATTGCAAAGGGAAACATGTTTATACTGGTAACGGGGCATTTTTCAGCCAGAGGCTTCTGGGACCTGCTGGTTTGCTCCACATCTTAAGCGAGGAAATAAATGCGTTATAACTCAGGGCAATTCACTGACAATACAGCAACTGGTTTCACGGCAGTGGCTTTTGATAGTGAGTGCTTAATGCCCTTTGAATGGCCATAAAGCATTTCCACAGGGATTTCTGCACCTCCTATGACAACAAAATGTTGGCCAAGCCCTGAGCAAGGGTGGGAGGCTCGTCCTGAAGACCTGACCCTGCCCAGCCCTTACCTGAAGTGCGGCCCCAGGGTGAGCGCTGGTGCGAAGGGTTTGTCGGTGACGATGGTGGTGCCAGTGCCCACCGCCTGGACGGGGATCACGTAGGTGTTGCTGTTCTCTATGCAGAGCTTCACCTTGTCCTTGAATTTCTCCGTGTCGTCCAGGTTGGCGATGACGGCCACGGACACCTCGGTCCCGGCGGGGATCTCGCCTCGACTGGGTTCGATCCTCCAGCGCGAGCCCTCGCCCACCTGCGAGAGAAACAAGTGCCAAATTATGGTAGAAGCTGTGGAGCCTTGTGGAGTGCAGGCAGAGGGAGGACTAAAAGATACGAGGGTAAAAAGCACGGAGGTTTAATTTCACTAAATCTAACCTATGGGGTCTGGAAACAGCAAATATGCAGGAGCTTATTCTACCTGTCTGGTAGCAGACTCTCTTCACTGACCCGATTTTTCCCAACCCAAGGGATTTTCATTTCCTTCCCCCTCCAGTCTCTCCTTTGGACAGCACACCCAGGAAGCTACTTTATTTCTCCCAGCTTCATGGCTCCGGTGGCCGAGTTTCCGCAGTGACACGAGGACAGGAGAAGCCAGAACTGCCCAAATCTCCTGACAGCTGGGAGCCCAAAGAAGAACTCCATAAAACCTGCTGACCAAGGCCCCAACACCAAAGCCTTCTTCCCTAAGAGCTGGGCAATGTCTCTCAACAGCACCCGAAGGACTGAAGCACCCAGATCCCACTGACTGTCAGCTGCAGCAAGGTGCCCTGGTGACAAAAATTCAGCTGTAACTGTTTGTAGTAGGACAATAAAGAAATAAGTGGAAAGAAAATTGCAAACATGTGCCTTGTGGGCATAGCCACAGCTTCCTGAGCATTCACCTCTGGCTTCTCATGGACCTTCCTCTGTGGATGGGGTAAGAGAAGAGTTTTTTTATTATTATTATTATATTTTTAAATGAGAAGCAAGGATGTGCTCATAGACCTGACAATCAAGCAGCTCCTGATTGGAGTGAGGTCAGCCTGAGTTTCATCAGGTTGGTGGCACTGAACTCCAGCAGGAAAACAACATCAGAAAACCAAGTGGTGCTTCAAAGTCACAGCAAACATTTTAAATAGCCCCAGAAGACCTCTGCTAATGATGAGGGTAAGACTAGCTGGAGGCCAGGGAAGCAATAACTTGCTGGGCACCCAGGGTCCCAGCAGGGTCTGCGGGTGCCCCAGCTACGATGTGCCTTGCGTGGAGAGGGGGTCAGGTCTGCCCAGGAGGGCCCAGGGTGGAGCGTGCCAAAGGCAGTGAGTTATTCCAGGCACTGGCAAATTTAATAAACTCAGCTCCATTTAATTTGTTATCTGGAGCTGCAAGAGAAAGTCTTAAAAAAAAAAAAAAAAAAAAAGAAAGAAAAAAAAGAGAGAGAATGGCATGGAGGGAGGTCATCAGCACAGTCACTGAGGCCCTGCTTCTCCATGGAGGGCAGGGTAAGCAGTTACCCAACACTATTTATTTGTACTCCTGCTCTTTCCCTTTCATTATTATCCACAATTTATTCTGTGAGGCCTGGGACCTGCTGATCCATTGGGGAATAACTCTTCTACACCCCCTGAGGTTTCCTTGGCCTTGGATGCGGAGAAGCAGTGCTGGAAAACCACTCTGCTGCAGGGCGGTTAGCTAGCTTGGAAGATGACAAACACAGTAAAACCTGTCCACAGGGCTCAGCCTGCTTTCCCAGAGACACTACGGTCACCAGGCTTCCTGAAACCCCACCAAAAACTCAGCCCTGAATTCATTTCCATCTCAGAGGCTCCTTATCCACACACAGCCCAGGCTGGTGGACAAGAGAAGACGGACCTCAGGTGGGTTGGATCCCACCAACCCTCTCCTCTCGTCCTTGCGTGGTTGGTCACCAGCCTTGGAGGGATCCACCACGCTGCAATCAGCCAGAGAACACGTTCGTAGCACGCCGGTGGGTGTTAGCTTTTCCTTGACATTAACGTATGGCTTTTCCTCTGATTCGTGCTGACATAGGGTAGCTCGCTTGAAAAGGAGACCTGATAGCTCTGCTCCAGAGGTGAATCTGCAAGTCTACTATCTGACAAAGCTAATTCATCAAAGCTTGGCAACCAGCCGGGCAGTAAATTGGGCCCAAGAAACTATCACTGAGGAATAATGATAGGCCGGCTGGAGGGAGCCAGACTCGGAATTGCCCAGGGTGACCCGGCACAGACCCGCCGTGCCCTGGCAGCCCAGCAGCTGACACCGCAGGAGGATTCGTGGTGTCCCCATTCCCTCCGTTACGCTTGGCGTGGGTCCGAGAGGCAGCACAGAGCATCGCTGGCCAGGATCCTGCCAGGCCCAAAATCTGGGCCAGCTTCACGCAGGTTTTTGGGGCAGCCTCTGCCCACGCTGGTTGGGGCTGTCCCCAAGACCAGAAATCTCTTGGAGCTTGGGGCAGGCGGTACCACAGAGTCCAGCTATATAAAAAAAAAAAGCCACTCTGGAGACTAAGACCTGACTTCTGATAGCATTCCTGGTTCCAGCTTACCCCTGAGTGCTCTGGAAAATGATGCAATTGCTGTAAGGCACTGAATAGACAAAGGCAGTGGCTATTTTTGTCCCTGTGGGAGCTTGTGTTATCAGCCAGCAGAGTCCCTGAGTGCTAGGCAAGGGCTGGGATCAATCGTTTAATCAAGAAGTTGAACGCTGGGATCATTGCCTTCTCACAGGACAGATTTCCATCGCGAGTAAGAGCTGCCAAAATTGGTTGGAGAGTGTTCCCAGCCTGCCAGGCTGACCCGCTACCCCTTGCAGAGGTTGTGTGTGAAGAGGAAACACCCATCCCACATCAGAGCTTTGCCCCAGGTGGTTTAGCTGTCCCAGGGGTCACCTTGGGACCTTTTCCAAAAGGCAGAAATGAGAATTAAAGTTCCTGCTAAAGAACAACGAGTGTCACAAAGATGGGCAGCTCCAGGACAGTTCTGCAGGAGCATCCCATTCACCAACCCTTTTTTTAGGGCCAGCTGACTGAGCAGGGACACAGCTGGTGTTTTATCTGGGATCTCAGCCAGGCAGGGGAACCATCAAGAAAACATCAATTTTGTCTTCTGGCTACAGGCATATAAAGAGGAACACTAAAACAGCATCTCTGGGAACTCAGGGGTGACTAAGTAATAGGTAAGGCAGCCAGGAATGATGCTGCACAACAGCTCCTGCTGGCTCAAAAGGATCTTCTCAAGTACACCAAGGGAAAAAGAAGGTGGAAGAAACCACCATGATCAGAGACCACTTCCAGTGCCACAGCAGCACACTGCTCGCTGGAAGGAGAGGACTGGGATGAAGTGATGGGAGAAGAATTCCCAGCAGGGATGAGAAGCACGGGCTGTGTCCCCGTTAGGTTGCCCAGGTCTTGGTCCCTTGTTTCTGCCTTGGCCACGCTTGGCTAAGCCCAGGGAGGTGAGCTGGGCTTGCAGCAGAGCCCTCTAATGCTGGGGGAAAAAAAAATAAAATAATAATTCCAAATTGATGCGTGGAACTTGCTGCCACTGACAATGGAGCCTAATTTGTCGTGCTCAGTCCAGCTCATCGCAGACTGCTGAGCGAGCTAACGAAGCTCGTTGCCATCTGTGTCCTCTGCCCGTAGCTCTCCCCAGCAGCGCTCCGAGCACTGGGGTTCGCCAGCCAGGATGCAGACGCAGCTCGGCTGGTTGCTGCCAAGCAGAACATTTAATAACCAAGCCCTTTTTGCCATCCTTTGGGAAAAGCACGCGGCTGAGTCACTCTTGCTTCTAGGAGCACAATTGCCCTGAAGACTTCTTCTACTCTTTAATTTGGTTGCCCAACGAGTGCAGCAGAATCCTGCGAGTTCAGTTTCCCTAGATGAGCAGAATAACAATTTATTTGTTTACCGAAATACAGCAATTTTGAAAGGGCACGAATTCATGTCAGACACTGATGCAATAAGAACTCCTCCCTGGGACCAGGTTTTAGGCACCTTTCCTAAAGTCTCCTCCAAATCTCTGCTCTTCTTTCTAGAAGCTGCGTGCCCAGAGCCTAATCCTGTGCAACCCATGCCTGGGAAGGATGCAGAAGGCTTTGGTGCCACCGATGGCCAGCATAAGGCTGGAAGTTCCTGGTCATAACCCACATCCATGACTGATGCTGTGTTCCCAGCATGGTCTGCTGCAAGGAACTGGTCCCTCCTGCTTCAGCAAGACCGAATCCCAAGCTGGATAGGAGTTGGTAGTGCTGTACTAGCAAAACACTGCCTTTAAAATCACAGACCAAAGGTTTGTGTCTCAAGGAGAGCTTTCAGAGCACGAGGCTCTGGTGGGACAGCTCTGGAAAGAGTTAAACCCACACATCTCGTCTTCAAAACCTCTGCTCATCTTGGAAGAGGCCACTCAGCAAGTGCTGCCCATGCCCTAGGAAGTTATTTATTTAAACACTTGTTTCCAAATAGCATCGCAGCTCTCTCTGCCTGCTCACATCTGAAGGGCACGGCGCTGTCTGCGTGTGCCTTGCTGTGAGCAAACACTGACGGGCCGGATAATTATGCAGATGCTTGGGGAAAAAAAAATAAAAAAAAATTAAAAAAAAAATCCAATTTACAGTACACTTAAAAGTACCAACTCCAGTCTGCTCTGACTGCAGCAGGAGCAGTTGGAGGGAGCTGTGGGCGATGCTGATGCTCCCCGAAGACCTCCTGCCCTGCAGCCCGCGCTACAAAGTCCCCGCCAGCCAGAAGCAGCGACAGAAGCGCCGAAGCAGCCGCTGTTTATCAGCACTGTTTGTACGTCTATCCCCGCCTTGTGCTGTCTCTCCATATGGCTGTTTCTTTATTACAGGGAATTGCAGCAAAAGCTCGAGATAATAGACCAGAAATTCGTAAATGAAACAAATCCTGCACTAATGAGGAGAGAAGCAAGTGTGCGAATGGGAACCATGCATTGTCTCCTTGCTTACACCGAGTTTGACCAGGACCTTCACACGCTTCAAAGCAGCAATTTTGCCCCAGTGAACACCAGGTAGGAGACAGAGCAGAGCACCTTTGCTGTAGCTACGGCATCAGCTGCAGCTGAGTCCCGTGGCAGCTCGTCCCCTGGAGCACGGGAGGGGACCTGCTCGCCAGCATCTCCTGAAGAAGAGATGTCTCCTTCAGAGGATGCTCCTGACCTGCTCATCGGATGGCCCCTGTCCCTGGTGGCAGGGATAGGGCCTGGGGCACCCCAAGGCACAGCAACCTCCAGCACCACAGGACAAAGCTCTGGATTAAGGATAAGGACCCCAAACTGAGGTCCAAACCAGGAAGCAGAGCACCACCAGTAGCAGGGGAAATCCCAAGAAAGGTTTGCTCCCTCCTCCCTAATTACAAAGCACTAGGAAACCCCCGTTCCCCACCCTCTGGTAGCACATCTCAGACCCAGCACGGTGGTCCTAGCAGAAGAAAGCAGGCACTGATTAACAAAGGCTTCACACCAAGCTCGTCTTTTCCCTTCTGATCACCCAGACGTGACGTGCAGCCACCTCCTGTGATGCCAGGAGGTGCCATCGCTGACGATGGAACAATAATCCCTCCCGAAAGCAGAGCGACAGATGAAGAGCAAGGGGGAAGTGATCTAAGATGAATGCTTTTTCCTGCCACATCCCTGCCTTTCTGCGGGGAGGGCGTGCACTCCCATCGGTCGATACGACTGCTTTGTGCTTGTCGATACGGCAAAAATCACACCGTGCTTAAGGAAACGGGAAAAGATGACAGCAGCAGTGAGGAGAAGCAGCCACCTCTTTCTGCAGGTCACGCCAGCCCCCAGCTAAGCTCAAACAGCTCCTTCTTGTCCTGTAGGTTACAGAAGCTAAAGGCAAATCCTCCCCCAGAGGGGTTTTTTCAGCAGGCCAGGCCATGTCTGCAATGTCCCAAAGCACAGGCACAGTGCCAACATCTCTGCTCATGCAGGAACCCAACGTCTCTGCACAGGGAGGTTGCAAAGCTCTCAGCACCCGACAGCAGAAGCCCTGGCATCCTGGAGCAAGCTGTCTGAAGGCTGACCCCAAAGCAGGGACAGGGCTCATGGAGGCCTCCTGGTTCTGCCAGGACACCAGCGGTGGTTTCAGGACACTCACCAGAGATGTCAGAGATGCTCAGGGCTGCTCCCAATATCCAGCAGAGGGAAGTGGAGATGGGTGCGGGGCAGGTACCCCACGCACCAGGGGTACACCCAGGAATCCCTTACATCACAGTCAGACTATCTGCAACAAGACATTCCTGAAGCCTTCCCTGTTGCTGCCGCTTAATTTAACCTCATTCAGTTTGTTGAGGTGCTCATTTGTGCACTCTAACGTTGCTGCTGTGAAAATTTCAATCGATAGCTCTTTCTTTCAAGTGGGGGCTGTGATCTACGAGCCTCTGCGCAAATCGCCGCGGCTTCAAGATTAGCCATGGAAGGGAGGCAGGGAAATGACAGCTCCGTCCTGCTGCGGTCTCCGAGCAGGAAATCCAAGCAGCAGCTTTGGCATCTCGGGGAACACAAGGCTTCTGGATAAAAAAAGGGATGGATGGACATCCAAAGCCCACTCTGCTCTCAGATGAACACACGCAGCGCACCCCGGCACCTCAGCATGTCTCCAGTTTTAGCTCCCCAACCATTCAGTCCTCTCTTCTTCCCATCAGGAGCAGCAGCAAAGGGCAAAACCTCAATGGAGGCAGCAAAACAGCATCAAAGCAGCTGCTGAGGGCGAGAGAGGCTCAAGTACACCTTGCACGCCTGCTCCATCAGGATGGAGCAGGTCCCCAGGGGCTCCCCTGCATCACAGCTCCCATTTTCACCATGAGGGAAGTTCACCCCTGCACCACCTTCATTTATCAGAGCCATTTAGATTGGAAAAGACCTTCAAGATCATCAGGGCCAACCACCAGCCTGACCTACGTTATTGTTCTATTTATCAGTTAGCCACAACGTTTGCAGATTGAGGGGATTTATCACCCGGTGCCATAAATAAGGGCACTGGGAGACAGAAATTCCCTGCAAGCCCCACTGGCTTGCCCAGGGAGGGAAGGCAGGCGTTGCACTGGGACAGCAGCCACAGGTACAAGCAATAACATAACATCATGTAAAAAAAAAGAAAAAAAAGGCAAAAAAAAAGCCTATCATTTATAAATAAGCACCACCCATGCAAGGGTGTTTGGCTGTTTGCAACGGAAAACAAATTTTCATCGTGGATCCAGACAAAATGCCCTGGGAATTCCCCACTTTACATTCATCCACCTGGGCTCAGAAACTGGAGTGAGGCAGCTGGAAAAGCCCCAAGAGGGAAATTCAGCCCCTCACGCATCCCAGGAGGCTGAGCCTGTGCTTTTTCACACAATAAACAGAATTTGTGGAAATGATCCGGACTCACGTCTGCTCATATCTATGCAAATCCTCCACTTTCCCAGGAAGTCCCCAGCTAAAACCTCACAGAGCCAAAACCCCTTTTGCTGCATGATCATGGAATATTTTCCTTTCTCTTTGAGATGATGACATGGAAATGCTGGGTATAAGACCAAGTCCCAGGCTGCTGCGGACCAGTCGCATTTTGCTGGAAAACAGCCTCACAAAGCACTTACCATCTCTGCCCAGAACGATGCAGGGATGACCGCCTGATTGGAGAGGTTGAGAATTCGGGTAGCATCTTGCAGAACTTGGATATTGCCAAAATCTATCTTACTCGGACGCACGTAGACTACGGGGCCTTCTCCGGTGCTCACTAAATGGATTTTCTGCTCCAGGAGGCATGTAGAAAAGACCCAAAAAAACAGGGAAAGGTTAAAAAGATTAGACAGCGCTCCGGGTACAGCTAGATTGAGGGGTAATTATGGCTGATTGAAGCTTTTAGCATTGTAACACTGATACAAAAGACCTGTGGCAAGTGTGGGGTATGGGGTGATCCCACCTGAAAGACACAAGCTCCCTCATCGGGGTGCAGAAACCCAGCTTCCCTTGCTTGCTTTTTTCATGCTTGCATCCACACCTCCTGCTCATTGCTGGCTTTCCTTCTGCTGCCCTGCACTCATTCCCACCCCTTTTATTGCTCAATTTTGCCCCAAACCACCCTCCTTGCTGACTCCTGCTGTGGCTTGGATAGGAGCCCCACGAAAGGCAGAGCTATGCCTGTGAAAACCAGCACACATCAGAAGCAAAGCAGGCTCTTCAAGGTTAGGAACACACAAAAACACAGCTTGAAGGCAACTAACACTAAGAGTAACAGTCAATTATTAATTACATCATTTGGTGTTTTTCTCCTTTACCAGTCTGTGGCCCCAAAGTTTTGTTCTTGCAGAAGCAGTGCAGACCATCAGGGCAGAAATGCAGAGCCCTTTTACTAAATCCCCTCCTTGCATCATTAAAACTATGAGGATTTATCCAGCCCTGCTGGCTTTCACCAGGCCCAAACACCCCAACGAGACCTGAATGTGCCCAGCTCCAACCCTGACAAGATGCTGTACGATGCACTGGAGGGCACAGAGTCGGATTTGAGCACAAAACCCTTTCTCTGCTGATGTCTGACTGCAGGACAGGGCATTGGCAGCTGTCAGAATCACTCCTCCAACTCCGCCAGAAGGAGCAGCGTCCGCAAGTGCTCTTGACAGGATGCTGCTGTGTGCAAATGTGAGCCAAAATCAAGCACTGAAACTGATTCCCCAGAAATAAGGAGCTGAACTCGTAGGAAATGATGGAGCTTTCACTCCCAGGAGAGCAGAGCTCTGGGAGATGCTGCCCATAGCTCCCAGGAAGCAGGAGGTGCTGGGACGAGCTGTGCCCCCAGCTGACAGTGATGCAGGAGCAGCAAAGGCAGGGAACGACCCTTTGGAGATGAGCACAACAACAGCTGGAGGGTGCCCAGGCCACCTGGAAACCTGCTTGGCTTCATTAGTGTGTACTATCGTATGTCCTCAGCAATAACAGGCTCATAAAAAAAAAAACAAAAACACACCTTTATCTACAGATTTCTTGGAAGAGGCAAGAAAATCCCCTTTCAGCAGTGTTAGAAGCAAGGTCCCAAGTGTCAGGCAGGTGCGCAATCCCTTGCAAACAAAGCACCAGGCAACAACCCTACGGAGATACTGCACGGTGTAGGCAAAGGATCCACAGGAGGCTTCCCCTAAAACCTTGGCAGAAGTTAGGTTTGCCTTCTGGTGCTGGTCCCAGGGCAGGCACAAGCTCCCGTTTGGTTTTATTGGAACGCACAGCGGTGACTCCGCTGAGCTCGGGTTTGAATGATATGATAGGAAAACACCACTGGTACAGGTAGTTAAAAAACAAACTAACAGCTAAACCACTGGGTTATTCTAGCAGGGAGAAACCCTCACTGTTAAGGAACTGAGCCTTACATTTATCAGCAACTGTTTTGCCAAACTTCAGCTTTGTTGCAAAACTCACCTGCCTGGTTTGCGTTCAGCCCCACAAAGCCCTGGGCTGAGATGCTCAGCGGCGTATGAGGGATTTAGCAGCGTCTCCTCCATTCATTTTAATGAAAGCCCAAATCCCTCGAACAGCTTTCAAAATGTCAACCTCCCTTTCTGTTACAGAAAGCTTAAGGTTCCCAGCAACCCTCTGACATCCTACTTCATGCTCAGAGGGATGACAAGACATTTTAGCAGAGCTACTGAAAAGTTAAAATCACTTTCAATTAAAGTTTAATTACCTAAATTTGTTCTAGATGAAGCCAGGACACTACATAGGATTTTCTTGCCTAATTTTTGCTATCATTGTTGCTGCTGCTGTGTAGGCACGACTACGGACAATGTATTTTAGGTGCTAGCCCAGGAAAGCTTTGCCCCATCCATTTCCAAGCTTGGTAGAAAAAGGTTTCTGCGCTGCAGATGCAAGCTGTGCAGACACTCGTGTCTCTCTGGCTGGAGCTTTTGGCAAAGCAGTACGATGGATATTTCTCAGACGTGGTTTTCTGAGATGTTTATGCCCAGATTAGCTCAGAACTGCACTCCAGCCTGGTTTCCTGAATGCCCTTTGCTGTTGCAGGGCCAGGGCTGCTCCGCAGCCAAACCTCCCAATGAGGCTGCGGTCAGCGTTTGTCTGACAGCAGAGTGAGACCAGGGACTGCCCTGGTGTGGGACTGGGCCGGTTACCAGTCATGGGTGGCTGTGATGTGGAGCTCCTGGCACCTCTTTCACTTCCAGGAAAAGCAAACAGCTCTCAGGACATGGCAGAATCTGGCCCCTGCCCACGTTCTCCCCTACCCAGCAGGATGAGCCATGGGGACAGAAGGGATGCGGCTGCTGGGACTCACCAGAGGGGCTCCTTCTCCCCCAAACACCGCCAGCTCAGCGGCCGTGCACTGCTCCCCTGTCACCTGGGCTGCCAGCACCACCGGGACCTGCACCGAGCTGCGGGGCTGGATGATCCCGCAGGGCGCGGGGCTGGAGTACCACACGGCAGCACCCTCCTTGTGCTCCTGCAGGGGACAGAGATGAACACGACTTCAGAACGACCTCGGAGAGAAGCTAAAACCACGCAAATTGTCATTGTGGTAAATGTCAAGGAGCTGACGAACCCCCCTAGGAGAAAGCTAAAAGGCACAAAAGCAGATGCGGGACGTGGATGTGCTTAGCATCCCGAGGGGTCCACCAGCAGGTGTAGGGAAAGAGCTCCTGCTGAAGGCACCCAGCTCCTGCATCCCTTGCAGCAGGGCTTTGTGACTCCCTAAATCCTCCTGCGCAAAAGCGCCCCCAAAGACTAGAATTGCTTCCTAAACCATAGCATACATGTTTCTTAGGGGAAAAAAATAAGTATCTGGATACACCTGGCTGTCCTTTATCCCTAGGTAGGTTCCTACTCTGGGAAACCCCCTGGATAAGGTCATGAGGAGGAAGACACGAGGCCAGACCTGCGGGAGGAGCCCGTAGCAGCCAGGAACGTCGCTGTCATTCACAAGGGTGAGCTCCTGCTGGTAGGGATGCTTCAGAAAGCACCGCCCGAACTTCACCATGGGGTTGAGCACTCGCAGCGGAGGAACAACGCACCTGGGCAAAGAGATGATTGAGAGAAGGTGCAATTTGTACCAGGACCTGTGGGTAAAACTGCTCCTCCCATACTGCAGCATTCAGCTGGCAGATGCTGCAGATGTCATCCTAAAAGGCTTATGAAGATAACATCATTCCGGCTGTCGGGCACTTTCAGGTAATTAGATGGACAGATTTAACCGCACCCCTCTCATAATTCAGCTGACACCTACTGCAGCACACCAGGATTGGAGTCTGGCTGCAACAAGATCAACTCTGGGCTTCGAACATTCGTTAATGGTCAGCAGAACCAGAGGGAAGTGAAGAAATCTGCACTCACGCTTTGCACCGAGGATGACTTTTCCCTTCCTTCCCCAGCTTGCCCCTATTCTCCCCCCACCAGCTGCACCAGGAGCCCCTTTCCCCTCTGCCTGTGCCTTCATCAGCTGAGCAAGCACCAGCTCAACAGGCAGCTTGCTGGTTGCCAGATGGGAAGAACAGAGCCTTTGGGTCACCACCCAGCACAAGCCCACCCTCCCCTAGCAGGCAGAACCAAGGTGGCTCTTAGGAAACTTATTGCACTTCAAGCACCAGAAACCAGGCGAATCATGACTGTAATTACTATTCCCTCTAGGAAAACACTCAGGCCATGCCTGTTCGTTGCACACAGGTGCTTTTTGACCCGTGACGCTCTCAAATCCCTGCTGATCTCATAGCTGATTTAACTCTGCGTCCAGCTGGGCAGAACGTGCTCGTTAAACTGTGCTTCTTGAGCAGGGCCAGAGCGAGCAGGCTGTGGGCAAGGCAGCGCAGAGGTGGTGGAAGCCCCAGGAGAGAGGAAAAGCCGGCAGGAAAGCACGATACCTGGCTGTGAGGAGGAGTGCCAGCACCTCCTTGCCAACGCCATCCACATCCACCACCAGCGCCAGCTCGTACTGCCTCACGGTGTTGGAGCACAGCGTGACCTGGCAGGAGAGAAGAGCAAACACCCAGTGACTCCCCAGAGACATTGCCCATGTGTGAGACATCTCTGAAGGATGTTCTACCAGCCCAGGCTGTCTAAAACTCCACCAAGGAGCTGTAGATGTTCCTGCTCCAGGAAGCATTTCACTGCAGATTAATGGAGACCAAAGGGGCAAGGGGATTGAGAAACAACAAAGCTCCCTTCCAAGGAATGCTCTTTAACAAAGTGATCCAGTTTTTAACAACCCACGGGTCAAGAAACACTGCCTGGAATAAAAATGCAGTGGAAAATTAATGAAGCAAGCATGAGCCTTGCCACTAGAGCATGGATGCTCCCAGCCTGGGACACCATGGCATGGAGCAAAGTGACACCGAGGCCACCAGTGTGCTGGCCTGCCTGAGCCCTTCGTGGTCCTCCGTTCCACAATAAGGGAGGATTTTGCTCTCATTTTATGCTGGAGCACAGTTTCTAGGAATAACACAAATCTTCTGATGATGTCCGAGCTGTTAAACACACCTTGCAGCTATCAGGGCACCCACAAACTAAATTAAAACACGAGTCGAGTAAAGCTCTTCCTCCCCTACTCACCACTGTACAAAAATTATTCCATTAACTTTAAATCTCAGCGACAATAGCACAAATCCAGAGGAAATCTGTTGGCTTTAACAGTAGGAGTCCAGCCTTCTAAGGGAAAAGAGTGGCCCAGTGGATGCTGGACAGCTCACAGCTGCCACAGCTTTTTCTGTCCCCATTAGAGACCAGAGAAACTTCATCCCCACCTGCTGAAAGACGCACACACGGCTGGACCCGTGCTGTACCTGGATATCCAGCAGTCCCTGGGAGCGGACGGTTCCTCTGCAGGGCGTTATGGTAAATTCGCTGGGCTTGAGGTCACCGTGAGCTCCCTTTCTCCAGGAGAGGCGGGTGTTGTCCGACATCTGGACAAAACTGCTCACGCTGGGGGCTCCAGAGCCGTCCCCCGGAATGCGGAGGCTGAACGTCATGGGCACCAGGGAGGTGTTACTGAGCCGACACGACAAGGTGCGAGGAAAGCCTACGAAACGACACAAACACAGACATATGCCCCTGGTATCCCTTGGTTCCCAGCGTGAATATCCCGTAATAAAAGCCTGGGCTTGGAAAGCAGCTTTTTGACAAATCTGAATGACGGCTGTTTGAGAAGCTAAGCGAGGAGTTAACCTTCGCTCTCCCATCACGGCTCGCCCCCAGCGCTGCCGATCACCAGAGGTTTTCCTTCTCTCTAACCACAAGGAGCTCTGTCCTTCACCCCCAAACCAGCACCAGTCACTTATCATTTATCAGAGTGCCTCCAGACAGACAGGAATGGATTTATCTATTCTGAAAACCCAATCAATAAAATTCAAGTTCTGCCATTCATGCTCAGGCTGAATACTATCTAAAACCCATGAAACACCCCAAGATTTTCGGTCTGTAAAGGCAGTGTGTTGCCACTGAAGAGCATCTACAGTAAAAGAAAGGAAGGATGAAATTGGGAATTTCAGCACTATGCAAAGAAAAAAACTCTTCAATGTGGTTTCTTGTGATCCTACTACCACAAGTTTGTGAGGAGAGTCCAGTCAACTTAATTACAAGTAAATCACTTGTGTTTGGCATCATCCAGGATGGGAAAGTCTTCCTGTTGCTGGAAACTAAGCCTGCATATAAAATGCTCGTTGCTGCATCTGCTTTTTGCCAGCATCCCAGCCTGCAGGCTCCTCTGGTTAATCGCTGCAAGTGCAACGCTCCCAAACACTGAACACTGTCAAATGCCTGCAGTCTGGGCTGAGGCAGGGTAATTTCACCCCAACCATGGATTTTCAGATCCCGAGGCTGCCCTGAAGCCCCGCTTTCAACCTTGAGCTGATCAAGAAGTTGCTGCTATTCCTCTAAGACAGGAGTCTAACCATACTTACACAGGGCTGGGTGGGAGCACAGACACCAAGGGACATATTCAGTGCCCCTTGGGTACGTGTCAGGGAGGAAAAATACAACACAGACCTCATAGAGCACCCGTGTCCATCTGGAGGCTCCTGTTAAAGGATCTCCTATTTTGGGGTGCAGGACACCTCAGAGCCCACTTTACAGGGGGCTTAGAAATCAGCAGGAAATGTGCTTCGTATTTCCTAACAAACAGGGAAGTCGCACCCACACTGGCTTGGATTGCTCCCGTGTGCACAAGGACCAACACAGAGTTTGCAGAATCCCACAGCTGCCGGATGCAGACAATTGTTAGCACGGTTGAAAGAAGCTAAACCCACAGGAGCTGCCTTATTCGGCTGAGAAGGCCTCGTTAATGAAATCAGATTGCATCGGGTGAATCCCGTATTATGTAACCGCATTTCTGCCAGGCGTGTTTCTTGTTTTATTTGGTCAAAAGGAAACAAAAAGGTGAAAAGTGGTGATGGAGAGAGAGGAGGAAGCAGCTCAGAGAAGGTAATGAGTTTTCCTTAAAAGTCCACGAACAGCATGAAAACACAGAGGCATCCTGGGCGCAGAATGATAATGGCCCTTCAATCAATCCATGATTGATTTCACTTTTCAACTTCAGATCATCACTGCAAAAAAAGCCTTTTGTGAGATAGAGATGGAGAAATCAGAATCTGCATCTCAATGGGGATGCTCCGGACGTGCAGCCGCAGGCGCTGCCAGGTGAGGAGCAGGATCCTGCACCTTTGGGGACATCGGTGCCTGGTGCCATACCCAGCACCTGATAACGGGGTGCCCACACAGCGCCTGGCTCTGGAGCACGACAGGCTGGCATGTGGTTTAATGCCCTTCTCCAGCACTCCCATCCCCTGGGCTCTCCCGCAGCACGGCCCTTCGTGGCCGTTCTGCTGCCAAGGATTGGGAGCTTCAGGTTAAATGGGCTTGAGGGACGCTGTAAAGCAGCAGCTTTCAATTCCTTCATTTCTGTTTGACCTCACCATGGCTTTCATTTGCTCAAAATAGCAGTGAAGGACAAACTCTGCTCGGTGCCAGTTCCACTGTGATTTTGTTCCCCCATCTCTGCGATGCAGAGGGCATCATTTAACCCTCACTCATCACCCTAAACTCTTAAAGGCATCCAAAGCCTCTTATTCCTTTGGGGCACTTGGGCTGGAAATTTGCTCTCACACACCCTGGTGCATCCATGCTTCAGCCCAGGAGCTTTTTCCCATGACTGAGTGTGCAGTAGTAGTGGCACAATACTGTTTAGGCAGCCAGCAGCCCTGGTTTTAGCACCCCAAAGGCTGCCACAAACCTGACAGATGCTCCTGCACTAGCGTGCTCCGTTTTGGTACAGCACCCACCTCCCACCTCGCAGACCCCCAGGGCACACTCACCAAAGGGGACGTCGCCGAAGCGGAGGGATGGCACATCGAAGTGAAAGGTCGGCCCGATGACACAGCCCCTGCGGGGACAAAGGCAGGTAGAGGACCTTGATCACACAGTGGAGGATTTTGAGGCCCAGGGAGCCCCAAACACCCATGGACCAGCACCAGAACAGCAACGTCTCTACACCATGGACAAAAGCATCAGTTTATCACCAGTGCACCAGCTGACAGCTCCATGAGCAATGCATCTTGAAACACCAAACGTGAGCGTCCCAAACCCAGCACATCTCCTTGCCCCTGGAGCTGCACATCCATTACTTTATCTCATGGCTGATGCCAACCACCACCAGCTCTGCCTCTTAGTTAAAAATCAGAGGCCACAGTGAATGGTGCCTTCTAGTTTTATCCACAGGCCTGCCTTCGTGCCTGTTCTGCAGACGAACAGACCTCAGCACCCTGCGGGAGGAATCTGCCTTCCCCCTGCAGCCCTGTTCCCACCACCCTCTGAACACCAAAGAAACGAGCATTCAAGACCCCGTAAGGTCGGTGTCCAAGCAGAAGAAAAAATAATCTCCCGTGGTTTAGGGATCTTGTGATTATGCAGTCAGGAAGCACGCAGAAGAACTGGCTTTTAGGATTTTCAGTCCAAAGCTACTTCTTGATTCACAAAATCCCATCAGTTCCTGAGAAGCAGCCAGTTCACAAATCCCCACTGCTGATCAATTCCCTCCCTGGGGACCTCGTGTGATCAGCCCTAACCTCCCAAGCCCATGCAGCTCACTCTGAACAGCGCAAAGGGAGCAGACGTGCTTCCCATCACAGCCCCATCCCAGGAGATGATGGAAAACTACCTCCAAATGGGGTATCGCAGTGGACACTGCCGGAGCAGAGCCCTGCCAGGCTTGGGCTACACACACCCGACTGCCCGAGCTCTGTACACAACAGCTGGTAACAGCACAGCTTGCAAGAACTGGGGAGAAAGGCAGTGGTTTTGGCAACAGCTTGGCCTTACAGCAGCATTATTTAATGCACGTGTCCTCCCTCAGTCCTACTCCTTGAGTCTTTCCAGGACTCAAGGGAGGAGTAGGGTGAGGGACAGCGGGGCAGGAGCAGACGGGGAGGCTGGGGTAATATCAGAGGGGTTGTGAAGGAGCCACCATCCAGGACAGAGGAGTAAAAGGATGGGGAAGGGGAAGAAAAAGAAAAAGAAAAAAAAAGAAAGAGGAAAAGCAATCCTCCTTCACTGAGCAGCACGGTCTGCACTGATCTTAGGGCTGTGCTGGCAGAACAAGGCAGGGAGGGACCACAAAAAGGGGAAAAGTGCTGGCAGTGGGACTGCAGCTCTGGGAGGCAGAGCATCAGTGGAGAAACCAGAGCCATTTCATTCGGCTGGGGGAAAACAGAAGAGACCAATCCCACGGACAGCCACCTCCTTCAGGAGCACGGCCATCGCAGGGCAGAGTGGGCACGAGACAAGAAAACCTGTACAGCAGCTGCGATAAGCACATCTTCACAAGCAAAACCTGCCCTTGCTCAAGGAGAAAGCTGCTTATGCAATAACATCCCATGACCAATTTGGGGGGAGGGACAGAGGAGAATAAATTATTTGATTGTGAAATGTTCCCTCTTGATTTCCAAAAAAAGCATCACTTTCCCTCCAAACACAAAGCCAACATGATTGTTTCTTTACCAGAGGTCAACAGACCCACTCACCTCCCTCTTGCAAAGTCATAACCTTCTTGCTCTTTTTCACCTATTTTCCCTTTCCTTTGGTAAAAATGACTTGCAGGCTGTGTTCATTTCTCCACGCCTTGCCCCAGTGCTTGCTCTGGTGCCTCCCAATAGCCACCCAGTAGGCAGAGCCAGCCCAAAGCTCCTGAGCACCCAGCACCAGCTTTCCTGCCTCCAGCACGATGTCCCACCAGCCCATGGAATGGTCCAACTGGGACGAGCTCGTGTGGTGTTCTGGTCACCCAAGAAGTTACCTTCGCCTCTTCTATTTATTTCCCCTGGTTTTGCTTGGTGGGCTTATCTCTTGTGATGGCACCAGCCCAAGGGATGCTGCCCAAGTCCCCGGAGTTGCTGCAGAGCTCCCTGTCTGCCACATCAGCACTTCCCTGGCTGCAGGAAGGAGGTACCAGAGCCAGGAGCACATCTTGTCCCAACACATCATCATTAGACGTGATGTTGAGGATGCAGCTCCCTGTTTTGTACAGATTATTAACGCAGGGTTTTAAGAACACTGCTTCTGGCTGCAGAGTCACTTCAGCTCACACCCTCGCTTCTGTGCCAGGGGGCCACAGAAGAACCCGACACCAAATTCTGGGTCCTGGAAAAGTCACGGTGCTGAAGCTGCTTCCCAGAGGGACCCAAGGCTTTTCATTAAAGGGGGGTGTTGAGAGCACGGGAGGCACGGCTGTCCCTCTTGCAGGTGATTACACTTCTGGCAAACAACTGCAGGATTCCAGGCAAGGAATTAGACCCCAGCATCCCCACGCTGAGCCCCCAGACACCTTTTTCCCTGCACCACCATACGAGGAGGTTGGTGGGACACGACTACCCAGGGACAGCAGGCAGTGCCACTGAGCTCCTTGACTGTCCTCACCTGATGGTCAAGGTCACAGGCTCAGGAGAGCCGTACACGCTGAACCTGAACTCCTCACTGAACTGGCCCAGGATGGTGGAGCTGAAGGAGATGTGGATGACCTGGAGCTCGTCCGGCATGAGGATGCCCTCCCGGGGGAGGAAGGTGAAGCAGGAGCCCAGAGCGGTAGTGGGAGGCATCAAGTTAAAGAGGGCATCGATGGCTCCTTTGTTGAACAGGACCGCCTGCAGCAGAGAGAGAAATGTAAGCGTGTAAGGAACCTTCCTTTCTTACAAAAGGTTGACCTGCTTTCTAGTCAAACAATTAACATCTGTAAAAGGCAGCTGTGTGCTGCTGCCTGGCTGAAGCCGAAGAAAATACAGCAAGACAAATTCTGCCTTTGGGCTTCCTCATGCAGCGGGGAGGTGTTTCATATGAATGGAGCAACTCTGGGTTTATTTTTTTCTTTAGTCTGCCAGTTCCTTAGTCTGCTCAACCAGCAGTGCCAGGAAAGGACGAGAGTGAGGTGCAGAGCAGCTCCCCCTGCTTGAGAATTTCTCTTTACAAACAGCCACAGCCATTGCCTAAGATTTTATCGTTGCTTAGAGAAAAAAAATAAATGTGAATTTAGAACCAATGTTGTGCTTTGTAGAACACTCAGAGACCTAATATCTCAAACATGCGATAATCCCTGGGCACTTGCAGAGTTCTGTGAGATGCCCATGGGTTCCTGGGGTGCTGGTGGTGTCCCCAGACCCCCTGCAGCAAAGCTCTATGCTTAACGAGCAGTGTGGGGCAAACCCTGCCCTCTCCATGCACAGGTCTGTGCACGTTGGATTTCTTTTCCCTACCTTTTGCCCTCAAAAAATCTGCTGGGAAAACAGACAGATGCATAAAAGCATCCTTTTGGATTTTAATTTTGCAGCTGCTGCTGAAAATATTCAGGTATTCAAACCCCACACTGGTACATTGGACACTTATTGAGCCCACCCGAGCTGAGGTTTATCTCCAGTCCAGCTGCTTTGGACAGCACTAACAGCATCATCGGCTTATTCATCTTTTCTCAGGTAATGAAAATAATAAATTGATATAGCGAGAAGCAATAAGGTATCGGCATTAAAAATGCATCAAACGCAAAATATTTTGGTAAGAAAACACCTCAACATGTCCTTCCCTGCCACAGCCAAGCTTTTGAAAATGTCTGGCATGATGCATTGCCTCATTTACTACCTCAGTTGCTCTGCTTTCTTTTTTTTTTTAATTTGAAAAAAAAAAAATGATGCTATTGGTAGGGCAAATCTGTGGAAAGTTTCTTGGCTCCGTTTGCAGAAAGGCTTTGTTCTTTATAGAGCCAGGGAGGCACCAAGTCTGAAGCTTGGTGAGAGGCAGCAGAGGGTGCTCCCTGGTTCTGCACAAGGACCAGATGTGAGCTGGGGGCTGGGTGGTTTCCATCGCCCAGGATCAGGCAGGATGTGCTCCACCAAAGCCTCTTTGCACCGGGTTGCACTTCAAATTCCTTCTGGCTGCTTTTCAACGGCCAGGGTACGGAGGCACATTTCATCCAGGGCTGAACTCATAGCCTCTGAACACTCACCCTGTCAACCCAGTGCTGCTTTCAGGTCTTGAGTTTGTGCATGAAGCCTCCCAGCTGCCCCCAAAGGTTACCAAGAGTAGGAATGGGATTTGACACACCACATTCGTCTTCCAAGCCCCACCAAAAGCACCGAGACTTTGCCCAGACCCCTAACCACGGAAGTGCTGTGCTGAGACCCAATGCAACCTCCTCCATCTCACCTCGTAGCTGTGGGCTGATCCTACGAACACCTTCCCGATGTCAAGCTGGTCAAAGCTGAAGCGCAGCTTGGGCCCTTCGCCTTCCCCTTTGACACGCAGGGGCAGCCTGGTCTCTCGGCCTGGGGAGAGGTTTGGAGAGGTTTCCAGCTCAGTGCCATCGTTCCCTCTGTGCCCCTCAGTGCCAGGCCCCGTCCCCACGTGGGCAGGGACCAGCTCTGGATGCTCCAGCAGAAGACACAGGGATGCATGAGGAGTGCCCCCTTGGGACAGTCTCTAACGCAGCCATCAGCTCATGCCCCCAAAAAACAACACTGAACTTCACACATCATCTGCAAACTTCCACCCATGAGCTTGGGTGAGGCTGAAACCCATTTGGTGAAGGCACAAAGATCATGAAACAGAAGCAGGGACAGACACACGCAGCTCAAGACGAAGCCCCCCAGAGTCCCCAGCCTCACTGCAGGAGCAGCAGCTTTATACTCTAACTCCAACAAGCTCCTTTGCTTCTGTAGGGCTGCTAAGGTGACATAATACAGGAGTTTTGGGTCCAAAAGATTGCTCTGAACCACTGGAGCAGCCCAAAATGCCTGAAACCTACCTCGAGTCTGGGCTTGGGTCTCCCTGCTGCCATCACATCCTGCGCAGAAGGTGAGTAGCAGAAGGAGGAGAGGAAAGTAGAGTGATGCTCACCATTTATTAAAGATTAGGGTCTGAAGGCTGTGTTCTTTTTTTTTTTTTTTTTTTTTTTAATTCTGCCACACCATTAAAAATGCCCTAAAAATGTCCTAAACGACTTGCTGTGGGAAAGAGGGACCCAGATGCGACAACTGTGGTGACTGTGCCACGACTTGAAACACTCTCCTGGCACAGCCTTTTCAATGCCGTCTGACTTTTTGATCTCGCAGCCACGAGGTAAGGATGTTCGATAAAAGCCCAAAGCCAGAAAGCAAGAGCTATGGAGCCTTGTCGAATTCAACATTTTTTAAATGGATACAGCCAAAGGCCAGCCGGCAGCAGAGATGAGAGTTGTGTTTCACAGCTCAGACACTAATTGGAGGGCTGTGGATTTTCTTTCACAGACACAGGAAAGGAGGCAGCATTGGGTGCTCACTGTCAAAAGATTTCTCCATCTGGCATCACGAGTGGCTTCATTTTCATTAAAAACTCTAGGTCTAAACCACCAAAGCTCTTAGGAAATGGCAAATGCTTTCAAGTGATGAGCTTTTGTCCGTGATCACACTGCAAAGCTGAAGTGCATGCACCTGAGCCATGTGTCCCACGGCCACTGCACCTGAACCAGCCAGATCCTCCTCCTGCAGGACGTCCTCAACCTCTCCCAGAGGCCCACAGAAACCCTCTGCTTGGTCCTGGAGATTTAGGAAATAACAGGAACTTTGCTCTTCCTCCTTGCAGACCAAAGCTTTACATCACACGGCTCTGCCTCTGGGCTCATCATTTGGGGCTTTGCTCCTCCAGCTCTCATGGCCCAGGCCTGTGAGAGGCTTAAGGGATTTTGGAATAAATCAGTCCTAATACCAAGCCTAATACATTTCTGAGAGCAGACAAACCGAAAACTGAATGATGTTGTGCCTCTGAGCCCCCATCCTCTTCTGCATGCTTCCTTCCAGCAATTCAAGAGCCGTGGTTTTATTTGCATGAATAACTAAAGGTTCATTCCGAGCTCAAATATTTGCTGAGAGCAAATTTCAAATCACTTCTTAACTGCCTAGGTTTGCAGGTTGCATGATGCTGATCAATTCTGTAAACCCCCTGATCCAGCAGGGCCTTCCAAGCAACGCAAGGAGACACCTGCAGAGAAGTGGAGGCCAAAACACCTTTCCCGTGGGGCATGAGATCCAGCTGTGCAATGCCTCAGGGCAAAACCTCCACCTATGCCCAGCAAGGGACATGTGGGCCACCTGCACATTGCACTCCAAAGGCACCTGTGACCCAAATGCACAAGGAACAGCCACGCTTCTTGGAGGAAACAAGGCAAAATCAACTGACTCCCTAGCTGAGAGTGGCTGCTTCTTCTTCAAACTCTTTCTGCACCAAGGGACCTTGATTCTGACGGTTCCCACCCTGATAGCACAGCGGATCTGCTCTGGTTTTACAAGGAGGGGGACTTGGCACAGTTAAAAAGCCCTCCTTTAAGTCATCCTGCAAGGAGCCAGTGGAAGAGCTGAGCTCTCTGTGGGCCCATTTTGGCCATGAAAGAACCAGCTCCTGTTCCCAGAAGCAGGCTGCTTGCCCAGCTCCATGCCCAGGCTGGCTCCAGGACTGCACGCCAGCAGCTTTCCTCCCTCTCCTCCATGGAGCAGCCCTGCTGCTGCAAGCCCTGGAGATGCCTGCAGCATCCCCTGGGAGACAATTTTTAAAATAAACCCTTCCCTTCCACATCTCTAACAACTGCAGCTGGCAGGCAGGAAGACAGTTTGTTAACACGAGCCCTGTGTAATTACCGTAGGTGGCATTTGCCAAGCAAACCCCGTGCAATTACTGTATAAATAAAAAGCTGCTCCGTGACATTTGTATCCGCCGGCTCGGAAGGGAACGGCACAGAGCAGCCTGGCTGCTGCAGGACCACGGCCTCGCAGCTCTTCCTCTTCGATGGGGACAACATGGGGAAAAAATGATGTTTCCTTTCCACTCGTGGAGCATAACAGGCACCACGCAGAGCCCCAGAGGAAGGACGAGGCCACCAGCACGGTGGGCGAGGGAAGAGGGAGAGGGGAGCCGTACCTGAGATGTCGCAGAAGATGGTCTGCTGGTAGACTCGAGCTTCCCGGGGTTTGAAGATGACATTAATTTCGGCTGAGGAGTTTGGCCAGATGTCTCCCTCCTGAAACAGAAGTGGGCAGCAAACCGGTTATATCTCCAGACATCACCTTTCTCCTTTTCAACCACAGCCTTGTAGCCTATATTCGTGCATCAATGAAGAGCAAGGAGCAAGTGAATGCTTAGCAACAAAACTTATCAGAGGGTTTGGTATCGGCTGCAAACACCTGTTTCTAAATCCCTCACCTCTGCTGGTACCTGGCAGGGGCATTTTGTCAAAGATCAGAGGAAGGAGCTGACAGTCAGATGTGGCCTGTTTGCCTCTGCAGGATGCACACCCCCTCTGTTCCTGAACGCAGGATCAGACACAGAGATGGCATTTGCTACAGCTCCGCACCTCTTTCAACCCCCCAAAAAAATAAAAAATCAGGTAAAATAGCTTTTGTCATGCTCTTGCTTAGAGGCATCCCAAGCATCTGACTCGAGCCCTAACATCGCCAGTGCTTCTTTGTACCTTTGTTGGCATAAACACGCAGTTCTGACAATTATTATAATAATACCCTGCAAGGGATGAAGAAATTGAAGGAGACAAAGAGAGCCGAGTTATTATTCTATCAACAAAGCAGGGCCTTAATTCTGCTGGCTGCTGGGTATCCTCGGTGCTTTGTCCAGAAGAGTCCTGAGCTGACAGGAGCCTCTGGCGCTCCTTGGGCAGGAATATTAAGCAGCCGCAACGCCTCCCATCGACTCGGTGCTTCGAGCTCAGAGGACGGCTCCCGCGGAGATCGAAGAGATGCGGAGAGTTGTTGGGCTGCAAACAGCTCCCAGAGCACGCAGCCTGCTCGCAGAGAGCTGCGTGGAGGAGAAAACCTCCTCCAACACCCAGAAATCACCGCCAGCATGTCCACACAAAGCCTGAAAGCACAAAGTTGCTTGGGTTCTTCCTCCAAAAAAATAGAGGTGAGGCATCTGCCAGTCCTGCAAGGAATAGGATGAAGACAAAGCTTCCCTGGGTTATTTCCTTGGGGTCTAATCTAATTGGTGTGGGCTGATCAGCAATACCAAATGCCTCCTGTGCAGGCACCCAAAGAAACCAGAGGCCATCGTCCACCACCACCTCCACGCCAAGACCAAGAGCTCTGCTATGGAGCAGAACCGAGGGGAAATTTCCCCTGGGGAGCCCAGACATCGCCTACCACAAAATGACCATCGCTGGGACTCCGCGGTTGTTGTAAATCTTTGGAAAACGTCTGGAAAAGCAGGCTGAGATTTTATATCAACACTGGTAGTAGCAGAACATGTTCCCACTGAGTCCAACCGTGCCTGGGAAGCGAGAGCACATCCCTCCTTCCAGAGACCCAGCAACAAACTCCCGTGGGTGTAATGAGGCAGAACCACTCTTCCAGGTCAGCTGCCTGGCAGAGCCCAGTTTTGCTGCTCACGGGCTGCCTTACACACCAAAATCAGACTTCTTGGCCCCGTGGGCACCTCGGGGCAGTTGGGTTCTTACTCAGCGGTTGACAGAGGCAATACATCTCCCGTTAATGAAAGCGAGCGCAACGCGATTCATAAGCAAAAAATGGACCTAAGCAGGAAAGGGAGAAAATTAAAAACCCGTTGGCCTAATGAATATGTATCTGCAAACAACAGCGTGGTTTTCTAGCTGAGTGAGTTTAGCTGACTGTGGGATTCGACCAGCTCTGAGGCCAGCACATCTGTGATGGAAATAGGGCCGATGCAGCACCAGGGCTCGGCCCCGCAATATATCTTGTAGTAAGGACAGGCCTGGCAGTGCACGGGGACCCAGGGAGGTGGCACAGAGCCAGAAGGCAGGGACAGGAGCGGGAAACCACTCAAAAACAGCACCAGGAGATGTTGCAGCTGTGGCAGGGAGGAGTTCAGGGAGAGCACCCTAAAAGCCATGTTCCAAAAACACGTTCAGAAGCTGAGCACAGCAAGGATTTGGCCCCCAGCAGAGCTCGGCTGGGGTCCCGCAGCACCACCAGTCCTCCCTTTAAAGTGGGGCATAACCTTCAGCCAAAAAAAAATCCAGAGCCCCAGTGTCCCAAGGAGAGCTCCCCAAGGGCTGACTCCTCAGGGCATGGATGCCCTTGGATAATCTATTGGGAGCCTGGGGATACAAGGCAGAACAGCCCAGGTTCTCCTCCAGCCCCAAGTTTTGTGCCAAAAGCAAACAGCACGGGCACCCCAGGATAAGCTAAAAGCCTTCTCCAGTCCTTGCACCACACCAGGAGTGCACTGGCCAGAGGAAAACAAGGATCCACAGCACTGCATAGCCTGGGCTCGGGGCAGATGTTTTACAGCCTGAACAGGTGAGGGTGCAGCACACGACCCTGGTGCTGGGAACAACGCTCCAGGAAGCCTTTCAGTGACACACCAAGATCCTGGCAAGGGACATCTCCATAAATCTGAAGCGTGGCCCCATCCCAGCGTAGGGTCAGATGAGACACCTCCAAGGCTCTGTAGGAAACAAGCCCAAGGACTGGCAGCAAAACCCAGGCTCCAGCACAGCCCTCCAGGATAATTCCAATGCAGAGTTATCAGTGTAGCCTTGCACTCATCCTCACGTGCAAGAAAACCTTCATCAGCAGTTAACAGACCCAGCTCGTGATGTGAAATCACCCTGCTGCAGGATGCAGCCTATTTTTAAGAAAGACTTTTAGAAATCCAGCCACAGAAAACTTCCCTGTTCTGCCAGTGAGTCTGTAAGCCTGGTGGCTTGACTCCAAAGGTGGAGGGCAAGAAAAAATTACCAGTTACATTTCATTCTACTGTTCCACGACTAAAACAAATTCTTTTAAGACAGTCATAACTATTCTGGGAAATTCTGGTCATTTCTCCCTTCGTTATTGCAGTATGTCAGACTATAAAGCTAGAAGATATTATGAGTTATTTCTCCTGGGAAATTAAAATAGACTGTTGAAGAGGTTCCTCACCACGTTCCTGCTACCCCTGGGAAAACAAGGGCTGCTGGTTAAAAGGATATGCTTCATTTCCCACCCTTTCAGGCTAGCTGCTGCCGGCGTGCCTGCCTTGAGAGCTCTGGAGCAAGCGGTCTGCTGGGCTGGTGTGCTGTCTGCAAGGAGAACACAGAGCACGGGCCCCTGCTGTGGCTGTTATCAAGGGCAGGACCCCAGCCCGGGGTGCTGCAGACACCATATGACGATGCTGACAGCTCGATGGCAGCCTCAGACTGGTGGCACTGATTGCAGAGGATGGACACACGATGGTGCAGCACAAAAACTGCAGCGGCTGCGGCCAGAGGGATGCGGCAGCACGCTGGGACTCACAGCGGCACACGTGGTCTCCATGCAAGAACCCAACTGCAGGTGTTTGCAGATCACTTTTTTCCCCTCCCTCAGCCCTTAAATAATGAGAATCCACCAGTTTCCTGCCAGTCTGGACAGGAACAAGCTGCTCCTGAGAAGTTCACCAAATCCTCTGCTTTGTTTTGCAGAGGAGGACGTGAGCCATAGGATAGATGTTGCCATTCAAAGCAGACATCAAACCAAAGACCCTGCTGGCAACAGAAGCACCGAAACAACACTCAAAGTGTGTCCTAACAGCTGCCTCTTCCCATAAATAGCTGAACCCATAGCAGGCTGTAGGGTGCTCCCAGCAGAGCCGGTGCCTTCTGCCACAACCTGCAGGAACCTCCCTGGGCACGGGCAGCAGCTTGGTTCCCCAGCCGAGGCAGGGAACTCCCATGCTGCTGCCTCCTGGCCCAACCTCTGCCTCCAAAACACAACCTGGAAACCCAACGCCTGGAAATCCTGCAGACCACCTCCATCCGCTCCCAGCTCGCACGTGGTGCTGAGGAATCACCACCAGGCAAGGGCAGGACAGCGATGGCTCATCAAGGGCAGGGCAATGGCAACGAACCCATGCCCTCCCTTTCCCCCTGGTTTCCATTTCCAAGGAGTCAGCTCCCACGTGTTTGCAATGTGACTTACAGCCGGGCTGTGGTGGGCAGGATGCAGCAAAAAAAGCAAGGACGTTGTCCTGCGGTAGCCACCTGGGCTTCCACCGCAGCTGCTGCTGCTGACATATTGCGAGTATTTGCAAAAACAAATTCAGCCAAATCTGAGATGCGTTGGGGAAGTCGGAGTTGTGTAACAGCTTGTTTCCCACAGGCTCGGACGGCTGCTCAAAATGTTTGTCGTCACGTGGCAGCTCCAAAATCACTGCCTTCTCTTCGGCGGTGTTATAATTTTCATCAGCTCGTTAACCCCGCGCGGACTGAAGCGATCTGCTGCAGCTTCTACAGGCAGCCACAGCTGAAAATACCAGCGGCTGGTGATCCACGTGGGCAGCAAATCCAAGCCCAAATGCCCAGGAAGCTCTCCAGCCTGTAAGCCTCCATCAGCTTCCTAACCGCTGGAAACAATTGGAGGACTTTAAAAATGAACCAGCTTTAACCCATCCTTCCTCCAGTGCCTGGTCACAAAAGGATTTGGTGATTTTCATTGGGTGCTCTCTTACACCACAGGCAATGGGGGAAAGAAGAGAGCAGCCCCTACTGATGGCCAGAAGGTCTGTGGAGGCATCAAGGTCCCAGCCTTGGGCATCCTCTTCATCAGGTTTACCTGGAAGAGCACAAAGGGTGTCTGCCAAAGCAGAGGGGCATGAGGCTACCACCAGGAAGGAGGCTGAGTCACTGACGGTGGAGTTTCAGATTCTGCATTTGATAAAGAGGACAAAATACTTATTTGATGAAAAGAAATCTTCGTGCTGGGCAGGGGGAAAAGAAAGACAGGACCAAAGCTGAAAGTGGAAATGGTTGCTCTATAAATAATGGAATTAATAGAAAACAAAAGCCTGGCAAAGCTGCACAGGACAGAAGGGGAGAGACTTGTGTGTAAGCTCATTTAGAGTCAGTCCTGGAGCAAGTCCTGGAGCAACAGAGCCAGCTAGGAGACGTCTCCAGTCAGGATTTGAGCCCTGGGACATACTCCAAACACTGCCCTGATACCCCATGGGATGCTTTTAGTGCTCAGCTTCTGCCCACAACACTGTTCTTCCCTCTCTGATGTTATCTCTTGGTCAACCCTGCCGCTATAAGCTAGCAGGGTGAAACTGCTGTTGTTGTGCTGGCCTTGGTGGCTCTCAGCCACATCGGGGCTATAAGGAAGAGAACACGGTCCCCTCCTCTGAAAAAAATAGTTTCACCTATTTTAAGGGAAAGAAGAGGTTGGTCTCGTTCTAGGGTTTGCTCCAAAGATGAGCCGAGGTTTTGCACTGCTCAGAGCAGGCATTGCCTCAGACCATGCAGATGCTCAGTTACAGCTTGGGTTGAAAAAAAGAAAAGCAAAAATATTTCTGTGACTACACACAGCAGAACTCAAAAAGCCTATTTCAATCCACCAGCCCTGTGTCCAGGCTCCGAGGTGGCAGTGGGCAGGAGATTCACACACGGTACGTGAAGGGATTGGTACTTCCATGGTTAAACCTGGGCTGAGTTTGGCCTCCTTTGGTTTTGGGTTTTTTTTTTTTGAATTACTGTGTGAACTGACAATGCTCTGATGTCCTTTGCTAAGCTGCATAGAGTACGTGTAAGGTGTGCCCAAAGTGCTGCCTCTGCAAGCTCCAAGTGTATTTCAGACGGATGCACGGATGAGAGGAGCTCAGGAAGCACGAGCCGAGCACTCACAGCCCAGCACGGCTGCCTTGCTCCCACGGAGCTCCTCAGGCACTGGGCCTACAGCAGTAAACTCACAGCCCTTCGATAGTGCAGCTTTTTTTTTCCACTCTCCCAGCCTTGCTAGAAACCTGATCTCTTCTCTCCCAGGCCAGCCGAGGCAGCAGGGATGCGCTGAGCGACCTCATTTCGGGAGGAGGAGAAGGGAGAGGTTCTCGGCTGTCGCTTACCACTGGCTCGACGGTGAAGATGTTGTCGGAGAAGAGCATGGAGTCCCCCCGCACCTTGGCCCGCTCGTTGTGGAAGATGCGGGACAGCACGCTGAGGCGCTCTCGCAGAGTGGGGTCCACGGCGCACTCCTCGATGAAGCGATCCATCTCGCCCTCCTCCTGCTGCTGCAGCCTGCCACACAGCCTGAGGCCACAGGGAGAGAGAAACCAAGCGGATAATTTAATAAGCAGCGTATTTGCAGGGGCTGCCGTGCGAGAGCAGGGCCGGCGACACGCTCAGCGAGGAGCTGCAGCAGCGCAGCGAGGGGCTCGTCCGGAGCCCAGGGGTCCTGCATGGGCTGGATCACTGCTCGCCAGCACAGCAGGTGATTTTCTTTTCAGTACAAGGTGAGAAAAGGGTTTCGAAAGCCAGCAGCCCCTAGCAGAGCCTCTAAACCCAAAGCCTTTGCTGTGACTAAAGGAGCACCCAACCAGCTGCCCCACCTGGCTTCTCCTACCCACGGAGCTGCTCGGGGGAGGCAGGGAGCAGAAACACGGGGCACCCACCCCAGTGCTTCACCACAGCTCAGCTGCAGCTTACTGGCATCAGCTGCTTTTCTTCCCTTTTGGCCAAAACATGGTATCTGCTTGCTGCTCCTTACAAGGTTTTCCGCAATAGGGTCCCAGAGCATTTTAAAAGCAAAATGATGGACTCGGGCATCACATCAGCTGGATGAAACGGATGGTTTTATGCACATGAAAACAGAGTAAAGGACTTTGTGGAGCATCACCCAGAGAAGAAATCAGGACCAGCACCTCTGAATTCATCCCCTTCAGTCCAGCCTTGAACAGCCTCATCTCCCCCCTCTTCTCTGCCTTCTCAGCAGAGCCTACCCCAGTCTCTCCCTGTGCTGGCAGCAGAAATCATTCTGGTGTCTAAAGATCCCGATCACGAGATGAGAAGGGAGCGCTGTGACAGAGCAGCAGCTTCCAACCCGGCGCGCTGCTGTCCCCCTTCACGCTCCAGTCCCCTGGCCATGAAGACCCAGCAGGTGACAGCTCGGGGGGAACGAGCGGAAGGCTCCGTATGGGGCAAATTGAGGTGACGCAGAATAAAAAGGATAGCAGTCATCACCCTGCTAAATTCAAATGCAATTAGAAAGGAAATACAGTCGTGGCCGTTACGAGCCGCACACAGACAGAGCCTCGGGCAAATGCTGTCACCAGTGCCAAAAATACTTGCTTTGGCTAGCTCCCCATAGAGCTCAATAGGAAATCTTTCTCCATGGCCAACCTACAATGCTTTGGAGTAGGAGAAGGCACTGAGATGAGCGATCCTGAACCAAACCTCCATCCACAGACAGCAATCCCACCACCGTCATGTCCCTGGAGGGATGTGGAGCAGAGCCCTGGATGGTCCCCTCCTAGCAATCTGGGTCTCCTGGGGACACATCCCAGTGCAGTCCACCCCCAAGGAATGGTCTTCCCTGCTGTGAGGCCTCCAGCTTCTCTAGGGTTTGGTTTTCACTTCCTTAGCTGCAGAGGAGTGATACAAAACCCATATTTTTTAGGCCCAGAAAGCTGAATATCTTGTATAGCGCCCCAAGCACACCCATATTTCTACAAGTTTCTGTACGTGCCTGCTCAGCCCCAGGCACCCCACAAGAATTATTTTGTGGGAACCCCATCCTTCAGGACCAGCCCACCAAGCTGTGAGGCAAAGCAGCAGATACAGGTGTGAAAGGCACAAAGGCACAGCCGAATTCTGTGTTTCATGTAATTTTGAACCCAAACGAATCCTTCTCCAAGGAGCTCAAAGCAGCCCTAACTGCACCACTGCTGCACTCACAATTTGCAGGTTCAGCTCAGGTGTCTCCTGGGCAGAGCTCAACAATTCTGTGCAGATGCTGCTGTCCCTCAGAGACCCAAGCACGTGCCCCATGGATGAACACAACTGATAACTGGGCAGTTTTGTGAAGCCCCAGATGTTCCTCCCAGGATGGGCAGCCCCAGCAAGCAGGACACACGACAGTGTGTGCATCAAGGGGGTGGCAGCAGGGCAGGGGCATTGGAGCCAGGGTCATCCCTGAGGCTTGCAAGCAAGGAAGACCAGAATGCCCTGGACAAAGCCTAGAACTCAAATTGGCATGAGATCAGATATAATTGGGGAAAAAAATCAGGTGGATGTTAACTGTGAGGAAACAGTGGTTGCTTCTGGGGCAAAGGGGATGGCTCAGGGTCCAGGTGGGAAGAGATGGTGAAGGGAGGGTTCAGGGAAGCACCAAGAGAAGGTCATGAGGTTTTCTTTTAACACATTGAGCTTGCACTCAAGTCACACGCTTTGTAATTAAAAATAGAGAACAGTGGAAAACTAGCTTTAGCCTTCAAGGCATTTCTGACCTAATTATGTTGAACTTTATTTGCTCAGAAGACCTTAAAAAGTGCTCCAGTTTAAGGCAGCCTCCTGATCAGCAATGGGCTCAGAGTAACTCCGATATACCTACACCCATCCAAGCCTGAAAAGTTGCACAAGGATTCCCTAAGTCAGCCAAGCTTGGAAGTGTAATTTTCCCAGGCTGCACGTGTTCCTTTGCTGCCTGAGATGGAAATCCCCCAGCTCCACCAAAGGGACTCCCTGAAGGACCTGTCCCAGCCCTTGTCCCTTCAGCAATGTTGTCGCAGTCTGCCCCATCCCTCCACGCAGGGAGCTGGAGCCTCCAAGTCCTGCCTTTCCTGCAGACCCCTAAGGGATCTGGAGACACTCAGCCTCTAAGGCAGCGAGGTGCCTCATTGTGCTGGAAGCCTGGCAGCGCAGGGCAGCTCAGCATCCTGCAGCAGGAACCCCTCTGCCTGCTTGTTACTGGCTATGCAGTCCTCGTGGACCCCCATAGCCCTGGGATCCCCATATCTCAGGGATCTGTGCCCCCATAGAATGTCAGTTTGCAGTCTGAGGAAATCCAGTTGTTGTGATCAAATTTTTCTCCCCAAAATATTATCCCCAGCTGGAGTATGGGCAGAACTCCTGAAGTGCTGGGCTCCATCACCCCAAAGCCCAGCATCACACACCCCAACACCTCGGACGACTTACTCGTCCCAATCCGTTTGGGATCACCAACACCCCTTTGAAGCCACCGTGCTGAAACGAACCCTTCAAACCAACCTCATCTTGTGCTGATCCTCCTCTTCCTGAGTAACGAAAGCCTTCCACTGGAAGTGGGCTATGATTTCACTCCGATTGTGGATGACGACCGACCTGCGGTTTGCCAGCGTGAGGTAAGTCTTCTCCATTGTCAAGGAGTTCCTGTCCAGCCTGATGTTGACGTCTACAGCTGCTCCATAAAGGCTTGTGTGAACATCTTCACCTGCAACAAGGCAAAGCAGAGCCCTGGCTCAGCTCAGCTCGTTTGCTGGAAGAAGCACAAGGAACGGAGCAGAACCCAGCTAACAGAAATAAGCCAGCTACAGCTTTTAGCTGGATTATCGGTTCCAAGGAGCAGCACATTTACCACCTCCTGATAGCTGCCCTGAGCACAGCACGAGGATGTCTGGGGCACAACCTTAAGCACTCGGTTTTTGGCTGTCCTTGTAGAGGTTTACCCCTAAGCTGACAGCACTTACAGCATTCAGGGAACGAGGCAAGTGACAGCCGGTGGCAGGGCTAGGAAGAATTCAGCCATCCTGCCATCCAGCTTTGAAGGGAGCTGCAGTGGTGGTGGTTTCAGACCAGAGCTAAGTATGTTGTGAGAAAGACAGCAACTTTCCCAATAACTAGACAATCTATTTTCTATAGCGGGCAACTCAACATGTAAAAATGAAGTTCAGAAGAGTCAGACATGGGCATGCTTTATAAGCACTGCCCTTCTCCTCCTGTGAATACCTGGCATGCAGAGGAACCACGACCAAGAAGTGGGAGAAGCGCACGGTGCCTGGAGAACATCCAGCTCAGGGAAACACCAGCTGATGCTCTACAGCCACCAGTGGCAGGAACCATCACAGAATAAACATCACGAAAACTACAACTGTCCCACTGCCTAAAGCTGCGGCCACACACATCTTGAAGTACCAGGCAGAGTTTTGGTGCTGAAATACTGGGTGTAGTTGTGATCTCAAAAAAAAAAAAAAAAGAAAAAGAAAAAAAAAAGGCTGAAGCATTTCAAATGGAGAAGGGCAGAAAGAATGATTAAAAGCATGGAGCTGCTTCTGTATGAGGAGAGGCAGAATAGGATTCCTCGACCTAGAAAACATACACAGGGGAGACAGTTAAGAGGTTTGTAAAAGCATGAATGGCCTGGAGAATGTCAATAAGGAGAAAAATCTCACCATTAGTCATAAGACAGGAACCCAAGGACCCAAAATAATTTTCTCAGAAGTTACATAAAACAAGTAGTACTTTTTCAGAGAACATTCCTTCCGTTAGGACATGCTGCCGTAGGATGCTGTAGAGGCTAACAGCTATAAACCCAGAGAGCAACCGGACAAATTCTTAGAAGACCAAACCATCAACAGCTACTAAAGAGAGATGAGAATAAAGCCTCCAGCCTAGCAAACCGCCAGCTCCAAAGCCCAAGGGGGAATACAACAGTGTTCAATGTGTCCACGTGCACTAAGCACATGGATCAGGGCGTAAGAGGGGCCACTTGCCTCCCATCCCAGGTGCCAAAGTGGATGCAACATTTCACTGAAGAAAAGTTAGTTAAAGAAAAGTCCTGGCTCTGGCAGGGATGTAGCTCTGTGTATTTTTGTCTTGATGGGGTGATGTCCACAATGTGCACTTGAGGATGCTCTGCTGCCATGAAGGCACATTCACTGAACCTGGACTTCTCTGCCCTATCATTATGTACACAGCACCTTTATCACAGGCTCTCAGCTCTCTCCTCCTTGCACGTTTTTCATACATTTCCTACAGAGAGCAAGGCACAGCTCTCACTCTGCGACCTCAGCGAAGCAGTGCCTGACATGGAAACACAGCTGGACTTCTCAGAGAGCCTTGCAGCAGATGCTCTGGGCTGTGCACTCCTGAAATGCATGCCCAAACAGCAGAAACACCGCTGTTCTACTCCAGAAGCCATCTGCATGGCTGCAGACTGGCATTTTTGCACATCGTAACTTTTTATAATCTCAATAAGAAATCAAGTATTGGGTCATCCCTCCCAGGTCCTATTTGGCAGGGGAAAAAAAAAAAAAAAAGAGGAAACAAAAGCAGATCTTTTCACTCCAGAGGGTGGTGTAATACTTTCACATCGATCTGGGATAAATAATTCTTCTCTCCCTGCTGCTGTCACACCCAGTTGCCTCCCTGTGTGGCCCATCGGCACGGCTGTCACCACTTTGGCACAAAGTGGAAAAAGAGGCTTTCTGCCCCAAATGCAAGTAGCCGTGAGACAAAAATGGAGGGAAACAGATGGAAAACAATGACCAGCTGGCAGTGGTCTAAGCGACAGGCTGCAAGCTCCCGAGAAAGCAGAACGGGCTCCTTTTTCTGGGATGGAGCACCCAGAGCATTCCCCACCATGCTCCCTAGAACAACCTCTGTGCTCATCTTGTTGCTCATCCCCCTCACCTACCTCCCGTGTAAGACCATCCGTCCTGACTCACAAGGCCCTGGAGAGGTGCAAAAGTCCAGCTCTGTTTGCAAGAGGTAGGGCAAAGTTATCTAAATCAGTATAAAAAGGCATTATCGCAGGCGGTTCCAGAAAATGGGAATAAAGGCAGGAACCATTTGTTAGCTATTAGCTCTTTCAACGCAAATGAGTGCTTTGGAGCCCAATTAAACCCCCTCATCAGCCTCATTGATTCGGGCTATAAAAGCCTACAGACAACCATTTGTGTGAAGTGTTAGTTACAGCTCCTCGGTCCGCTGCAGAGCTGCCACTGTCCAGATGCAAAGTCAGGAATCCGAAGATGCCCCCGGCTCTCCCAAATCTAAGGAGCTGCTGTAAATATGCCTGGTGCGGGAGGTGAGGCCCCAGGGTGGGCAGATGGGGTCCCCACCAGTTTTCCACGCAGCAGGAACCAGCAGACCATGGTCCCCACGTGCTTCGGCACTGCGTTACCTTGGGCAGCACCTCCGAGTGCCTCGAGGGACTTCAGGAAGGTAAAACACAGCAAGGGCTCAACCTCAGCTAAACCCTATTGCTTATTCGTGTCCGTCACTGGATTCAGGAAAAAAAAAAAAAAAAAAAAAAAGTAAAATGCTTTCTCTAAAGAGAGAATCGATATGGTTCTCATTTCATTTTCAAACAAGTTCCTGGAAGCCATCGATTGCAATGCCAGCCTTACAAGACAGACGACGAGACCCTGGGAAGGAAGGAGGGCCTTAAAGGAAGGAGATCAGAGCTCTGTAGAGGAGGTTGCCTCCTCCTGAGCACAGATGGAGCTCACAGCAGGGAGTGCTGTTTGCAGATGCTGTATCGTTGCAGGTAGCTGTGATGTTCGGGGTGCCAGCAGACCCATCCTCTGTTCACTTGTTTAGCCTCAAAGAGCAGTAAAAAGAAACCAGGCTGGGATTTAATCAGTTTCCCTCGTGGGTACAGCAATCACAAGCACGTTGCCAAGCCCTTGCATGGGTGGCCTGGTTTACTACAGCAAACAGATCCAGCCAACGTGGGTAAAACTGACGCTGGAGACAGGGACTCAGCATCCCCAAAAGTTGGCATTCCTGGCTGGCAACCCCATGCCAACCCCACAGGGCTCCAACACATCACAGCCAACTTCCTACTGCTCCGTGGTGACCAGAGAGCTCCACAACAGCTCCCTAATCAGTCGTTATTAAATATGCTTTAATTTTTCCCTGTGATCTCATGCCTCGTTTTCCCCATTTAAACTAAATGCCCATGCTTTCTCCAGCTGGCAGTTACCTCTTGCTGCTCCGTGGCCTTCTGCAGCACAGAAAACCTCTCTGTGGTTACACCAAGGAGGGCTGTAGGGCATGGCATCCCACAAAGGGCATGGCATCCCAGGAAAACGTGTTATATATGTATTTCTTAACCAGGCTGCCCTTCCCTGACCCAGAGTGGGAGAAGCTCAGCTCCACATCGTGTCTCAGCACACGAGCTGAGATTTGCTCCAGGAGAGCTCCTGCTCAGGGACTGCCAGCCCAGAGCGTAGTGGTGTGCGGGAAGCCAGGGGAAATCAGGGCGTTCATCTGCCAGACGCCCAGGTGGCTCCTCGGTGGGCTTTTAGCACTAGGCTGGAGGCTTGCAGCAGGACCAACAGCACTGAGGTCTGTTCCTCAGTACATCTCGGCTGGGAGAGCTGCTTTCAGGAGCTCTGTGCCACGAGGAGACAGGACAGTAACAGAGCAGACACTCCTGCTTCAGGGCTGGCTCTGCCTGGATATGCAGTCTCCTAAAATTCACTGCCTCTGATCTCTCCCCCCAAAGCAGGCAAGATCCTGCCCCCAGGCTTTTGCTGCTGCATCACTCTCACAGAGCCACCGCCGGAAAACGATCTGCATAATTACTTTTATCACTGACAGCAATAAAAGCATCTCAGTGTATCGTGCCTGTCAGCCATGCACAAGCTCAGTGGGGCTTTGCTAATTACTGAGGCTTCCTGTGCTGACAAAAGGATCCCAAGGGATGCAGCAGCTGATGGGAGAAAAGGGTACGAGACATTTCAGAGCTGCACGAGTCTTCTCCTGGACTAGAAGCGTGTGGTAGCACCTTGCCACGAGGTCCCATGGGCACTGCAGACAGCCACGTGCAAGCCCAGGATCTGGCCCTACAGCTTGAAAATCCCCCCCCCCATCGTACTGCGATGCTTCTTGGGAGCAGTCACCTGGGAAGAGCCAAGCCACCAACCAGGCTTTTAGTGGCACCACGTGCAGGACCCTTTGGAGCCAGCAGGCTTTCAAAAACCCTGCCTGACACCACCTGATGTTAAGGTGATGAATATAGATGTTCTGCAGCCCGGAAAACCCCAAACCACCTTCATTTCAGTATTTTTCACATCCAGACACATACATGGGGGACATGGAGGAGTTTGGACACGTAGAGCACCGAAGGCCAGGTTTTCCCTGCAAATACATTTTCTTCACACATCTGTAAACTCTGTAACCTAACTTTGTAACCCCAGAAAAAGAAATAAAACCACACTGCGTGCACCCAGCCCCGTAAATCACAAGGACTCTATGACCCATGAAGAACCACTGCCACCTGCGAGCTAGCAGGTCAATACAGCCACAGCCATGCAAACAAAATGCCTCCCACTGTCCGAAAGTGCTACTTAGCTCTTAGCACTTTTGTTTCATAACAAACAGTCTGGCGGTGGCTCTGCAGCAGCAGCACAGCCGTTTTTTGTATGCGAGTCGTGGGGAGTCTGACTCGGTGCCGGACAAGGCTGGGGCACGTCGCCTGGGGCTCCGCACCGCACCTGCGATGAGCGGCTTTTAAGAATGATTGATTAAATGGTTGGGTTTCACTTCAGCAATTAAACTCCGCAGCCTTTTTACTTATTTGTATGCTGCCAAGCTCAAGAGATAATCCCTTAATTATTCCCTTGCTCTGCTCCTCAGTCAGTGGTTTGCTTAAAAGTAACCAGAGCGTTGTACTGAGAGTTAGGAGTGAAATCCTGGCTTCATCCCCCTGGAGGCTGCATGGGGCTCCAGGAGGCCACAACAAGGAGCCAGGTGGATGTCCACGTCCTGTCCACATGGGATCTTTTTGTGTTTCTTTGCCTGGGAGGGAAGGGAGCTGGCTGGGACAATGAGGAGCAACAGCCGGTGACTGGCACGGGAGGCAAACTTAACACCACTCGGTTTGGGGAGGGCTGTGTCCCGAAGGAACACGCACGGCCTCGCACTCACCTGTGTCGTAGTGAACCTGCAGGGAGCTGGAATGGTCCCCGGTCTTCAGCGGGTGGAATTCCACCGTGACTTGCATGGTGTCACCAATCCCAAGAGTCCCAACGGAGGGATCAACAGAGAAGGGGCTGCAATGCAAAGACGGACATCAGGGACATCACAGGGGATTTGGGGACCACAATCCCTTTGGGGCCTGGAACTATCTCACCTCCTTCCCTCTGCAAGCCAACACCAAGCGACACAGCAGCAGGGTGAGAACAGAACACACAGGATCAGAAATACAGCTACCACCACTTCTGAAGAGCTCCAGCCCTCAGAAGATCACACAGAGCAAAGCGACCTCTTCTCCCCATATTCTGCATCCCGCTTTGCCTCTCCGTAGCGAGTCCCAGGAGTCAGACTGCTAGCAAGGCAATCAGAGGATTGTTTTTGAACAGCAGAGACCAAAACTGCTATTTGCATGCCAAGCTGACCCCAATTTCCTCCAGTCTTTCTTACCCTTCCACCTATAAACCTCACCTCAAGAGATGCAAATGTCAAGGCTGTGTCTGTTCCAAAGAGATTACAGCCTTGAAATCAGATACAGAGAAAAGTCTTCCTAGAAGACCAGAGAATAATTATGATTTAATTTGCAGAATTCAGAATTCTTTCTTTGAAAATAACCTGTTTTAACCTAAGAAAGGGCATGTTATACCAGCATCTCAATGAAAGCTGCTGAAAGAAGAAGAAAAGGAACAATCAGAGAAACCCGAGTACAAATGCAGACTGGTGATACCACAGCAAAGAAAATAGAGAAAAAAAAAAGGAGCATCCCATTTCCATTTAGCTAGGATTCAGTCCCTAAATGAAGCACCCCAGTGTGGGGTCAACAGAAGGGGTTCAACGTATGCACAAGCCACACAGCCTGGGCTGTAATCCAAGTTTGGGAATTATGCTTGCTTGGCCCACCAGAAAATATTCTGTGCAAGGTGCTGGAAATACCTATTAAAAATGTGTCAGCGTACTTTGGTTTTACCGTGAACAATTCTGATTTGACACCAAGTAAACAGTTCTGAGCTGACAGACGTGAAAATCTGCCTTAATGCTCGGGGATAGCTCTCTGGAAAAGTCAGATGGAAGGTGGCAGCCTGCACAGCTCCATCTCAGAAGACCCAAGTTATCGTTCAGTACTGTGCTGGTGGACAAATTGCCACCTCCAAAACTTGTTCTGAAGAGATTTTTTTAACCGTGATTGGAGAATGCAATGCACCCCCAAAAATAACGAGAACAGCCGGACCTGTGCGCAAGCTGAACTTTGTTCAGATGAGTGGTGACAGCTGATAAAACTGCTGGCATTTCCGCTCAGTAATGAGAGCGAGCTGCAATTAGCAGACTGACCTGTGCTCATTACTCTTAGCGAGAGCACTGCTGCTGGTGCTTGGATGTGGGACGTGGCAGGAGCACAGGGATGCTGCATGGTCCCGCATTGTGGCTGGTGGTTGGGGACACCCACGTTGTCCCAGAGCCTCATGGCTTTGCTCGCCCTCTGTCCCCAGGGCAGAGAGGTCCCCAGACACACAGGGCATCGTCCTAGCTTCACATTGTCACAAGAGGAGGAGGATCCAGCCACGTTCAGGACCATGTTGGGCCCCACACAAGCACAACATGAGACAAATTGGCAAAAACAGCCCATCCTCGGGTGACTTCTCCGTGCTGCTTTGGAGGGAGCCTATACATCCCATTCCAGATGGCGGCCACCTGGCAAGATGAACGCCCCTTCCCTGTTATCTGTCAGGAGAAACAGAGAATAGCCAAGAGCCATAATTCAAATCACTGAAAAACTGAGCATGAATCAGACTCTGCACTTCCTACATCCCACCCCACACCATACCCACAGGACAACTGCTACTGCTGTAGCAGGAGCTCACCACCCCTCGCGTAGACCTGGTGCTCCAAGACCCCAAATGCAAGCCCCATGGTTGAACTCAACTCCTCCAAACTTCTGGCAACACAACTACGCTGTTCCCTGCAGCCTACAGATAAGGAAGGGTGAGGAGACATCGCTGATGTGTTGTAATAGCCAAGTGAAAACCACTGCCAAGAGATGGAGCTGGCAGGCTAAACCTTGGCCTTTTATCCATTAATTGCGATTTAATTGTAAGCTGCTCTTTAAGATAATTCTGGCCCTCTTAGATCTGCCCTTTTAATGAATCACTACGGCTCCCAAAGGACAGGAAATCTTTCAACAGATAAGCTTTGGGGTTTGTTTTTTAACAGCTTCTTTTCTTCTGACATACTTTTCAACTGTGTCTGTGTGGATGTTTGTTTTGGTGCACATCAAAGCTTCACGGGTCCAGATCTGTAACAAGCCCGTGGTGCCTTGCAGTGACAGGCAGATCCCCAGCCTGGATGCAGGTACTTGCCGTGCCAATCTGCAGGAGGCCTTTCCGCTGGTACCTGCTGAGATCTCATCTATTACTGCCCCTGGGAAAGGGGTCGACGCTAGACTTGAAACAATTTCATAATGAAACATTTTGGCACTTACAGCTTACCCTCACCAGGCATCAGCTCCCCTTCCTCACAGGGCTGACAAACGTCGTGTTCCATAAGGACACCAAAAACTCCTGACAACTTAGAAGCAAGTGGCAGAGCAAAGCCATGACTCAGGCTTTCAAACCTTTCTCCTACAACCATTTGATAAACGCGGTGTGCAAGGAGGCTCCTTCACCAGGTTCCATGGTACGTTCATCTCCATGGCCAAACAAACTTTCTCTTTGGTCTACTAGGGCCTTAATCTGCATTTTAAAATTGATTTGGGGGGAAAAAAATAATCAATCTTCAGCCTTCTGCCCGATTTCATTAGAAGCTGCCTCCTGCCCCAAAGACAACAACACAATCTACTGATGATTGAATTGCCTCATCTGTCATTAAATCTCAGCATATATTAATTTTAATAATGGTATAGCAGCCATGGTCAAGCTTGTAACTGTTCCAGGAAACTGAGCCTGTTGGACCATCCAAGCATCCAAAACTCCACACCTGTGCTGAAAAGCCCTGCCTGGAGTCAGCATCTCATCCTGCCAGCTTCCATCTCAGCTTCCAGGCATTGGTGAGGGCATTTCCAAATGGAGGTGCCTATCTCAGGCCAATCCTATCCAGCCCTGAAGCACGGCATAGCACGATGCTTGCCACTGTCAACGATGGGGTTAAAGAAAGAAGGCAGCGCTGCACTGAGATGTGCTTCCAGACACCATTTTCAACTCGAGCGTACTGGAATGACATTTATCTTCCTGAATATCAGAGAAGAAACTCATTATCCTGCCTTAACAATGAAAAGGAGAGGAAGAGGTTTTCTATATTTATGCTATTATTATTTTTTATTATCAAGTTTTGCAGAAAGAGTTGGGTATGGTCACGCAGAGGGAACACAGACAAGATAATGCCAGACTGCATAATGGGGAATGTTTTGTTCACCAGTGGTCAAAACATGGTTATATTTTCTGGTAGATGCCATGGCAAGGGAAAGCTCTGATAAGGGAACAGCTGAAGGATGCTGAGTGAGCTCCATGAATTCACTTAGGAGCTCTTCCCTGGAATGAAGTGTGCCACGGAAACTATAGGTGTCCTCAGACCCTATTCAGAGACCATAGGGGTGCTCAGACCCCTTTTCAAAGCAACAGGTAGGGAGCATCCCCACAAACTGACCACATGCAAGAGCTGAGCTCTGACTGAAAGGAGAGGCTGGCGTTTGCAATCACATGTGCAATTTTCCCAGGACTAAAAGATGCATTGAAGTGGAAAGCAGACAGCATATGTTTAGTGCTGCAGAGAAGGGAATGCAGAGGAAGGAGGCAAAGAAAGGTGATGAGCAATACAACAGCTACAAAATGGTGGCATCCGCAGCAGGCTCATGAACAGGTGAGAGCCTGAATTTCTTTAGATTAAAAAAAAAAAAAAAGTTCTCTTTTTGTTGCTCCAACTTTCATTTGTGTGAATGGAGAATAAGGACAGAAGAAGCAGAAGGAATCCATAAGACAGAGCTCAGATGATGGCTCGAAAAGCTTCAACAGGTCTCTAGTTCCCTTCTACTCCACCAGTTCCTCTCCCTGCCATATGCATGTGTCATATCAATACACAGATGCTGGATGACATTCAGATAGACTGCAACAACAGGGCATCTTTATTTCGGGAAAAAAAAAAAAAAACATTTAACTTAAACTGCTTAAATAATCTGCTAAATAAGAACAGAATAAAATTATCCAAATTTAAGCCCATAAAGCTGCCACTCCTTCCCCAAAGTACCTATGCCATAACTCTTGATTACCGCATCTCATATTTACACTAAGCTCTCTAGGACAGGGAACATAAGTCATTCATTTCCAAAGCTCCCGGCACAATTTAAAACGTACTGTGACCATAATTAATCATTGAGTCGTTATGGAAGTCATTCACGGGAGGTACTGACTTATTAAGCTAAATCTTCACTACCTCTGTTAATAATGATGCAAGCCTTTGTTCCACCCTCTCTAACAGGGAAATTAATCCCCTAACATTAGCAGGAAATCGGCCTCTTTTGTTAGAGCTGGTGTAAATATATTCGTTCAGAGACAATTGCGGGCTAATGATCTATTAGCCTGCAGAGCAGCACGTCGGCCTGGCTCAGATCCCCTCGTCACATCAGGGGGAGGCCAATTCTTTCCTGCTGGGGTTGCTGGAAGCAAGAGCCTCACCTCAGAGCTCGCCGTACGTCTGTGCCCTGGCATGGTCGAGGGCCCTGAAGGATATAAGACAGAACAACCCCAGGCAGCAGCACAGGCTGGGTGCTGATGGATAGAAAATGTTTCTACAGAAGAGGACCTCAGGGTGATGCTTAGTGACAAGAGGAGCACGGGCAGGTGGCCAAACACACGTAGGACATCGTGGACAAGAGGGCACCAGCAGCTCCAAGGAAGGGATCGCTGCCTCTGCTCAGCAGGTATTAGGGAAAAAAAGCCTCACCATGAAGGTGGTTGAACACTGGAAGCCAGCAAAGCAATGGGACCTCCAACGTTGAAGACATTGAAAACTCAACACAAAAATGGCCCGAGTAGGAAGCTGTGTCACTTGCAAACCTGATCAAACTCTGATGCTGGTCTGGTTCTGAGCAGGGCATTTGCTCCAGTGATCTCCAGAGGTCCCTTCCAGCCTAAGTTGTTCTATGATTCTACCTGACAATTCTAAATCATCCCATTTCCATCTCACATTTACCCAAAATTTCTCCCATTTCCCATACATCTGTGAACGCACATAGACAGATGGTAGACAGGCATTAGAGGAACTCAACCTTTCAAAAAGATCCCACTGAAGAATTCTTTATGACATTTCAGTGAACAAAAGCAAAAAGAGATAAAGCAGAAACACAGAAACTTCTGAGTAGCTCAGAAGAAATCTGAATGAAAGTGGGTGCCACTCTTAATTAGAATGAAATGGTGCTCATAGTCAAGGATTTAAATCATCTGTTTGAAATTTCAAACTGGTTTTCTGAAGTTGGTAATGAAACGGAGGAGATGACAGACGCCCTCAACAGACAAGGGAAATCATATCGGCTTTTGATCTTCATATGCACAGAATCCAGTTACCCAGAGCTCTGCTTTTTGTGTAGTTGGAGAAAACTTTTCTAATGCTTCCCATTTCCTTATTGCAAATCAGGACTGTGGTTATTTGATCACCGAACTTAAACTTTTAATATCCATAGCATTCAACATATGTTATATCACTTGCTAGAAGAGTTGGTAAGTGTATTGGAAAAGATGCTAAGCACCTTGTCAGATTTTCCCCTGCTACAAGGCTCCAGCAGAGGCAGCAGCATACATGTGGGATTTGTATAGGATATACCCCTTTCCCTTCAAAAGACACCATGCTCCTCCCTGCTCCACTTCGTGGCCCCACAGGCTGATTCCTAGGAAGGAACCTGGGAGGAGCGACATCCCAGCACCTTGCTTATGAAACCTCACCAGCCTTTGGTGGGCCCCCATCCCTGCACTAGCTACTTGCTGCATTTTTGCCCCCACTAGCGTTTGGGGCAGTTTGGAAGTCAGGGTCTGCTCATCTCCACTGAAGAGCTCATTCCACTTAGTATTTGGTCCCAGGGACCAGACCAAACCTACAGCAAGATAAAGGTCCTCAACCACAGCGTTATTTTCAGGGCTTTGCTACCAACTGCTTTGACCTCCTGAGCAATAAATTCTTTATGGGTTCTTTCATCTGCTCATATCTGACCATTTCCAAACCCTGATCTAGGTCTACCTGACCTGAGCTTCCATAGCTGTCTGCTGTGCAGGATCTGGCCCAGCCCAAGGGCATCAAGTTGCCTTCATTCACATGTCCCTTGCAGAACCTTGGCGAGATGCTGTGCTGGATACACACCACTGCATTATACAACCCTGCAGTTATCAAAGACTGCACCATTCCTAAAGCAGAAAGTGACTGCAAAACCCACATCCTGCCCATTTCCAGCTGCTACAACACAGCTGCACAGATGCTCTGGCTCTCGATGCCATCACACAGCAGCTCTGTGGACAATCAGGATGCCAACTCCTTTACCTCTGGGTGCTGATGTGGTAGCGGGCCTCCCGGTTCCCGATGTTGCGAACCAGCAGAGTTCTCTGGGTGCTGTGCTTGACCGGGCAGACCGAGAAGTTGAGCTGGTCGGGGAAGTCCAGGATAGCTCGGGCACCGATGGCTCGGATAGGCACAATGAACTTCTCCCTCTCCGTGATGCAGGTGAGCTCATGGAAGTAATCCTGCAGGGAAAGAAACAGGATCAGCAAAAGTGCGTTTATTACCACAGCAGAAGGAAAACAGCTGTTTTCTGTCACTTTGTTCAATAATGCAGTAGTAGTTTTTATTTAATGACCTTTCATTCCAGTGGGATGACCAGTAAAGTCTTGTTAACTTGCAAAGAGGAAGCAGTCCCCTTGCTTCACCTGCTCTCACAGCAAGCTGGCAGAGCCACCCCTATGCCATCAGAGGACAAAAATTACCTGATGCTTTGATTCTGAAGTGCCAACAAAGAAAGATTTCCCATAAGGGATTAGAGCGTGAAAAGAACCACACACACAACCCATACCCACTCCTGGATGAAGCACTAAGCTGGACACCACATCTGCTGTGATAGCTGTTTGGTGCATGGGGGTGTTTATTCTCCCCCCTCCCAAGTAGTGCCATGAATGACAAGGCTGGGGATACAGCCCCTTAAGGTCTGTCTGGTCCATCTTCCCACCCCAAAGCGGCTCAGCCCTATGCCCAAACTATTCCTGAGATCCCCAACAGGCTCTTTTAGCACTAACAATTCCCTCCCACCCCCAGCACCCGTTCCAGCTCTAATCCAGCTTTACAAAGTTCTCCTCATGTCTGATCTCCATTTCCCTCTACGTCTCATCCTAGCCTCAGGGGATGCAGAAGATAGCTTTGCTTCCTCTGTGCTGAATATTCTGGCATGGTTGATGCCTTAATCATGTCTCCCTTGTAAATTCTCTGTAATAAGTGACTGGTGCCTCGCTGGCATGCCTACCTGGGGCACTGAACTCATTTGAGATTGTCTCCTTACCGCTTCAAGTATGCGATGGTATAAAGTTTTAGCAGGAATTACACTTAGCATCGAGCTTCCTTAGCCAGAACCCATCCAGAGCCCTCTGTGCCTGGGCTTTCCCTGCCTCCTCCTCCCTGCCCTGGGCACCAGGACGCCACCAGGCTGCAGACCTTGCTCCAGCAGCAAGGCACAGCGTGCTCACCCCCTTCTCATCCGGGGTTGAGTTGCAGTAACAGATGCTGTCGCATCCAAGATATAAAAAAAGGAATAAAGAAAGGTCTTTTTTTTTCTAGACACATCTCAAATTTTCACTGGAAACTGTAGAAAGGCTCTGGCTTCTCATCTTTAGAGGGTAAAATGCCAGGAAGGGAACTGCAGAAGCCAATATCGTGTTTCAGGAGGGAGTTTCATCAGCAGCAAGCCTTTCTGAATTAGCAATTTCATACTCAGTCTTGAAGCCTAAGCCCTCTAAAATAAAGGAGAAGGGCAGCCCCTGCCAATTTGAAGCTCCTGTTATCTGCATACTTCTTGTTCTGGGCTGTTTGGATCCTCAGAAACCACACTAGTGAATAAAGCAAGCAATTTACTTTCTGTTGTTGTTATTTTGGCCACCCCGGTGTAACACAGGCATTGTAAATCCAATTGAAAGCTGCATGCCTTATTAAGCCTTGGCATGCCATATTTCCTTATCTCTCCCCTCCAGATGCCAGGTAGACAGAGGAGGACACAAGGAGCCCAGATCAGCAGTGGGATAACGAGGCAAGAAACTTCAGCAACCGGAGGTATTTGAGGGAAATAACGGGAACTCATTTTCAAGTCATTGTCACTGCTAAGGAGGGAGTGGATCAACAGGGATGTAAATAAAAGCCCAAGAACTGATACCTGTCCCAGCTCAAACCCCTGCATGGGGCACAAGCACCAGGGCCACCTGCATGGTGCTGCATGGGGTCTGCTGCAGAGAATGGGACAATGACAGCTGCAAACCCCTACTACAACACTTTCCTAAACAAACCTGTCTGGAAGAGAGAGGGGCTGCCTCACTTGCATGATTTAAAGGTTGTGCTGTGTTTACGCCCAGCTTTAGGCTATAGATTTCCATGAAAATATGACCTCATCCTTCACACGACGCCTCTCTGTTGCGAGGAAAGTAGAAATCATTGCACAATGCTGCCTTTTCCCTAATTCACCTTCGAAAGGTAATAAGTCGCAAGCTCCAGCCTTCAAAGTGTGACTGCTGGCATTTGTATGAGTGCCCACTGAAATGAACGCAGCTGCTGGCATCAGGGATGTCATCCCGGGCTCACGTTAAGGGTTGATAGCAGCGTGACAGTAATTAACTGCCCAAGAAGCCAGCAAACTCAGGTGTCAGCCACCTAACTTCAAAATCCTTCAGTGAATTCTTTGCAGCAGACAGCTGCAAAGCCAAAAAAAAAAAAAAAAAGTCCTGTAGGGTAAGGTAATGTAGGAAGTCTACCAGGGGAAGCTCCCTGCTGAAACCACGATACCATAAAGGCTGGAAAATAAGGGCCATTAAGCGAGGAGAGGCTGGAGTGTGATGATAGCATCGCACAGGAACGAGTACCCTTCTGCTGCCTTCCTCAGCTACCGGTTCACAGGGTGCTTTGAAACCAGCCCTTTTGCCCCAGCTTCATTTGCCTCAATCTTTCGTCCTCTCTCCTCCCCGCAGGACTCATCCCAAAAATACGCTTGCAATAGGTGCTGCAGGCTGCAACGCTTCTCTAGCGGGGCTGGCCTGAATTTTAAAGGAGTTAATTTCAGTAACATAATAACTCATCGTCCTGTCATATTTCATATTAATCAATGAGCATTACATTCAGTCTCTGCTGAGCATCAGCGACGAATTTTGCAAACCTTACAGACTGAGCTGGTATTGCCTGAAAACATTGCATTGCTAACGTATAAAGAGCGAGGGGAAAAAAAAAAGTAGGCTGTGCTGTTTTTATATGCTTCTTGCCTCCTTCCTTCAAGATAATCTATGAACAAAACCAAAGGACAAGACAAGCATCCCTGCCTGCAGATGGTTTGCTCCACGAGGGTTTCCAGCCAGACAGGGGCTGCCAGGGCACCCCCACGGCACAACCAGAGCCATAACACGGAGCACGACAGGGTAAATCATTGGAAACGATGCCCGGCAGAAAAACGAGCATTTTGTCTGCAACACGGGTGCCAACGAAAACTGTGACATGCCAGCTGCATGTTGATTTTGACAACTCAACCATGCAGCGTGCTCCCAACAAGCAAGAAACCGCTCGTTTTTTCCAAGCGGGGGCTACATGGCACGTGGCATTCAGCCCCTCACCACTTGCATGCTGCTCTTCTTGAGGGCTCAGCTGCAGCCCAGCTCTGTGAATCAGAAACGAGAGCGAGAAAATCCCATAAAGCAGCCCCGCATCGGGATGACTTCCCCAGCCATGACAGAGGGGTTGGTGCCTACATCCCAGTTCCCTGGCTCACCCAGAACTCGTTTTTAGGGGGGTTTCAAGGCGCTGTGCACCTCCTGACCATGTTAGTGCTGCATTTCCCAAGTGCTCTCTGGGTCATCCCACCCGACTTCTGCTTCTGGTGATATCCCTACATAGTTCTGCTGCCCCTCTGAGCTAGAAGAGCAGCATTCTGCCCTTTGTGGGCACCCATTTTCCTCTTCCACCCCCAAAGTGAACATTCAGTAATTAATACTGATAAATCACATTTTAAAGGCACTTCGCAAAGCCTACATCATGAGACTAAACTCTTGTGTCACTTGGGTAGTTTGTAGAACTGCCCTAGGCAAACCCAATTTTTACCCTAAATATTAATGATGTTAAATAATTTCTCAGTCCCTCTGAAGGAACAGATTATTCCACAAGCACAGCGAGCTGGGGACCACAGGGCATTTCCTTTGTAGTTGCCTATATCTACTCTTCTAGGAAGGGACAAATTGTGAAATTAAAGCATAACTAAGCAGCAAATAAGAGATGAGCGAGCAGCCCATGCCCCGAGAGACCTCACACATTTGTCCTGGTGCAGAAACAAGCACGGTGGCATGGAATGGGTGCCCATCAGCAGAGCCCTCACCACGATAACATGCACAAGGACAGCCACACCAACTAAACATGAAATGCTGAAGCACAAAAGCAGATTGAAACAAGAACCTACAGCTTGAGTAGGACCTCCACCATGGTGAAGGACTCTCTCAGTTCTGAATCCAGCACAACCCCACTGAAACCAGGAAAAATCCCTAAACACACACCTTCCTCATTCGTTCCGAATCCAGCCCCATGGGTTCATGCTCCACCAAAAGGCACCAGCCTCCTGGGACCTCTGGTCTCACCTTGTTCTCCTCAGGGGTGAACAGGATGTGGAAGGTGGAAGGCATGCCAGGTGCCACCTTACGGCACACGTCAGTGGGGCTGATCAGCTTGAAATAAGGTGAGCTCTCCAGGACGACCTTCACCAGCCGAGGTACCTGCAAGGGACAACGTGAAGCTATCAGATTTTGCAGCCCGGGTGGAAACAGAGAAAAGACACGACCCTGTTCAGGTGATGTCCTTCCTCAACCACCTTCCCACAGCACTTTTAGCCCTGGAGGTATATTTGTGCAATACACCGGGGATAAAAAGGAGGACATAAGAAGGCAAAGATGACCCTAGAAGAAAAGGGGGGTGACAAAGAGCTGCTAAAGGGGGCTGTGAAGACGCAAGGGAGCGCCACGCTCCATTGGGAAGGCTGATCCAGGAGATTGGAGCAGTCAGCTTGCCAGAGTGATGGACAGCTGGACTACCATTACCTCCTCCCCCCAGGCTGTGCCTATCAATTATGGGCTTCGGAGGCATTTTCTGCCCTGAAATACACAGCCAGCACCAACTCACAGTGTGGTTTTGTCATTAAGACCCTATCCCAGCTCCCCAGAGGTCATTGCAGAGCCTCTCTAAGATACTGGATTTTATGGAGCAGTCTCAGGTTACTGCATGGTACAAGGCAGTATCATTCAGAGAACCCGGTGAGAAAGTTACAGGAGCACACAGCGCTGTTCTCTCCAGGACACTACCAAGAGCCAACACAATTAGAAAACAACAGCCCCTCTTGGGATTGGCATCTCCATGTGACAAAATACTCCAAAGATCTTCCTTAGAGCTCATCCTGCTTTTACAGCAGTGCTGTCCACTGGATGAGGTCTTAATAACTTCAAGAACTAACTCATTTCAGGTTAAAAAAATCAACAATTCACACGTTCTCTCCCCCGGTAGGGCATACAAATCCCAAGGTGCCACTGTACAAGTTTATTATTTTTTACTGGGAATGGCAGAAATGTTGATGCAGATGTTCTTTTCCACTTGAGGAAGCATGAATAGAGCAAATGAGCTGTTTGCCTGTTGACCGACACTTGGCAGAGACAAACGTTTTGAAGTGCCACACAGATAATGGGGCAGCCAGAGCCAAGACTTTCAAGGGGAAGCACGATGAAAGAAGGAAACTACGCAGCCCTCAATATGCCACCAATGCAGAGCTTTCCAGAGGAAAAGCACCGACTGGAAGAGCTCCTTTGGGTTAGAACCCACCAATGCACGGCCAACACCATGGGGAGAATCCCCACAACACGGGAAGATTTCCACACCCTCACAAAATGAAGATGAGATGTGTTATTCTGAGCGTGCTTCACCGCAGCAGGGAACTTGCTATGCTGTGTCCCACTGGAGTACTTTGCTCTTCCCCCATTAAACCTCCACAGTCCCACACTTACCATGTCGTTGTTCCTCAGAACCAGCGGCACCTCGTAGACCTCGCAGGGGACGTAGCTCTGAAACACCACCTCCGAGGGGAAAGGCTGGAACAAGCTCTGATCCAGGTCAACTGCTGAGAACTGGAGGTGCAAGGCATCCGTGAGAGGAGGGATGCACGAAGGGGCATCCTGCACCGCACACACTCAGGGGGACACCTGCCCAGCTCCTCTAGGGAAACAGCAGCTCACCCACCTACCTCCTGAAGCAAACACAAGTTACTGGAGCACGTCAGCAGGCATCCCTGGAGGTGTTTCTCCAGGAGGCCTTCGCCAAAAGCAAGGCTGCGCTCACCTCCAGCTTAGCCCTCTGCTAGCATGGCCACACGGTTCCCAAGTGCTCACCAAGGTGAGCTGTGAGTGTTCAGGGAGGAACCCAAGCCCAAGAGCTTGTGTGGGGCTCTAAGACAGGGTAAAACTCATCCCAGTACTAAGACAGATCTAGTCCCGTGGGTCCCCAGGTAGCCTATGGGGATATGGAGCCTAGAAACCAGCAAGCACAGAAAGGTACCATAGGAGGGGAGGCCAAAAAAGCAACAGAGGAGGCAGGAAAAAGGCAAGTGAGGTGAATGCTGGATGGTTGTAAGGTTCACCCCTTGACAGCATTACTGGACACTTGAGCAAGCCTGAATCCGGCATCCCCTTCTCCTATGAGCTTTACTGGGAGGGATGATTTATTGTATTCTATTATTGTTTTATTTAATACTGCTGCTCTCTGCCTCCTGCACTGTCTAGGGCAATCCTGGAGCAACCCGTTACAGGTCTCTGGCTGCCCATTCTCTGCTCAGGAGCTCTCAAAAGCACACTGCACACTGAGCAGCCCCTTCGGAAGCAGCTTCGAGCAGGCAGGAGCCTTGCTCTGGATGCAGCACATCCCCTCACCCCACCAGCTGTAGGCACCCAACAGCAGCACGCAGCCTGAAGCCAGGCACCTTCAGGTGTCCCCGCTGCTGTTCCAGCCCAAAATATCGATGCAGTCATTTTTGTTGATGAGCTTGAGTAATTAGCGTAGGGCCTACAGGCTCCAAGGGTCAATGCTGCCACCAGCAAGGGGAGCCACGACCCCAAGCACGACAGCGACTGCTCCAAAGTGAGAGGGGAGGTGGCCATTTCATACAGAGGATGGAAAAAGGCAGCTCGTGTCCTGCTCCATCCTTCCCCCAGTGGAAGCGAGGAAACATCAAACAGCGAGGAAAAGGGCAGGAAAAGGCTACCTTTTGATGGGAGGTTTCGCTCATGTCCAGAAGCTGGACAATGTGTGGCCGGCGCGTGTCCCGAGCGGTGGCAGCCAGCCTCTGCTGGGTGCTGAGGGACATCTCCTTCAGGAAGGCAGAGGGAGTCAGCTGCAAGGCAAGACACCAGCCAGGGCTGCAGAGATGCCTTTCTCCAGAAAGGCTTTTCTTGTTCAGGCACCACCAATGAATAATTTGTGCTCGCTAGGACAGTCCTGGAAGCCCCGTAAGTTACCTGCTGAAATATTCATCACCAGTAAATTAATGATATAGAGCGGAACACGCTCACTCTAACGGAGCAGCTCTGTCCCTCAGCCTCTCTGTTGTGATTCGATGTGACATGTTTGGGGATTTCTGCTCTTTGGGTATTTGTTTCCTCTTTAGCGTCACTGGATTGAGCCGTGGTCTTTGAGGAGGGTGGGGGGAGCTGTCAGAGCCCCCCGCTCAGTGCTCACAACCCCTCCACATGCATCCCTGGTGGGTGAGCCAAGGGAAGCAGCACTATGCCAATGCCAAAGGGGAGAGGAACAGGTTCAAGTCCTCGTTCATCTCGTTTTAACCCATGCTTGTTCGCTCCCTGGACTGGCCTCACGGACCCCCCTACAGAAGCCTGCAGGGGCATCTCCTTGACAGAGCCCTCAGCATGCAGAGGAGGCATCTGGGGGTGATGAGGGATCATCCTCGTCCCATTGCAGTTTGCAGAGCTGAATCTGTGCTCAAAAAATTCGACTTCAACTGCTCCTGCCTGGCCCCAGCAGGTACTTACTGTCACAGGCTCCTCTGCCTCGGCCACCAGCTGATGACGAGGTGACACCGCTTTGCCCTGGAACCCATCAGGGCTTCTGGAGGACTCCACGGAGCGATGGAGCTTGCTGGCAGCCATGGCTTGGGTTACCTGCAAGAAGCAGCAAGGGGACTTAAAAGAGGATGATATGGAGGATGATATGGAGATATGGCCTCTCCTACCCAGAAAAGAGCACAAGGATCCCCAGCAGCACCCACTCTCCTCTTATCCGTGCTCATGCCTGGAGAAAAGAGCCTCCCACCACCTCCCAATAGGTTCCTACTGGCTAAAAGCCACCTCCTTCCTGGCACGGGTGACCAAGAAGCATTCGCCCCCAAGCCACGCAGGGGGCTTCTTGAGCAAAAACCTAATGCCCCTGCCTGCTTGGTGAAGCACAGTGAAGAGGAAAACACTTTTGAGTCCTCAGCAGCTCCCCTCAGCCTCCCCCAAGCAGCCAAAACCTCACCACTAATCCCCCTCAAGTCAGGCAGTGGGGCTGCCCCACACGTTAACCAAGTCAGCCCTGTCCTGCTTTACCAACCAAGTTTTCCCTTCGTGCAAGGAGCCTTGCCACGTTTCTAACCACTGGAGCACGGAGTTCCATACTCTGATGGGAAATTATCCTTTTTCAAGGCTAATTTGGTTGTTTTAAGTTACAAAAGTTATCCGGCAAATCGGATTTCTTCCAGGCATGAAATTACCCCAGTGCCCAGGAGCATTTCTCCGTGGAGAATGAGGGCCCTAATTTTCACTTAACACCCAACCCGAAGCTCCCTACAGGCTGTAACGGTAGAAATAAGAGCATAAAACCATTAAAAGAACATGAGCAATTAGCTCAAACGTAAACACAACATGTGTGAAAGCAGGGCCACTTAAGACTCCTTCATAATTGCGGTTTTCCAGACCTTAGTTCCACAAGGGGCAGGGGCTGGCAGGGCCGTGGGCTGTTCTCCAGCCACAAAAAGGGGGTGTGCAGGAAAGGGGTGAAGACAAAGCAGCCCCGGGAAGATCCTAAATTCACCCCCCAAAGAGTATTGTACATATTCATGGTACCAGGCCCTTTATCCCACGCTTGGGAAAGACAAACATGGGACTAAAAGGCAGCTCCGGACCCCAAAAGCACAACCAGATACCTAAGGGGCTGCACCCCTCTGTCCTTGCGAGGAACAAGAGCACAGCCCTGTCCTGCAGGCACGGGGACACGCTCCAGCAAGGAGCTAGGATTTTCAGCTGGAAATAACTATTTTTCAAGGGAAATTTAAACGGGGACGATACAACATTAATCTGGATTTCCGTGCTTTATTGCTGGGTCTTGAGAATAACTGGATTATTCGTTACAATTTCCCAGCTGTAATTTCACTCCACTCGAAATTAATCCTGTCCATCATGCCCACGGCGCCCATTTCCCCCCCCACCTCTCCCCAGCCTCCAGCACAGAGCTGCCGCAGCCCCAGGGCTCTGCTCCCCGTGCTTTAGGGGCAAGGGGTGACCTGGGCTCCTCGGGGAGGATTCACCTCGTGCAGTGTCCAGCCTTGCTTCCCAAAAAAACGGGGGCTGTTGGTGGCTCTGCTCAGCCTGGGGGGAGCCGTTGGCACAACGGTGCTGCCCAGGAGCAGTAACCGACGGGGCTGGTGGCTTCCAAGGGAACCTGGAGGGCAAATGATGGCACCTGGAAAGGGGGCTGCCCACGTCCCCCTCTCCTAAACCCTCCGGCACGTCTGAGGGCACAGAAACATGTTTGAGCATTTGGGGCTTTGATTTTGTCAGCTCTAGGCTGGAGCCGAGGCTGCTTTCTGCCTTGCACATCTCAGAATCGCAGTGGGTTGATGTGGTCCCTTACTCCGGTGGTTTCTGATGCCACTGAAATGCCTTCAGAAGAGTTACAGCCTTGCAAACCACTGCAGCCCATCTATTTCTTAAACATCTCACTCCGCAGTGACCGATTGCGGCAGTGTCGGAAAGCACGCCTTCGAGTAGCATTTGTTAACATCACAGAACATCAGGCAAATTAATTTGGACACCGCAGACAAGCTAATCATTTCTTTAAGAGCAAATAAAACGTTTCTGTGCAGTCTTACAAAGCAAGGATTTAATTTCTGCTCTCCTCACCCCGGGAGGACCCTGACCTGGGGCAGAGCACCTCGTCACCGCAGCACTGGATGTGCCTTTGGGGGTGTCCTCTGCTGCTGCCACACCTGGTGAACACCCCCCTGATGAGCTTGTTCCAATTAGCACACGTACACACACCAATTTCCTGCTTCCAGCCCAAAATTTCTTGCCTTGCCGGGCAGATGGAGGAAGCCAAATCCCTCAGCCCTCCTGGGCAGCAGCATCCCATCAGCATGAGCTGGCACCGAGCATCCTCACAGCTCCTGCAGGGCACTGCCTCACACAGATGCTTCGCTCCCAGCTTTAGGGCCATGGTAAAGGGGCAAATGAGTCACTGAAGCAGCCAGCCTGTGATCAGGAGAGAACTGCCCTCATTAAACAAAGGTGCAGAGCCCCAGATGGGCTGCTCCACCAGCTTGGGTGCTAGCTATCGACTCAAGAGACCCACAAAGCTTTGGTCTTGGATGCAGGTTTTCTGACTGCAAGAAGAATTTAGGACAAGATCTCATCTGAAGCAAGGTTTTAATGCTTTGCTCTGTCCCCAGACCCACCCAAGCTTGAGCCAGGCCAAGATCCAGCTACAAGTCGGGCAGTGCTGGAGCACCGAGGTGGGCACCAAGGTCAGCATCTGCTCTGGCCATTCCCCTTCCAGGCAGGCTTCCTCCTCCCCATATTAAAGTAAGACCCCAGGGAACGGGTGGTCTCGGCTCAAGACTCTCCTCAGCTTTGGAAATTCAAGCCCACACATCCCAGCAGAGCACCTTGGACATCCAGCTGCCAGCCCAGGCGAGGTCACTGCCTCCCCTCCCAGCAACGCCACACGAAGGACGCAAGGAGGAAGGGGCAGAGCTGGTGGGCTCTGCTCCCTTGGATCACAAAGCCTTTTAGCTAATAGCTATTTAAAATGCAATGCTAAGCAGTCTCTGGAAGGAGAAAAAAATAAAAATAAGAGAGACCAGGAACATCTTCAGAGAGCAGGAAAAAGAGATTTGTCTCATGATGTGGGCTCACAGCTGCTGCAGTGACTCCTTGCAACAAGAGGACTGCACAGCATCCCCTGCTCCCAGGCATTTATGGGCATGAGCTACCCTGGGGGTTGATAAAAGCACCTTCACCTCTTTAGGGCAGCAGCATTAACTTCTGAACACTACCTGGCTCATGAGATAGCGTGGGATCACACAGCCAACATGGACCTGTAGGCACAAGGCAGGGCTTCAGGCCAGCTCCGTCCTGCCAGGACTGGGAAATTCAGAAGGAAATAGAAGCACAGAGGGGTCCCTTGGTGCCTGTGAGCTTGGCAAAAGCTCTTCTGAAGAAGCTGCTGGAAGCACTTAGATATGGCCCTAAAGCATCCAAATCCCTTTGTGCATCTGTCGAGCAGTTTCCCTCTAAAGTAAAACCGAACAGCTCTCTGAGGATGCTGCACAGAAGAGATGTGAAATGACGAATAAGTAGCCAATTTCTTAGACATTAAGAAAAAAGAGGGGTTCATATAAAGGCAGTTTCTTGCCTATCACAATGCCATGTGCTAACACTCTTATGTCAAGGGACCCCACACCAGTTGTGCTGCAGCAGCAGCCTCTGAGCTGGTCCAGCACTAACTGCTGGCCCTCCCTGCCCCGAGCCCACCAGCACGCTGTGCACTGCAGCACCTGGCTTCACTTGTAGGGGCACAGAGCTGGGGCTGACCCCTCCTTCAGCACACCCAATAAATCCTTCCTCCTTCCTCCCACAGAGATAAAGCATCTCACCAGAGTAACCGGATAATTGGCCTTTCTATTACACTTTGCTGGAAGAGGGAGACAGGAGATCTGCTAAAACTGAGCATCAGGATGCTATTGAACAATTTTGTTCAGCTAAATCATCTTGCCCCTCTCAGGCTTAAGTAGTGAGATCACATTTCTTGCCTAGATATCACCTGCTTAGCCATAATTACCATATAAACAGCATCTCAAGGAAGCCAGGAAAGGAAAAGAGGAGTTTCCAGGACTAATCTCTTGCCCGTCCAGCTCACCGCTAAGTAGTTCAGTGATTTCTAAATCAAGTCTCACTACTCAGAAAGCCTTACCTGCCACCTTTATATTCCACTCCCTCCATATTTTATCACTTAAGTGCTGTCATCCTGCAATTTATTACAAAAGCTCTACCACAGCCGAGATAATTAATAGGAGTCTAGCATACACCTTCCTGGTACTTTGCTAAGCCAGCTCTCAGCTGGCACTGAGGTGGCCCAAATTCTCCTCAAAGGGTCTGCTGGAGGCTCCCCAGCCCCTCATGCTGTAATTTGCAACTGTGGCTCCTGCATCAAGTCTTTCTAGTGTTATTTGCCCTCTCTGGCTGCCTCTCCCAGCATTTGAGCCCTGCTACTCTGACTTTGCAACTGGCATCAACTCCTCCTCTCTGTTTGCTTATTTCCTGGCAGCTGGAACATTGTTTTGGTTTGTAACTCAGAGCTTCCAAGCAGCTGACAATCTGGGGGTGGAAAAACAAACCAAAGGGCTGGAAATGGATGCCCAGGTCAGGAACAAGCAGCCACGCATGGGGTCAGAGCTTTCTCTGCAACACTGAATCCAGTCAGCCAAGCAGTATCACTGTTTAGCTACTGTCAAGACCTGATCCGAAATTCATGGAAATCACAGAAAGACTCCTATGAATATCAGGCTGTATCCACATGTGATTTCTTACCCTAGAAGTGCTAGGACACGCGACTCACGCTAGCTTACAACAGCTCCGGTGAAAGGAAACAATTCTGCATTCCCCGAGGGCTTCCAGCATGTGAACAGTAGCTACAGTTCTGCCGATATGCATTAATTAATTAATCCACCACCTACCTGCACAGCCCAAGCTGGAACAAGGGAGGCTGCCAGCATCCCTGAAAGACCCAGTGTCCCTCTCTGAACCAGCTCTCAGCTGCTGCAGCACCAGCCCGCAGCCCTGCAGCGCATAGCACAGCCTGCATGCTGCTGGCATCCCGACCAGCTGCCCTCGCCGGCAGCGACCCTGAGGGACCCGGCTTCGGCTGAATCACCCAAAGTGCTCGAATCCTACCAACCTCCACCCAAATCAAGCTGTTTTAATCTCCGTCTTCAGAAACTTCTGTGAAATAGAGCTGTATATATTCATATACCCAGTTCTCGCAGTGCAGTTTTGATCTCTGGAAGAACATAAACATGAATTCAAGCACAAATTCACCTCAAAGACACCAAACTGGAGACAAGCAACCAACTAAAAGCAGAGGCAGGAGCAATCTCCCCAGTCCCCAAACCCCACCTTGGCTGGCTCAAGCCTCATACCAAATTCTGAGGCTTCACGGAGCGATCATTGTCCTCGGACAGGGGACACAATGCTCCTGAACCCACTCAGAGCAATCCGCACCCTGCTGGGATCACGGTGACACCAAGCCTTTGTATTTTCCCCTAGATGTACCCAGGAATTTCCTCTTAGAAAATCACCGATGGATTTAAAATGCAAGGAAAGGGGTGACCACAAAACCCTCCGGTCTATGCCACCTGTTGCATTTTTCATCAAAAACCTTCAGAGCATTTTACAGGTTGTGCTTGCTCTCTCATGCCCCATTTACAAAGAATTAAGGCCAGGACATCCCCCACAAGAACCAGGGATCCGGAGGCCCACAGGACTCACCTCAGGCTCATGGGGACCTCTGGGATCCAGGCTGGGCACCCCACTGCCCTCCACAGCTCATCCCCAGCCTGGCTGCACGCTCAGAGAGGGGCAGAAAGGGAAAAGTTTAGGATCCTTCACTTTTGGGGAGCAAAAAATCCCCAAATCCTGCTCTTCATCTGACTCCGTGGGGGCAATCTCACCCCCAAAGTCAGCTTCCTGGCAGGGGAACAGATCCCACAGGAGGCAAGCACAGCTGACAGCCCCACAGTCACCCACGTCCCCTCCTGATCCATGGGACTGCACAGGGTTGTGTTCCCCCCCCCCCAGCCCACCAGTCCCCAGATCCCTGCACCAAAAGCCCCCCAGTTTCATCTAGGACAGGGGACGGGGACATGCAGCCATCATCACCCCGCTGTGGGGCCGCTCACAGCCCCCACAACCGCCCTCCTCTCTCCATGGACGCACTCACACACCAGTCCCCGCCACACAGCACTGTGGCTGCCGGGCTGTTGTTGCCCTCCTCGTTCCCAAAGCAACAGGGCCGCCCCGCAGGCCTCACGTCACCACAGCGGCGGGGACATGGCAGCGAGGCCGCGGCTGCGGGACACGGTGGCGGGTGGGATGCAGAAGGGCCACAGCTGGGTGTGGGGACGCTCGGCACCCACCCCGTGCACAGGCCCGATGCTCCTTCTCCTCCTGCTGTAACCCTGCCATGCTTCCCTGCTCTTATCCCCCTGGTATTTGTAAGGAAACAGACACAAGGGACTGGTGGTGAGCAGCACCTTGTCTCAAATAACAAAGGCTCAGGGAACGCAGATAATAACCACAAAAAGCTCACAGTGAAGGTTCCCCCGGCACAGCCAGGTCCCTGTGTTTATCCTAAAACTGAGCGGTGATCGGGGAACTCACAGCAGACCCCAGGGCTTCTCCCAGGTCTGTCACCAGCCACCACACAGGGCTGATGAGGAAAGAGCCACGCACCAGATGGAAGTGCAGATAACAGAGAATGTTAAAATAACCTTAAAAAAAAAAAAATCAAACAGCTGCCAGCATTGCCCCCCAAAAGGCACTGTCTGTTCACAGAGGTGCCCCCTCCTGCGCCTTGTCACAGCCTGGTCCCCAGCTCACCTGCTCTGCCGGGCTCCTGCAGCACCCAGCCTGGCACAGCACAGCCTCGTCACCCCTGGGGAAGCAGCCCCACCTCTGGGAAGCTCTGTAATAAACCCTCTCCTCCCTTAAGGGCAGCCTCAGACAGCTGTAGACTCGTCACTGAGCACAGCTTGTCCCACACTCAGTCACTGAGGAGCTCCAGGTGGCTCTGAGCTCCATCCCTGTGGTCCACTCAAACACGTTTCACCTGAGCGCCTCTGCTCAGAGCACTTGTGCAGGGTCAGATGCAGGGCTAAAGGGAGTTCACTGCTCCCCAAGTTTTCCTTCAACCCCTCATGTCCTTTTCAAGCCACAGATGCTCCTGCAGCTAAGGAAAGGACTGATTCAGTGGCTGACAGGACCACAGTGGAAAACTGAATTCATAAAACGGGAAGCGAGAGCATTCCCGGATTAGGTAACTAGAAATTAATTCCTCATTTGTAGTGAACATCACCAGTATTTTGCCAGGAATCAGTCCCAGCCGCCTCAAACTAAGCCTTGGGCAAATGCCACAGGACTGCAAAGTGCGAAATAATTATCTAAAAGAACATATCAGCTATTCATCTTCCCTAAACACTCAGGCAAAAAGGCTTCTGCCTAAGTAACTGGAACAGAGCAGGCCCACAGCCATTAATGCACTGCAGCTGGCAGCCTGTGCCTCATGTCCCCATGTCACAGCCCCCAGGTGGGGATTTCCCAGCCCACAGGTGTGCAGGGATCACAGCAGGGAGCTCGCAGGATTCCTTAACACAAAGGCACAGAGGCTTTATTTCTGAAGGCTGGTTTTTATTACAGATCACAAATCACCATTAGCAAGTATACTATGATTATAAGGCAAATATATGCGGTAGCTATTAAGAGAATACCACTAATTAATAGTAGCAGCAGTTAGAAATAAAGGCAATTAGAGGTAGGAAAAAATCAGTAATATAGCAGCAAACATAGGTTTGAACTTACAATACCAGTTTATCAATAATACTATGGGAATGAAAAATACTTATGAATTAGTAAGTAAATCAGTAATACTTATAAATTAAAATACTTATGAATTAATACTTATGGATTACTCGATTAATACCATAAAAGCAAATATATTTACAGCAGCCTATACTTAACAGGACTATGCTTATAACAGGTTATACTTACCAATACTATGCTTATGACAGATCATGTACGTACACAATCATAAAACTACCAGCACTAGATGCTTCAAAGCAATGCCATAAGGGGGCTCTAGGTCATATCAACCTAAAAGGGGTCTAAAACTGATCCCCAAGAGAACCACCACCCCAGGAAGAGGACCAAAGCAGCCTCGCTTCAAAGCTGATCCACATCATGGTGTGTGGAGCATCAGAGTTAACCCAATGTTCCAGCAAAGCTGCAGCCTGATTGAGGAGGGAAACAAAAACAAGAGGAGCACAAACACCATGGGAAGTTTCTCTGAGAATCTCCACTTGGGGTAAAAATCGGACAATTTTATATCACTTAAGTGGGCATAGGACACCAACATCTATAGGTAACCAATAGGTGCTATTAACTTCAGCCAGCCTCCTGAGACAGCCAATAGGTGATGGTTGTTTTAGTTTTCATTGCTTTTCTTTGAACAAAAATGTTTGTTTTGTTCTTTAACATTGGTATCTTCAGGACATCTTTGGTTCTCAGGTGCCCAACTACAACTTGAAGGATGCCACCTGCACCCCTCAAGGATGCTCCTCTGGTCCCCAAGACAAGTTCCCAGGCTAGCAGATATTTTCTCCTATCAGTCTTCAGCAGTCATCTTATATCAGGACTTTCTCATCACAGTCAGGAGCAGTTGCAGAGGTAACCTGTCATTCTGGAAAACAAAGCTACTGTCACAGGAAGAGGTACATAATTATGGAACATATATATGCACATTGAGAATCAGACATTCCTTAAAGTCTCTTCAAAGTATCAAGCAAAAGAGATTCAAATCCTTGCAATAAGTCACCCCAGGTACACAGGGCATCAAATCACCCTCTGGCCAGGCAGGCACCCTGTCCCAGTACTGCCTTCAGCAGGGGAACAACCTGAGCTCATCCTCCCACTGTGCTTTGACCCGAGAGTTGCATTACCTATGTGCTGACTTCTCTTTCCTTTATGTTCCCTGCGCTGCTACGGAGATGAGCAAGTCATTAACAGGCAGAGGGAACGGCAGGGCTCTGAGGTCAGTGCCCAGATGTGACCTGTAGGTGTTTTCCTTCCATCAGCCAGAGAGCAGTGGGTGCAGGTCAGTTTGCTTACACCCACTTTACCCAGTGGACACCACAGTAAGGATGCCTGATAATTTCACCAAAAAAAAAAAAAAAAAAAGTTTAAGCTTTTTTTTTTTTCTTTCTAGACAAGTTCTTCTCAAATTAAACCAGAATTAAGAACACAGGAGAAGCCTGGGATAGGGGAGCTCAAACATGCTGGGTAGGGATAAACCACGCTAAGAGTTTCCTGTGTGCTGACTTCAACCCTAAAGCCTTCCTCTCCATGGCTCCTCTTCCCACATCCAGATTCTACCTTCCCAGGGCTGCAGGCAGCCACAGCAGGAGCAGAACCACCTTGGTACCAAGGCAGAGATGTGCAGAGACTCACCCAGCTGTGTGCCAGCCAGCCTGCTGGATGAAGAGCAGCAGGTGAGCATTTCCACAACATAACTTACCTCAATTCCAGATAAAACTCCATCTGCTACTGCCAAGACTGGACCTCAGACACCAGGCTGAACATATCCAAACCCATCTACTGGAGGGCAACAATGCAAGGACACACGAGGACGTGGTTTATCCCTGGGGAAATTCCAGATTACAGCATTTAAGAGGTCCCCACTTTGTAGGGGTGCACCAGGTTGGAGAAACACAGCACCCAGGGGGCTCAGCCCTGCTCCTGGCTCAGGCACCTCTCTGGGCTGGGTAACCCTGGAGAACCCAAAGAGGAGTCAAATCCCTTTGTCAAGACCTTAATCACTCAAAGCCCTCACAGGAAGCAGGTGAAAGCCAATGCACTGAGAGGAGAGCTGCAGAGACCCTGGTGATGGAGCCAAAGGACTGCATGCTCCCTGTGCAAAGCACTGTTTTATTCAATTTTCTCAGCTTCTGCACACAAAACCCTTGGGGGGCTCCAACATTTTGCAAAACACATACGTTCTGCCAAAGCTGCTTAATTTCTGAGAACAGGGAAGGTAAACACTGCAGATTATTACTTTTTCTAGCTGGCAGGGACTTGGAGGGAAATGAATACATCACATTCTCAACAGACAGCACAGTGGACAGCAGGGAAGTGTCACTGCAGGTGTACACCATCAGCCAGGCTGTCCTCCATTGGTGGCAGCTGAGCAGAGGAAAGCCACAGCCAGCTTCTCCTGTAGCTTCTTCACCATAACCATGGTTCTACAGACAGCAGACAACCCTCCAAGCTGCCTTTTTTTAACCAGAAATGGACATCAAATCAATATTTGGGGGTACACACTTTGCTCGTACACACAGTCTGCACCCACAAGATGTAAATCCTCTCCCTGCTACCAGAGCTGGCTCACAGGAGAGCCTTGGTGGTGGTGAATCGAGACTGGAAGGATCTGGGTGGGCTCCTGCAAGAGGAGCAAGTGCCTCAGGAGTAAGTGCAGGCCAGGGATGGTGGAGATGTGCTGGCCAAGCAAGCTCTCCTTGCTTTGTTGGAGCATCATGACCAGGAAAGCATCATACCTAGCAGCAGGACTGACCAGCACACCCACATCAGGACTGAAGCACACGAGACCGAGTCTGTTCCAGGATTCTTCCTCAGGACACGGCTTATCAGTTCCAGAAGAGGCTTGCAAGCTCATCACCAAATGAAGCAGCCATAGCAGGAGACCTGCATTCTCAAAGAGACCAGAAAGGGAAATTTATCCACAGATGCTCAGGACCATGAGCTCAGATGAAGTACAGGGTTCACATCACTGCCCCTAGAGGTGCAGATAACTCGGTCCGTGCACGCAGCTGCTGAACAGGGCTGAAAATCCTTCCCTTGGCCCCTGGGAAATGCTGTTTACATCGCCCTTATCCTCCTGCAGAAACAAACAAGCACACAGCAGGGCAGGCACAATGCATTATTAACTTCTCCCTCGCTGCAGTGTTAGGAGGATGCAGAGTGCCATCAGCCCCTCCCAGAAGCCCTGCCACAGGCTCTGAGCTGAGAGGCCCGATGACACCAGCACTGCCTGCCGTGTGAACACCAAAAACAGGGCCCCCAGGTGGGTTTGAACCAGGCACTCAGAAGTGTACCTCTCCTGGCATCATTACCGTGCTAACCCCATCAACCCCGCAGCATCTACAACAATGCTAGATGCCATCAAAGTGTTTCTTACTGAATAACAGCACTGAGGTCACTTACCCAACTGCAACTTCGTGACGTCCCAAATAATCCTCTTCAGTTCAAGCAGGATTCATATTTCTTTTCCCCTCTGAGAAAAAAGGAGAATAAAACTTGACTCCTTTTAGCCACATTCCCCCTGCCTTCCTCTGAGCAGTTCAATCCCACGTTGTACGAGAGAACATTGATTTTCTTGGTAGCACAGACCTCAATGCACAGCCCTGGGTTTGCTTTTCTCCTGTTTTATTCCCATCACGGGAATCTATTGTTTCCTTACTTTTTGCTTACTTTCAGTCCCAGTTCCAAAACCTGAGCTCTCTTCTCCAAGACAACATGACAATATGTCAAATCCATACATTTTGGAGACCCCGACATTATCTGTGCAGCCATCAAATTGGAAAAAAAATAAATTGTTTTCTCTCCACAGCTCTTTCGAAGAGAGCAAAGACCGTGTCCCCCACAAATGTAATGCCTCCTAGGTGTTTTGTTTCTTTTTCTTCCCTTAATGCTATGGAACCACTTAATCCAACTAGCTGTCGTAGTGGGTAAATGCACAAGAAAATATATAAGCCTCGAGAAGCTAATCACAGTTCAAGGGGAATCTCTGATATGGAGGGTAGCGAGGCAATAACTGAGGCTGTCATTCTCAGGAGACAAGGCCACAGGATGATAGGCAGGTTTTGGATGGAGGCTTGACTCCAAGCACTCACATAACATCTCAGTCTAAAGAAAGAAGACAGGTGTCCAGGGACCTATCACCTACACCATTACAGGGCTGTCCAATAATAGTGACAACCCCAGGAATGCCTTAATCCCAGCTGTCCTGGCCCCATGTCACATCTGTGAGGCAAAGACCACCCGAAATCCTTGAAATACACGGGGCAAATATGCTGCACACCACACTGTAGTCTTCATTTCATGGTCTTTTGTGGCTACCAGGGCAGAGCAGGGGTCAGTCTCAGCTCAGGAATGGGGCAGGAAGAAATTTGGCCAGACCAGGCAGCAACTCCACAGGGAAACTGGCCTCCAGGAGCCCGAGTACTGCTTGGCATCCCACATGGTAATACCTGAGCACCCATGGCCCAGCAGGATGCTGCTAGGGTCAGCTCCAGGGCTCACAGCTCAATGCCAGAGGCAGTCCTTCCTCCCTGCAGCTCCTTCAGGCTGAGGAAAAAACCCTCACTTGCCTATCCTACAACAGCTTGTGGTTTCCAGCATCACTTGGCAGCTTCATTTGTGTTAGGACCGGCCCAGAGTCCATGCAATAGGCCTCCTTGGCTCTCAGCAAGTACACCATCCACAGGTCCAGTTCCTCTCCTGCAGGGCATTTTCAAACACCAACATCTGGTTCTGTTATCTGAAGCAAGGGAGAGAAAGATGAAAAATATACGGTTGTAAGCAGGACACAGAGAAAGGACAAACCCAGCCTGCGACACGTTCCAGCCTGAGCCCACAGGAGCACCTGGCAGCGTTACAGCAGCTACGAAGCACCACGAGGAGCTCAGAAGCAGCGATGTGCAAGGAGCAGCCTGTTTTATTAATCACTTGTGAAGCGCTGAAGGAAAGAGCTGGTTGCAAGCACCGCGTCGACCACGAGCTGCCAGCTCTGCTGCCAAGTTACAAAGCAAAGCAAGCACCGAGGAAAACAAACAAAAAGCTAAGCGTGGCTTCATTTGCTCCAGGCAGTTGCCTTCGCAGGCTGGATACGTTAGCCACCTTCAGACTGCCACAGGAGCAGAGTTTGAACTCGGAGCAAAACCCAAAGCAGTTGCTGTTTTGCCTAAAAAGGGACACTGGAGGGTCTTTTGCTCAAATATTTGACTGTATTTGTATCTGGATGCCTTTAGCCAAAAGAGCTGGGAGCTTTTGGTAAAGAGCAGCTACAGGGAGGCTGTCCTGGGCTGGATCCAAAGCACTGTTTGGGCACCTAGTACATCCCTAAAAAGAGGATATGTGGGGGTATTATCGGACTCTGTGGCTTTAATGTGAGCAATGTCCCCGCACTGACTCCCAGCACATCACATTTTGGCAGCAGGAGTGGAGGGGAAACTTTCTATTCTCCACGGACTGGTCCAGCTGAGTTGTTTAACAGGCTCCTTAGGTTCTCCTTCAAATCCCTTCCATCCTTCACACATCACAAGAACAGCCATAAAGACACAGCCAGCAACCGAAACAGCCCCCAACACCTGCTGCAGGTTGTCCTTGAGAGAAACCTTCCCACCTATAAAAGGCCAGCTTTGTAATAAACATACGGCCCCAAAAGCAGAGGGGAAAACCTCAACACAAAGCAGGTTGGAGCCTGTCATGGCACTAAAGGCTGGTCAGAAAGCTGGAGGGGTCTGCCCAGGGGGCACCAAAGGCCTGAAAGAATGAAGCTGCCAAGCCACAGATAACACTATTTAAAGCTGACAGGGTTATAGATGACAAGACAGTAGCCAGGAAAAAAATAGAAGTGAAAAAACTGGCAAAATAGTCAAAGCCAGGTTTGCAGCTCTGCAAGGCAGAGCTCAGCACTGCAGGCCTCACCTGAGGCAGAGCTGGCAGCCCCACCACACAGCTTCGGTTTCCCGTTACTGGGTCTGTTCTAGGAGCAGCTCAAGAGGACGCAGGTTTGATTTGAGCAGCCTCTCACCGCCAAAGATGAAAGCAAGGACCTAAGTGCCCCATTTGTGACTTCCTCTCACATTGAGAAGTCCTCTCAGTGCACTCCGGCACCTGATCTCATTACGAGGGAAAAGAGGGAACAGATGGGAACATAAAAAGGAGCTGTCAGCCATCAAGCACTGACCCCATCCCTCTTCCCGCTGCAGTGGGAGAATGACTGGCTGCTCTTGGAAGGACAACAAGGCCAGCAGGAGGACTTCAGGTGGGCAATAAACAGCAGCAGCAAATTAAGTCTTGGTAAACAAGAGATCCTCTTGTCAGGAGGAAATTCATCAGGACAGATGCACGAGGACTGGACGGCCAGGAATGCTCCTGTCCCTGCGAGAAGGGGTGAGCTGAAGCCTTCCCAAGGTGTACGTGGCTCGGAAATTTGGCGTTTCTGGGCATCCTGAGTCACACTTAAAAATGCCACCACTCACCTAGGACAGAGGTGAAAAAAGGAACCTGTTAGCAGGTTCTACCAGATCAGTGTTAAACATCCCTAAGATGGGCTTAACAACAATTAGTTTAATTACAATTAATCACAATCATTCCCCCGTAGCAGGGAGAAGCCAAAACAAGCAGCCCAAACAACTCCTCCTCACCCAGGGGCCTTCACTTCCACCAGACCAACCCAAGGACTTCATCCCTAACTCCCACAGCAGGAAAAAATATCCATTTCCATACCCAATCTACAACCTTTTCCTCTTTCCTGCAGATAGAAAAAATAAAAATAAAAATCTCTCCCATGCCAAAAGCAGCATGACCAAAGACAGACCAAGGATGACAGCGGGTGTGAGAGACTTGCACTGATCTCATTACAGGGACCAGGCAACCTGACTGATCTCCCTGGGACTCGATTTTTCCCTGTAAGCCAAGTCCTGCAGTAGTTAGTTATTTAAGAAAAGGCAAAGGGCTCACAAACAGCTCATCCACATTTCTGTGAATGCCGCAGTGCTCATCTAGCTTCTCCTTTTGTCAGGCCTGAGCAGCTCAGTGTCTTCCGTAACAAAGAGAATAAGCTTTCTTCGTACAAAAGGCCTTTCACCAGGCTGACTGGATTGGAGCCCAAAGTATGGGACACCTTATCTCACCCGTATCCTTCAAGCCTGCTGGCTATATCAGCGCATTAAAACATGTGCTTGCTGCAGTCCTTAGAGGAAAAAAAAATCGGCTTTTTAGACAGAACTGAGATGCCCATCATAATGTGCAAGAAAATTAAGGTCTGCGTTTTAGGTATCAGCATTAATTGCCCACGAGCAGGTTCCTGTCCTGCAGAGGACACAAGGTGTCACACTCCACCTCTGCTGTGGGGTGAGATGCCCAGCACGTCTGCAAGCAGGGGCAGCTGCCTGCCCCCATCACCGACCCACAGACCTTGCAGAAAAGGGCGAAGGAAGGGCTCCGAGTGCCCAGCTGGTGTCTTCAGCCCAAAGCAGCACCCTCCACCTCAAAAAAAAAAAAAAAAAACAAAAAAAAAAAAAAAAAAAAAAAAAAAAAAAACAGAACAGGGCAAATTAAAATTATACGAAGCACCAAGACCTTCTCGAAGCATCCATCGGCTGAACTTAGTGAGAAATAAAGATCTACAGTTTTCCTTTAGCACAGCCCCAAAGCAGATGTCTTCTTTTAACCCTGCCCAGCTGCTGCTCCCCCTTTCTGAATTGAGAGCTGGATGCTAAGATCTCACAGCCACAACTTGTGGGGCTGAGCACAGATGGGTGGCTTAGCTTTAGTTCTATGACTAGGAGACAAACACTCCCAAGTCTGTTTGGAAGTGTTTTGTTTTGGTTTTGTTTTGTCCTTCCCCAATCCTGAACCCAAAGGAGGGCCCTGGAGCAGCCCCTCCAGGCTTTCCAGCTTGCTGGGCTGCATCTCTTCACAAGCCACAGAAGGGCTGCCCTTTTTCTCCTGTCTCGCTAGCAAAGCGAGCTGAAAGGCAGTCAGGGACAGGCAATCAGTCGGGAAGGCAGCATCCCTCTCCCTCCCGACGAGCAGACAAATGGGCAGGCATTTGCAGAGAGCTCTGAAGGCACATCACCCTGTAGAGGTGCCCGTCATTAGTCCTGCTATTCCTGGCTCACAACAAAGCTTGTTTGTTTTCGGCAAAAGCTATGAGAGAATAAAACACTCGCACACATCCTGTCTCCCTGGGAACTAATCCCGCACTTCTCCTCCTGGATTTAACCGTCCGTTTGAGCCCACGGCAAAATTTCAGACACCTGGCATGAAATGCAAACAAGGGTCAGATATCAAGTGCTATCTCTGAGGATGTATTCCCAAAGGAAGCTCTGTTCATGACGGTGATAATTCAGGTAAGCCTGAAACAGCTGCTCTTTGGAAGAAGCAACACAAGGAACTGACCCCCAGCACACCCCTCCCAAAGCCCTGCTCAGCACCCCAACAGGGCAGGGGCTGCTGCCAGTGTGGGCTCCCTGCCTTCCCAAATTCCCCCAAGTCTTCAGTACGGGTCCATCTGGCCACTTCAGAGCAGCAGCAGCCGTCTTTCCAGTAAAACGAATTCATCTCGAAGAGAAGAGGCAGCTGGCAGCTGCTCCCAATTCAGATCTTACAGCAGACAAGAACACCACTGCACTTCCAGATGTTCTGTAATGCTCGTTTCTCTTCCTTTCCCTCGCTCCTCACATAGCAGAGCGCATGATCATCAGTTGGATCAGGTAAAACCATGGAAAAATTTAGGAGGAAGGGACTTTTGGATGTCTCTGGTGCAATCCCCTGCTCACAAGAGGGCCAATTTTCAAAGATAAATCAGATTGCACATGGATGGATCCAGCAGTGTTTAATATCTCCCAGCCTGGAGATTCCCCACCTTCCAGGCCCCATAAGCCCGTATTTGCCTTCAAAGTTTCCAGACACAAGTTTGTCATTGGCTGTGACAAGAGACGTTCTGCACTGTGATCCCGCAGCCCTTGCTCTGGGAGCCGACCTCAGCACACACCTTCAAAGTCCTTGGGTGACCGAAGAGAAGAAAGTCTCCTGTTTGGGTTGCTTTTTGTTGTGAAGCAGCCATCTGTTGAACCATCAGCCGAGATAAAAACGCCAGCTGCTTCCTACCAAAGAGGGAGGCCCGTGTGTAGCTGAAAGGCACTGAGGTTATCTGCCTTGTGCATATGAGCGCCAGAGAATGTGCAATGGACCAGTAACCCCACGGAAACAGGGAAGCAGCTTTTGGGGAGGCTGGGTCTGGAACAAAGGCTGATTCTCACTCCAGGTACAGTACACATACCACTGTCCACACCACTGTCCACACCAGTGGCTCTGTGCTCCCTGGTGTGGGGAGGCAGATGCTGCTGGTCCAGATATCCCTGTGGCAAGTACTGTACACGGGGAGCAAGAATGATATCAAAAATCTAAGCCCTGATAGCAAGAATTTTTCAAAGCATCCTCAATTCAGCCTTGTCACTACTGCAAGGTGAATAGGCACCACTCGCTTTAAGCATGGTTGACTGCAATAAATTGGTGCAGACTTGTAACTGCTCCTAGTAGATATGTTATAGTGAAGTGTGAACGTCTGTGCTAGGACATTTTTAGTAAGAAATATGAAGATACAGATTTCCAGACTTCTCCCGGTGAGAGGAGGAAGGCTCAGCATGTCAGTGATTCAACCTGAACTGGCTCTTGTAACAAAGTCAGGAAGAAAAGTGTGACTTGTTTTTTGGTATGTTGAGTTTCCTCCTTTTTCTCTTTCCTGGAAGAAATAAATGTGATCCTCGGGGCAATAGCACCTAAAGGACAAACACAAGTCTCAGTCACGGTTACCTACGTTGTAGGAATTTTAAGTTCTGGTCTCAAGAAGTATGCCCTTTTGGAACCACCCAGAGCTCCTCGCAGTGGCAGCAGGGGGTTAACAACAGCACTGGCTTCTGCACCATCATCTCCTGGTCTATCAGCTGCACACAAACACAGCAAGGCACGGATCGGCATCCAGAAAGACAGTTGCTGGTACAAAGCAGAGGGTTTCAGCCAAGACACAGAGGCCAGAGTACCAGACAACCCGATGGAGCATATGGTCAATGGGCTGCTGAAATGGAAAGAAGGGAAAGGGTTCCTGTAGTGCCCAAGCCACACAGAGGAGGAAAAGCAGAAAGCAAGTAACATTCCTGAGCCAGGCCAGCTCACGGGCTCCGAGAAGCAGAGCCACAGCACAGCCTGAGTGCCAAGATTTGCTCAGCTAACATATGCCGAAACCCTCAATAAAATAGTAGCTCTGTTTTCCACTGAATGAGTAATCTTTTCTATCAGGATGCAATCAGGAGCCCAACTCTGATTTGGCAGGGACAGCCTTTGCTCTGATTAGGAACCTGGAGATCTCAGCTCAGCCACTCAGAAGAGTCTTGCTTGCAGGGAGCTTGCTTGCAGGCGTCCACTGCCCAGCCAAGGCAAAGCCAGAGCTGCTGCCTGCCTGTTCGTACAGCCAGGGGTCTAACTGTTAAGGCTGCCTGGTATCTTGATAGGTATCTTGATAGAATATGGCTTGCTAGAGGGGTTTGTCTCCTACGGATCTACAGTTGAGGATGTCTTCAGCCACCAAGCCTTGGCAAAGCAAAGCTGAACCCTCCTGAGATGAGAGATGGGATCTGTGAAAGCTGCTGTCTGAAGTCCAGGACTGAAAGGCAGAGGTCTCAGGTCTCCATCAAGAGAAGCTACTTGAGAGTGCCTCCTGCCTTCTGGTGGGTAAAGCAGTAACTTGCAGACCAGCCGCATCTCTGTCCCAGCCTGAAGTCTCTGCAGTGAATACCAAACAAGCCTCAGGTGTCTCCAGGTGAGGCGCGGGGCTGGCTGAGTTATTCACAGCCAGGGAGTTCACTAAATGCAGGCCAACTCCTTTGTCTGTTCAATCTAGAGCACTATGAAATATATTGATTCCTATGGACAAATGTATTTTCACCCTTAAGAGCTCAGATCTTAAAAAGCTGGTCAAGAAAGCTCAATTCTGAGGCCTGCTATCCCCCTCCCGAAGGACACGTCCAAAGACAACTGGACTAAAGAAATATTCCTTCAAGTAGCTACACAGTAAAGCCTCTATTTTTCTCCTGGTCTTTGTCACTCGAGCTGTCCATCAGCCCCTGGCCAGACAAGCACATGTCCTAATTAAACGCAACTGTAAATGCCCAAAGCAACAAGAGCCCAGCTTCACTGGTGGCATTTGGCGAGTGACAAAATGCAGAAGCTTTTGCTAACCGTTCCTTGAAGGGAAAACAAAAGTTTAGAGGCACCGCTGCTGGAAGGCCAGAAGGAGAGCGTTAAGTACTGCCAATTGGCAGATTTAAGCATTGTCTGGGAAACGTCAAGTGCTGTCAGGCTCTAACAAAGCTATGCAGCGAAGCCCGAAGCAAGGGACTCCTGTGGGCTCACCTCTGAGGAAGGAGACTGATGGGCCCTCAGCCCTGCCAGCAGAAAGCAGCTTGTTAGCAGCTGGCCCTCAAAAAGAGAGGTCAGCCCGCCACAAGGACCAGCATCTCCCTCCCCTACCTGCTGCTGCCTTTGCAGCCTGGCCCTGATGGCAAAAATCCTCCCAACTCATCCAGTCCGTGCTCCAAACCCTGTGCTTCTGGGGCCTGCACCCAGCCCACGTCAGGGAAAGAGACTGACAAAACACTCATTAATTCTACTAGGGCTTAAGACTTAATTCTCCCACCTCAGAGCAAAGGGAACGAAAGGAGATTTTGTTGTTCAGTGGTTCCAAAACAAGTGAAGAAACAAGCCTGACCACGGCAGCAGCAAGACAGCTGTCACTGGAGCAGAGATCTTCAGAGCCCTAAAATACCCTTCCCTCTGGCCTCCAGCTGCGTGGGATCGCTTTATACCACCTTACACAAAGCCCCAAATACTTCCCACAAGCTACCAAAGAAACGGCACTGAGGTTGCCCACAGGTTTAGGCAAGCTACCAAACACCCCATTTGTCTTCAACAAAAACCACCAGGTCTGGCTGAGCCCTAGCAATAGGATTGGGGTCTGAATTACTGATGTACGTGGCTTCAGCAGGGTCAGTGCTGGACCCCAAAGCCTTCCTTTCTCATTAGCCCAGCCCCTGCTGCCTGACCACCTCGATGTCCACAACAGCCAGCTGGCCTGCAGGAACCAAACAGCTCCAGATTCGGGCCAGGGCACCCAGCAGAGCCAGGGGAGGACAGGCAGCTGTGAAATGGTTCCACCAAGCCATGGGCTGACAGCAACGAGACCTGAGCGTCTCCATCCCTTCTGGAGGGGCATCCCCCTCTGGCACTGCCTAATATCTGTTTCCTCTGTCCTCACGTGGTACTTCAACGCCAAAGCCATCGATGCTTTTACACCACCTGAGATGCTCGGTTAAGACCACAGCTGTCCTCTGAGGGGAATGAAGAGGGAAGGGGAAGCGTGGGACAATATAAATTGCAAAGGAAATGAAGAATCGAAGCTTCCTGAAACCAACCCATGATCCAGACATTTTGTATCTGTACAGATGCTACCGTACTCGGAACGGCGGAGCATTAAACCCCATTTCACAGGGAGAAGAGAAGAGCTTTGGAGCTGAGCACAAAGTACAGTGCTGCAAACTCTTTGAAAGCCAGCGGAGCACACCTCCTCCCGGGGGTGGCCAGCTCCGTAATTGCCACATTGCTTCACAGTAATGATAGGGGGAGAGAGTCAGGACAGCTGCAAAAAGTAAATGAGACACTTCTCAGAGGGGAAAAAGGAAAGAAAATAACCAAGGTCTTTTTACCCAACTGTTTGAGACAAGAGCCATCAAAACATGAGAGTCGGTGATGGACGGCTGGGGAGAGCAGTCAGGATTTGAGAGCCCAGACTGTGTGAAGTCAGAATGAAAATTAACATTCATTTAAAAAATTACTTGGTATTTTGTTTGCCCTAAAGGAAACCACATGTAACAAGGCAAACATCCCATTTTGCTGCCCAGAGGTAAAGGATACGGAGACTGTCACAGCTGATGGCAGGGTGAGGAAGGGACACAATCGTTTTCCATCCAGCGAACCTGGAAAAAGAAGAACGCTCACCTGATCCGACAGGCTCACTGCTCCTGGCTCTGACAGGTGTTAGAGCAGGCTGTGCAGCTCATGGCCACGTACAGTAGGATGGGCAATTGCTCATGGTCCTGTTGGAGAGCCACAGCAGGAGCTAAATCCAAAGCTCAGCCACTCCGACCTTTCTCCTCTGCTCTGGTTTCGGGGTCACTTACGTTTTGAAAATTACTCCACACAACTCACCTTTTGTGCATTGATCCCATATCCATCAGTTTGACCCCTTAAAGGGTAGCGGGAGACAGAACAAGTCATTTCCCCTACACGGGGAACATTTGCTCAGCCCCCCAGCACTGGAAGGAAGTTACCCTTTGGTGCAGAGGCAGAGTTTAGGGTGGTTCTGCTAGCAGGGAGCTTGGCCCCAATCCCTCTTCTTGCTCCTGCCTTCTGACAGGCATCTCGCTGCTGTGCCGGGATGAAAAGAGGGCATGCACACAGCTGAGGAGAGCCAGGTTCCCAGCCCGCCTCCTGCCTTCCAGGACAGACCTAACACCCAGAAAAATGAGATCTGGGAGTCAGGCGTAACATCTCATTTGTTCCCTACAGCTGCCCCTGTTCTTTCCCCTGTATCATTATGGCCACAACACATGGCAATTACGGTCCCCCCTGCGGGCTCATTCTCCATGAGGTTTTCAAGTGCAGCTCTGAAGCAGAGCTCCATCTAAACGGAGCTGAGAGCCGCATCTTAAAGCTTGGTGGGAAGCTGGCAAGTCCAGTCCTTGACAAAACCTTCAGCCAGTCTTCTTCCACAGGCCAGCGTGGTCTTTCATGCCCTCTGCCCTGTGCTCTCACACTTCCCTTTGTCACACCAAATTCCTGTACAATTTAGTGTTAATGAATAAAAAATGCTCCAGACTGCACTAAACAGGGAGCCACGAGCTCTTTCTCTAGGCACAACCTCATCCTACCTGCCATAGCCCCTCACTCAGTCCACTGAGCCTGAACACATTTTCATTGTGCTCGAGTCCCAAACTCAAAGGACCTCAGGATCCTTAGCCACCCAAATTTCTGCTTTTATGCCTAGACTGTCCTCCTTACCCCACACCCTTCCTGAAGCTAGCTGTGCCCTGACAGTCCAGAACTAGATGTCTGTACCACGCCAGCACAGTCGGTGTCCAACCCCCAACTCGTACTTCCAGCGCCTAGAAGTTAACTGACAGTTTTTAAATAAGCAAAGATCTCCCATTTCTTAGCAAGAAAGGGTGTGATTTTATACAACAGCTTTCCAGCCAGCTCATTACAGCAGATCAGGGACCTACACTTCACCTGGATCCTAGTGCTTGTGGCCAAATCATGCTGGGAACAGATTTCCTGGGTCAAAAAATCAATGTCCTGCCTTTTTTTTTTTTTTCTTTTTCTTTTGCCGACTAGGTGTTCTAGCTGTCAGTGTAATAGTACCTTGTGCAAGGACTGCGTGGCTAAAACTGATCCCAGGTTTATGATGCAAGATGTCCCACTCAGGTGCACAAACAGGTAAGTGGTAGAGGGTATCACTGATTTCCTGAGCTGATTGCACTGGAAACTCAGTCGGGTACAAGACCCTGCAACAGCAACTATAACAGCATAACAGAAACATCCCTGCCTCAGAATAAGCAGGAACTACATTATCAACATGATCTTGGATGCAGACATCTAGTTTTTGCCATAAACTACTTAATTAAGTGGCAATAACACCAAGTGGACCAACTCTTGTCACAAGGCCAGGACTAGAAAGGAGCACCCCAGGAACAGAGACTGAGCCTGGCTACAGGGGGTCCCGAGGGAATTAGAGTCAGAAGCAGAACTCTTCCTCCATTTAGTTTCCACAAATCCTCAATAGCAAAGAATTATTTTAACTGCTTTTCTACATGGTAGCTTCTGCAGTTTGGGGCAATGCTGTAGTGCATTTGTAGTAAATAGCTTTGCAGTATTTTCATGGACTCGTTGCTGTTCAAGCATTTTTAATTCATTTAACTCAAACAGTGGCTCTGGAAAAAAAAAAATAGTCAAATAACAGTTTCAGGCATATCCCCTTACCTGCTATCCTGATTTCAGTTAGGACAGAGTTAATTTTCCTCCTAGTAGCTGGTAGGGTGCTATGGTTTGGATGAGAAAAGTGCTGATAACACACTGATGTTTTAATTGTTGTAATCTCAACCTAATCCAAAACCATAACTAACTAACTGAAACCAGGACACCTGCTGAGGATGTGATCTTGAAAGCGTGACTGTGATTAATTCAATTTTTCTGAATAGGAATCACTGGGACGGAGAGGAATGTGCCCAGACTTCAGAAATGCACACAGCCTAAACACACAGGGACAGCGTACATGACCTGGAGGATGAAGAGCCAGAAGCAGGACCACTGGAGCTGCAGGCTGCCAGTTCAACATCTGGTAATGACAGAAGTAATGGAGATGGACTGCTTTTCAGATACCAAGAAATGACTGCTTCCTCGCCTGAGGTTTAGAGCTGAAGATCCCTTTATAACACAAAATCAAGCTTCGTGGTGTCTGGGCAACTCTGCCTGATCCATCTTGGAAGAGAGATCGCTGTTCTGAAAGATCTCAGCTGCTTCACCTGCGAGGCTGAGCACCCGACAAATCCTTCACCACTGCCTCCTCTGATTCATTACGTTCTCACCCTCACCTTCAAGATGCCTGCTGCTCAAGGTCAATTAAGGATGAAGGATGGAAAACAGGACAATGACAGCAGGAACCAGAGCAGGGCATCAAATAACTGGCAGCAGAGCCCTAAAAGGAAGCAACAGATAGCGAGGCATTACTGTAACAATGCAAGCACAACACATTTGAGCATTCTCTACATTATAGATGCTTACAAGGCTGGGTGCAAGGAATCCAGACACGCTACTCTAAACAGAAATGCAGAGCAAGACAGGCAGTCTTCTCTTCGGAGAGCTTGCCATAAGCATTAGTAGTGCCTGGGCTATCGCCTTCCCTACCTAGGGCAGCTCCTTCCCATCCCCTGTCTGATGCATGAAGCACAAAACCCTGCTCTGGATCAACCTTTCCTTCTCGTCTGCCTCTGTCACGGCCAGTCCCAGGTTGGACTCTGCTGATTTCCAGTTTTAGCTTGGTTTAGAAGTTGCTTTTTTCCCCCACTTTTTTGTGCGCTTGCTTTTTTTGTTTTGTTTACGTCTTTATTTGCTTCAGAATTCTCCACTTTTAGGCTTGCGTTTCAAGTCCTCAGCAGTTATAGGCAATAACCAAAAAAAGAACAAAAGCTCTTCACATCATAATATGAGCAGCCAGGGATCTGAGGAAAAGCCTGGGATTGAAATGAAGTGAGAAAAATTTGGCACACAACCCTTCTGCGCTTCAAGCACTCAAAAACATCACAGCAGACCTGTGGAGGGTCCCATCCAAGCATACAAAGCCCTGCTTCGTATCTTGCCCATTTTCCCCCCTAAAACCTTCAGTTTCACATGCTCAGAGCCCACATCCACGCCTCCAAGCCTCCTCAGAGGCTTTCAGATGCGTGCACCTCTTCCACTTGGTTTGCCAGCAAGGCCCGATTTAGTCAACGTCACCGCACCCTGCCCTGCTCGAGGGGGCCAATAATTAGCATCTTGATTAAGACTGTACTGCAGAGGCCAGGGGAAAGCTTCTTGGTACAGACAGCTCTGCTGAAATTAATGCGGGGCTAGCACATGCAGTCTGGGCTCCTACGGAAATACTGAGGCCTAGCCCCATACACCAACACGGGGCTAGGCCTCAGTGTTTCGGAAGGAGCCCAGACTGCATGTGCTGGCCCCGCTCCAAGAAAATGTGTGCTTCCTACATCGCATGCACTAGGATCAAACAAAGCATTATGGCTCAGCTGATTTTTTTCTGCTCCACATATTTCCACAGGCAAAAGAAAGGCTCCTCAAATTGAAACGGAGTCTCTGAAGCTTCTGCAGCAGAGCTTCACTTCCCAAAAAGCAAATATTTACATCTAGTAGCACCAGCTGCCTCTTTTCTTTCCCCTCCATTTCATTTCCAGATGCATTGTTGGTGCATCTGCTCTATTAATTAAAGCTGATTTACACAAGACAAAATTGAATCCTTAACACAGCCCTTCAGAGGAGCTGAATGACGTCTAAAATTGCACTTGCATCTTTCCAATTCCCCTGTCCCATTTTCTCACCTTTGCTGCTTGAAAAGTGTTTTGCTCTGTTCAAGTCCGTCGGGCATTTCTAGAGCTGAGAGGGAAAAAAAAAAAAGAATTCAGCTTAATCCGACCCTCCTGGCTGACTGGCTCCTCAGTCCTGCCATCAGCGGTGACATGAGGGAGTTGGGGAAGCCAGGGGTTGTTTGGCTGTTTGTTTTCACGATCTGACCAATCTTTGGGCTCATCTTTAAGAGATAAGGGAACGGTGATCTGATTTGGCTTCCGACCTGAACTGCCCTTACCGTGCTCAGCAAAGCATAAAACAGCATCCGACTGGTAAAGCAAAACAAAACAACAGATGTGAGGAGCAAGGGGCTCTGCTACCGTGCATCACCGCTGCTTTGGGACTGTCCCTCTTCCCCAGAACGGGGTTGTTGGCCCCCGAGCTTGCCTGATGCCAGTAACCCAACATTAGTCAGGCCAGAAGGGTGACTTTGTATTTTCCATGCAAGAAGTTCTGGCCATGGCATTCCCGGTTCCTTCCATACTCCAACACCTCTCAGAGCCTGCTGGCTACTTAGCAAAACCTCACCCCACAGCCCCTGCATGATAAACCAGAGGCCACCTCAGCCCCCCAATACCCTAATCCTGGCTTCAATTTAAGCTCTGCTATGAAAAGCCACAGAAGTGGAGTCCTTAACAGCTCAGCTGACTTCAGGGGAAAAAAATAAATACTCAAGTTGGCTCTAAGAGCAGATGGTGTCTAAGGGAAATTATCATAATTAAGCTTCAGAGCTGTAGATTTTCAAGGGACTGCTACATTTCAGCATCAAACCTCTAGGCCAGTGCAGCAGTTATTAAAATTATAAGTTTCACCACATTTTATTAATTGCTAATTACTGCTTCATTACTTCCACTCATGCTCCCGAGACTGCTGCTGCTGTCACCGTTCCCCCTGGGAAGCAGTTCAGGTCACTTCAAGACTGCAAAGAGCAACGGGATGCTTGGAGCAGTTATTGAGGAGTAGGGAGGCAACTGCATGTGCTAGACCCAACAAGCACCCTGTCCCCTCTGTAACCCACTGAGGAGCTGGCCAGATAGGATTTCACTTAGTCCTAATCCTCTTCATATCCAGAACCCCACAAAAGTTTGATCAGGTAACGTTATCTCCTCTTGGCCAGTTTTGTCACACTCCATGGGGAAGGTTCGGGAACAAAAGGTGGACAAGAGCCAGAGCTCTGACCAGGTTTCCAAATCCAAAAACTGTGCTTAAGTACAGAGGCGCACAAACTTCCATAAAGCTAGACTCGTGATTAAGAGCCAAGCAATCTATATGAATATAAATTTATGGGCTTATGCTACCCTGTTGCATAATGGAAACACAAAGCCAATTTAGGTTTTGTGCAGAGCCAGTGCTATTAACTGTGCATCTTAGGCATAACTGCACCTCGCTGCAAATCTACATTTCATTAACACCCCGAAATCAATTACTTTGTGATTTATAGTTAAAGTTCTGGTACTGACAGCTATTAAACACCCAGCCTGCCCTGGTGCTCCCATACCAAGTGCAAGCTCACGGCAGTGGTTGTAGCGTTCCCTGGGAGCAGAGGCAGCTCTGCAGGGTTTACAGCTCCCCTCTGACGAGGCAGCAGCTGGATGCAGGTCCCCTGCAGCCTGCACAAACTCATTCGGTGCCAGCTCCAAGATGCTGGGCTGCTGTGCATTCAGGAGCACCAGCAAGCCTCCAGCAGCATCTCCACCAGCCAGGAATCGTGCAACCACCCCAATCCTAGGCAGAGCAGTCCTAAACATCACGCACTACTCATCTGTTCCACGCAGGGCTCTGCATGCAGGCACCTTGCAGAGTGTTTTGCATTTCTTTACACTGGTGTGGCTGCAGTGAGCCCCAGCTCCTCATGTTGCTCCTGTGACCCAGATGCCTGGAGCAGCCCTGTCCCACAGATGCCAGAGAGTATCGTTATTTGTGGCCGCGTCTAATTGTGACCCCAAGACAGATTTCATTACATTTCAGCTCAACAGCTACGGAGTGCTCTGCCATCAACCTTGGGCAGTCAACTGATTATAAAGTATTTAATCACCTTAGCTCTCCAGAGACTTAAATTAAGGCACTTCACCACCGCAGTCCCCGTGTTCCTGAGCCTAATTGAGGTTTTATTACTGACTGGCTACTGGGTCATCGTTTTGAGGCACGGGTACCTGACAGCTTACGACCTAAGGGTGCTGCAGCATGAGCTTTCATTTCCATCGGGCAGCATCCGTCCATCCATCTCATAGCTGTACAGATGATAATCTCTGACTCCAGCAACAAATAAGATTTGGTGACTCGCTTCTCTCTGCGATGCCCCAATTTAGATAAATCAATTCATCACCAAACGAGGGTCACTTCTTCCTGCTATCTCCCAATTTAGATAAATCAATTAGTTAGCAAGCAGTCATCCCCATTTAATAAAACACTATGAAGATGTACTTGGATAAATGGGTTCAGGTTCCCTGTAGAGGAAAGATTCTTGAAGAGAAGCGGCCACTAACTGTGGTGAGCTAGTTGCCTTCAAATAGGAGTTATATTACAGGTAAGATTTCATCTACCCAGTGATGCTGGCAGATACTGGGAACCTGATACAGCAGGGAAAGAGTTCACTAAATCTCTGCCCAGCCAGCAAGAGCTGATTTGCTCCGTTCAGTGATTTGCCTTAGCTTTGACAGCTAAAACTCAGATGCTGGCAGACCAGCAAGCGTATTTAAATTTTGATAGATCTTAATAAGATATGTAATCAACATAATGCAGTGTATAAAGTGACCTTAAGCAATGAAGAAATCACATGTACAGTTTAAGATGTGTAACAGCAAAATGAAGACAGCCACGTCTAGCTTCTAGTCTCATATGTTCTCAGCCTCATAGTCTCATGTTCTCAATAAATTTATTCCACATCATTGCAAAAGCAAATATTTCAAAGAACTGTTTAGTAAGTTAAATAAAATTATGAGCATTTACATTTTCCTGTAATTCAGTAAAACTTCAATAAGCAATACCTTCACCAAATTCAGCGTAGCCAGACAGGCCCTTCCAACCCAGTGTGCCATTTCAGAGGTCATTTGCTTCCAAACTCCTTGTGTCTCCTGAGAAGTACATTTTGATGTTCACTGCCAATGCTTTAAGCCTAGAGCTTCACTAAAATCAAATGAGACAATGCTGTCCCACCTCTAAGCATATATTTAACTCCTCTTTCAGCTTTAAAGATTTCCCCAAATACCTGAAATTCCCCAAATTGCAGATTTCTCTTATACCTGTAGGACACAGAACGGTCTTCCCCTAATCTGGGATTCTCCTCCTTCACTTCCAAAACAGAGAAATATTATCAATAATTGCAGTCAGAGTTGGTTTGCAAGAAGTCTCAAGACAAATCTGGCAGCCAAGCCAAAGACAGCTGCAACCCTGGTCAGCACAGCAGAGCCAGCCCTGAGAAATAAGAAATAAGGTACCCAGCTTTTTTCTGTAATACCATTCAATAAAGGCAAGTGTTTAGAATTAAAACATTTGGATAAGGATTAATAAAAGACTTGGCAGACGGGATTGTTGTGTATATCTGGTTTTTCCTCCCACAGTGATAGATGAAGATCCTTAAAACAGAGACCTTGCTGCAGAAGTAGGCTATTGCAGCCATGCAAAGTGTGTGTGTTTTTGTGTTTTCAGGCTGGACACCAGGGCCACAGGAACCTGGCACAGGCCTCCCACACGATGCTCATGCCACATTTGCCACTGAATCTTTGAAGTGGAAAAGTGCAAAGGCAGTGACAGAAAGGGAGAAGCAGACACCCCCTGCTAAGCAGGCTGCCCCATCTCCTTCATTCATCGGGGACAGATCCAAATGCCAGGTAGAAAAAAACTGCCCAAAAAAGTGAAGTATTGAACTTCCCCTGACTTCCCCCTGCTGTGCTTCCCTGTTCTGTTCCACGTTTGGGTAGAGAGACACAAACAGCAACATTTAATCCAAAATAAAGTGTTTTATTTCTTCCACATAAATTTTCCATTTAAAAAGAGGTCTTTTTTTAACACATTTTCAGACCAAATGAAAATATGCAATAATTATCCTTTAATCAACTTCAAGAAAATATATACATCCTTCAAAACAAAAGCACACGCTGAGGAATTACAAAGCAAATTCTTCCTCACCGTACGATCCTGGGGGTTTCCACTCGTGCCAACAGGAATGCAGCTGTGTGCCTACAGGAAAGGCAGCACACAACTGGGGAACTCCTTTCTCAGGTGGTTATGCCTCAAAGTAGCTCTTTTTAAAAGAATTCTCAGCCAGGAAAGGCCTCTTCTTGCTGGTGGGAAAAAGTCCTACATCTAAATGTCTCTTAAAGGTCCTGATTTTCCTAAGTCTCTACAGCTACCAGCTAATTCTCTTAGCAAATTTCAGACTTGAAATAAGCTCTGGACCCATAGGAGTCACACGGGAAGGCTTGATGGCAATCCAAATTAGTCCCTAAAGAGTACGAAATGAACAGCCACGGGCTGAGCGTGTTTCTGGCATAAACAGCTCAGTTTGATCTTTCTGTCAGGTGAATAAAACACAAAGAACTGGGACTAAGGATATCAGTATGGCATTCACAAAAAGACTTGCAAGAAAGATGGAAAAAACATTACCAGACTCTGGCAAGGCAGTGTTAATCTCCCTGTCTTGAAAGTGCTAAAAAAAATAAGAGACATTCAAAGGTTACAGCTGAAGTGGAGGCTTTTGTTCAAAATTAAGAAACGGGGATGAGTACTGGTAACAAAACCATTTTACACCACCTAAAACGGTGAGACAAGTTAACACGGGATTTCCCCCACTTCACCATTAAGAGTTAACATGCTGAAAATCATCTGAGTTAAACAGATGTCAACAAGTGATTTTTAGGTAAAGTAGGGCTGAGGCTTCAGCTTAACAGCCAGCCTTTGTTTGCCATGAATTCATCAGCATTTTTCTATTCAAGTGGCCAGAAATCAAGGTGTGGGGCTTGTTGGTTTTTCTTCCCCCTTCCTCCCACTTCCTACACAGGCAATATTAAGCCCCTCCTGCTAAATCC